TAAACTTCTCATTTGTGATATGATTCTGAAGAGCTCCCTTGAGACCCTTTCCGACGTTTTGTCTTCCTTTGAGTTTTCTGCCCATATTACTGTGATGAGCGATGAGCCTCACATACAGAACTACAAGCACGATTGTGATGCACTGCGTATTTCGTTTCTGGGTAATTTGAGCGACAAAAGCAACCTACCTTCTCTGTTGGTCTACAATTCTTTTTATGAGTACACATCTTTCCTTCGTTTATTGAGAATGTCAATACTTTTTCAACCGAGAATATATATCATCCTATACTAGACATGATAGGCTCGCTCTTCCAACCCCACCATAGTCGAGTATTCCTGTTTCGATTCTTCATCAGCAGAACTAGCGTGCAGTTCAACTTGACCATTAAGCAGCAGTTCTTCAGAAACAGTTTTGCTCTTGTTATTCTCATCCTTTATGTCCTTTTCGGATCCAGAAGCCTCGGATTCGGAGCTGCTCTCAGATTCATATTGCAATTCGTTTCCAAGCTCAGCTTCTTTTTCAGCTTCAGGCTCAGTTTCATCTTCGCTCACATCCTGGAGCACTTCCTTCGTTCCATCGTCCATCTCGTAAAACAACATGAATGTTCCTTGTGAGCTAAGAACCTCGGCTTGTGTCACAACATAGACAGACTCGTCACTTATTCTCCACCATGTTCCCCTGTATTTCCTGTAGCAAATGTAGTGGCCGTAATTATGAGTGCCATAGTGAGAAATGACCGCCTTGAGGTTGTACAAAAGTTTTTCATTACGCGTATCCGAGTCTGTTCCATCCAGTTTCCGGAATGAACAGCGTGCATCCATGTTAATGTTGCTGGGCTCAGCCACGATAGGGTTCAAGTCAAGAACAGCGGGAAATGCAACATTCTTGGAGTTTTTCATAACCATATAAGTATTTGGATCAAACACGGAACGGTTGATATGTATGCACAAAAGGGGTGGTGGCCTACTCAACAAGATTTGTTTGGTTTTTCTCATCTTCCTTACCATTCTTTTAGTGGTAAGCTTCTCAAAAACGTCGTCGGTGACATAATCTTTGGCTAGTTCTGTATCAATCTCTGCTACTCTCTTCGTTATATCTGCAGTCAATTTCTCGCTTGATGATTGTTCCAAATTTTGTAAAAGGAATTCTTTTGTTTGTTGTAAACCACATCTATTGCAGTTCACATCGTCGATAATTTCAGGCTTTATCCACTCGTCTAATAACAGTTGCAAATCATAACTGCTATACAGGCTCTTATCGTATGGCAAATTCAAGCTGATTCCGCTTGTCGTCGAATATCTGATGCCACCAACCTCTCCGCATGCCACACATCCAATTCTTTCTGCTGAAATACCATCAACAGGGGTGATAAGTTCTATAGGCAACACCAAGTTTTTGCAGTCTGGTACGTTAGGATCAACTTGATGCGCTGGAACATAAACGTTTCCCAAGTATCCGAGATTTTGACAGCCAGACACAAAACCTTCTTGGTTTGGCACAAAGCGAGGAGCTGCTTCTTTATTAACCTCTGGACCAGGCGTTGATTCTCGAGACAGAACCAAATGCTTGTGTTCCTTCTCTATAATTCTCATGACTAGTTGGTAGAACTCTTGTGCATCTTCTTGGTTGTAACCCGTAAAAAAGTTCTGCTTAGGGCCATTGGGCATTTTGGTCAACAATTGTTTAGTGCTGAACTCACGACCACGAGATCCATAGGAACCGTTGATATCGTCTAGAAGAGCCTTCAAAGCAAGAGTAAATGGGGGGACAGGGGTAGAAGAGACATTCTCTTCGATGAACTCATGAAGCCTCGAGGAAGAGGCTAATGACTGAAGGACAGAGTTCATGAAGCACGTATTGCCTTCATTGCTCAACCCTCCAACTTGACCCCCGTTTTTTAATGCAAAACGAGTTTCACGAGATTTAGGTGATACGGAACCAAAGCGACGACCCGGATTTGAAAGCATGCGGAATTGGGAATTCATGAACGAAAAGATTTTTCTGGCAAAGTTTGAAAGACTAAGTCGAGGAGAAGAAAAGCAGCAAGAAAAAAGAACGACGGCAAAGGCGGTACAAATGGAAACTTTCTTTGATGTAGAAAACACGGTTGCGGAAGTAATGGCTGTAAAGGGTACGAGTAAAAGTAATATTAGGGTAACGGTTTTGACCCAATGCGACATGAAGAATGCTAATGGAAAAAAGTGCCATTGCGCGATGTAGTTTCGCACTGGAGTGTAGACAAACCCCACACCAGCATAATCGGCAAGAGTTCGCTTAGATAAACAAAAGAGACACATGTCAACGAAGCTTCTGCTGAAAAGGAAACTTCATTGAGTGATGAAAAGATATAAAGAATCAAGGAAGAGAAACGGACAATGGGATAGTGAATACTACTGTTGAGGAGTCTCAGAAACAGAGCAATTATATATTAAGCCTCTAGTTAGTTCCTTGGATAGTTTTGAAACTGTCCCATCGGAGGACGGCTTTTTCCCCAGCCACATTTTAATTGTCTGCCGTTCACGTTGAAACCCGACAATTGGACAATAGCCAACGCTGCCCGTTCGTGTGTGTCGTATTTGACGAAAGCACACCCTTTCTCTGGATGAAATTTAAAGTCCACAATGTAACCAAAATTCTGTAACAAAGGAATGAGGTCGTTCTGCTGAGTGAAATGTGCAATGTTTCCCAAGTAAACTGTAGTCTGCCACGACGGAGTTTGTCTCAACACAATGTCGAATGAGTGAGGAGACATTACGCCAGTATTAGGACCCATGGCAAGATTAGGCATCATCTGCTGTTCTTGCTGTGGTCTCTGGGGAAGGGAGAATTGTGCATCACCAAAGTTATTCTGCTCTGGCATGGGTACTGGGGATTCATTGAACCCGGGACGCTGGTACTGGGGCCTAAATTGTCTTTGATTATTCTGACGAGGTGCACCCCTCGAATTTTGCTGCTTATGCGATGCCCAGTTGCATCTGATGGCTCTCCCGTTGAGGACTTTTCCATTCATAGTCAGCAAAGCCGTCTCTGCGTCAGCCAAGTTTGCGAAAGTGACAAAACCATAACCTCTGGATCTCGAAGTTTGCATGTCCCACATAACATGGGCCTGTTTCAATGACTCGAAAGCAGAGAAAAACTTGTGCAAGGACTCGTCGTCTACTTCTGGAGACAAATCGCCCACGAAAATATTGTAAGTCGGGTCATCCGAGTTCTGAGTAGCATTGAATGTAGATGACTGATATGCATAATTGATCTTCAACATCAGGTTTTCAAACGACGAGCCGTTGAATTCTTGTAATGCTGCGGCAGCACCGGCTTCGTCCACGAACTCAACAAAAGCGTAGTTGAAGCCCTGTTTATTCTTGTCATTCAAGATCTTAACGGAGAACACGGGTCCGCTAGCTGAAAACTTTTCGTTCAAGGCGTCTTCATTGATAGATTTGGGCAAGCCTCCGACGTAAAGAACTTTACGAGAAATCTCGCGCCCTCCGTTGGTGGCACTGGCCGGATTGAACTCTTTATCCGAATCAGACCCAGAAACCGACATGTCAGTGTGAGAGAGCGGCGTCTCTGGCTGGCCTCGTGGGATGCTCTCCATGATGGTAATGAATAAAGTACGCTTTTAAGCGATTGGACGAAGGAATGTCAAAGTGGGCAACTATCTATATACAAAGCGAGTAACAAAAATCTAGTCACAAAAGCCAAGTTGAAGCACTTCACACAGCAATGTCTTTACAAATGCAGATAGACAATACTGCGGACAGACAAAGATAAATTAAAAAAAAAAAAAGAACGGGATTGTCGGCCAGGAGCAATGCAAAGGAGCGGATTATGGGATTTTAAAAGAAAAAGAGCCAAACATGCGAGCGGGCACCGACGACAAGTAGGTCCTGCAGGCAGTCTATATGGGGAAATTGGCAGTGGACATTACGAGAAGCCAAGACATTCTTTAACATCTGATGTCCTTATAAAGGCCTATAACATCCTGTGAACGACATTATTAAATAAACAATACCAAAAAAAAAAAAATGAATGCCTCTAGGGAATTGGAGCTAGGTCCAAAGAGGTTGATCATTTTTTTTTTTTTGTATAAAGCGCTTCCGGTAATAAGCCGCCATAAGTATTTGTGTCGCACATTTCTACTTCAGTACCGACAACGCGCATTTCTATCCTGTGAAGCATTCTTATAAGAAACTCGGCAAAACGGCAGCATTACCAAGCTTCATTAAATACGTAATAAGAAAATTGGGAAATTAAACTCGGAAGGTAATATTTAACTTTTTTTTTTCCGGTAGCAGTTTTATCTTGCCATTCACCCGACCCAGCCGATTGTTCCGGTGTTCGGGCACCTGCAGAAAAGTTTAGTTCACTCTTCGCATCACCCTGTCGTTTCTTTACCCCATACTTTGAACTATGTCTTGTATCGTTGTTGACGATACCCAATTGATCAAAAAAATCAAAAACAAGCTTGATGATGAAGGTGTTCTAGACCGCAGAAACAAAATCATAAAAGAATCTGGCGTTGTTCGTGTGTTTGCAACTGCCCCACCCGCGAATATCCAGAATATATTGCAAGACTTTGCATCCCATGTCCAGATCGAAAGTTTCCTGCCCCAAACAATTGACAAATCAATAAGTGGACTTACTCGGACATTTTTGGAAGCATCTCTGCTTTCTGCTGCTCAAATTGATCTTCTTGTTGACAAAGTACCTCGCAAGTGGTCAGTATACCACCCTATGATTCTTTTCGGAAGCGGGACTTTTGATAGTGATCCATGGGTAGAGGTTTTCGAACTGGGGGTCGTAGACAAGAAAAGGTTTTTTGCGTCCCTTCTCTCGGCGTTCCCCACGACGGTGACCCATTTTGCAGTGAATAAGCCTATTATCGAGCAAGATGTCATGCGTCGGCCGTTCAATCTCATACCGCTTTACGGAGATTTTGGTCCTGAACCTAATGAAGAATTGTTTGTCCTGCCAACAGCAGAGGATTTGCAGGATGCCTTTTGGTGCCATGTGGTGCAGAATGGGATTTACCAAACTTGGGCTCCGCGTTATACCATGTTTTCTCGTGGGAACATCAAGGAAAAGAAGCGCATCTTGGATTCCTTTCCGGATTTAAGAGGGAAGATGGTGTTGGATCTCTACGCAGGCATTGGATACTTTACACTTTCGTACCTAGCTAATGGTGCAACGCTCATGTGTTGGGAGTTGAACCCATGGTCTATTGAAGGGTTAGTGAAAGGGTTAGCCGAAAACGGATACAAATACAAATTGGTTTCATCTAATGAGCACTTATCGCAGCAGAAACTTCAACAACTCCAACAAGATGGCGTGAGGGCATTCATCTTTCACGAAAGCAACGAAAGCGCGCTCGAGCGTATCAAAGCGTGGGGAAGACTCCCTATCGCCCATGTTAATCTTGGGCTTCTTCCCTCACTGAAGTCCCTGTGGCCCATTGTACGGGAAATTCAAAACTACTGGACAACTACTACCATGATTGCACATGTACACGAAAATGCACGGTGCGACGAATTCGACGAGCTTTGCACGTGTTTGGAAGAATATTTTGGAAATGCCAAGGTATTGCACTTGGAAAGAGTGAAGACTTTTGCACCTGATGTTTGGCATATTGTGGTCGATGTGAAAATGGAGCCGCAAGAGGCGGCTGGCTCAAGCCTTTGAACATAGCAACAAGCGATTGGAGTATGTTTGACTTTCCATGAGCTTCCTCAACATCCATCATAATTTGAAGTGATGACCATAATGCGATATTGTGAGACACAGTATGCAAAGTCCTGGGGAAAAAAGTTGGTAATTCTGCTACAGTAACTTTTGAGTCTGTGGGCACTTTTGTGCGTCTCTGAATAGTACGGCTGATAATAGCATAGCCTCGCAGCTGTCATGATGCACAACGGTGCGCATAACCGCAGAAGGAGTTGGATTTGTTTGCATTGTCTTTGGTTTCCAATTTTCTATGGTACTTTTTTCTTTGGTTTATCTTTGTTTCATTTAGTTTGGCTCTTTGGTCTCTTTGGCTGTTTTACACCTTGCGTCCTATTGTAATGGCGAAATGTTAGAGTGCCGCTCATGAATGAACAAGGCTTTGCACCAGCATCCTGAGTGCAGTACTGAAAGAGACACACGCAAAAAGATAGTTGCGACAGATTTGATTTCTGGCGAGCAATCAATGGTACAGTCTATGATCATATCGGATGAGTAAATAAAATGCTGCCGACTGAGTCAATTGTTACATTTCAGGAGAGGGGCCCGAAAATTTGCACTTCTGTCTTGAATATGCGCACGACAAGCACCAAATGGCGACGGAAAAAAAAAAAAAAAAAAAAAAAAAAAACAGGTGAAAAAAAGCGGAAAAGGTCAAAAAAAATACATGTATAAACAAAACTGCCATTAACCATCGGTCCCCACGGTCCGGGATCATCGGCAAGTCGGGGTGCATAAAAATGCTATATTGGTTGTGCCAATGACTTAGCACAAAAAACTATCCTCAGCCCATGTGCAGCCCATTCCCAAACTTGTTGTCTTCTTCTAGACCCGAAAAATACACGGGAATGTGAAAGGCTGTCCAAGTGTAGCAAAATATATCGTGCGTGTAGGCTAGCCGTTGAGGTAATCTGGGCGCTGTGTGCACTCCGCACAATCTCCATATTGTCATCTCATTTGGAACTGGCAAACCACCCCCACTTTTCTTGCGTCACAAGCCCAACTATTCGACTGCTTCGTTCCCTGTGCGCCAAGACGCTTCTTTGATACCGAGCCCACTTGTGTATCACGCAGCTGTGCGCCGTTCTTCTAGTGCGCCTTTCTCTCCCTAAGTATTTATAACCATGGACAATTCGCAAGCGTCGGAAAGGGATCAGTTCCACCCATACATTGACATTTCGTCGCCAGCGCTTGAGTCGGGCGACCAACTCTCGAATATGGCCCCTCTGAACGCTATGGCCAACCTAGGGTCCTCATCCTTGTCGCCTGACTTTCTCTCCGTGCAAGGCTCCGGTAACGCCGATCAGGACAAGCAACTGGCTGTCTTCGGAGATGCTGTCAACAAGCACTTGTCTGCAGCAGAAGCAACAAGCAGCCTGTTCCATCTTTCGCCGGCAGAGCCCTCGGATCTGTTATATTCCGACTACCTCTCGCCCCATGTTTACACTCCGAGATACTCTAACTCCGATACACACTCAACGCACACCCTTTACTCGGATACGTCGCTGGTGCCCGGTTCGCCGTTCCACGATGCTGCATCACACTTCAGTGAAGCTTTTACCCCCAACGACCGCTTTGATTTGTCCATGGGCCAAGGTTTTCTTGAGCCTGCGCCGCGCACAGTCCAAGACGCTTTCGTCAATGAAATAATGTTGGGCGAATCCGTGCTGTCAACTAATCTTCACCAAATGGGCCAAAGTCTCAATGGGGCTGGCTACAACAACTCAGACTACAAAAACGACAATGTGAAAACCGAAGATTATATTCAGAATTTAAGCTACAACCTTGACCTGAGCTACAATCAGAACCTGAAGCTCTCCCAGAATCTTAACGAGAAGCAAAGTTACAACCAACACCTTGACCAGAACTATGGTCAAAGTTTTAACCAAAGTTATGACCAAAGCTATCCGGGCCTGATCTATAACCAAAAGGAAGTATCCAAAGAGAATTCGGCGTTTGACAATCTGTACCAGTCGATGCTGGTATTTGGTCAAGGTTCGCTTTTCAGCGACTCTGTTCGTCTTACCGAAAACAACTTGCTGTCCTATAATGATAGTCGTTCGGGCCAGGCCGAGACTCGAGAGGATGTAACTATATCTATTCATCAAGCCCCTGATGAAGTGGCTGCTCGGACCCCATCCCTTTTTAGTAACTCTTCCCACTCCTCCCTCAACAACTCGCCACAACATGACCTGCTTCATCCACAAATGGGCACTTTTGGAAGCAGTCAAGGCCACTTGCCACTAAGCCCGGCGTCCGATAACGATGGCCTCTTGAATCCAGATGAGTTTCAGAATATTCGTCGTGGGCGTCAAAGAGCCCATTCCTTAAAAGTGCGGTCTCAGCTGCGCTCGCGTTCCCGTTCTCGTCTGAGAACTTCCGTTCATGATGACCATGGGGACGAGCTGAATGACAACGAACCGTCGCTGGGAAAAGTTTCCTCACGCGAAAAAATGTTGGAGCTTGCCTCCACGGGCCAGCCGTCAAACCGTGTACAGAAACACCCATCTTTGTATGCTTGTGAGTTATGTGACAAAAGATTCACCAGGCCGTACAATCTTAAGTCGCATTTGCGGACTCACACAGATGAGCGGCCGTTTGTGTGTAGCGTGTGTGGAAAGGCCTTTGCACGACAGCACGACCGGAAAAGACACGAGGATCTCCATTCAGGCGAAAAGAAATTTCAATGCAAAGGCGTTTTAATGGATGGCACTCCGTACGGTTGTGGACGGAAGTTTGCGCGGGCAGACGCATTGCGTCGTCACTTCCAAACAGAATCAGGAAAAGAATGTATTCGGCTTCTTGTGGAGGAGGATGAACGAGAACGAAAGGCTGGGCGGAAGTCACAAGGCTTCCAACTACCGGATGGTGATTTTTTGAGCCCGTCTGAAGTTTCGGGCCATCTAAATATACCTCAGGTGGCCATTTCCCCGCCACAATGATATAGTGTATTTTACAAGAAATATCTGGAGGTTCTTTGATTGGAAGTTGATCTAGTTCTTCAGTGCTTGATTGTGTTTGGTGCAATCAGGTAAATGTTTCAGATTGTGATTTGACCTTCTATTTGATATGTTAAGGTGGTGTCAAGAGGAATAGCTTTGGGAGATCTAAGCGAGTTACTGATTAGTTTTTTGCGATAACATGTTTCAAAAAATGAAAAGGAAAGCTCGGTCTTGTCTCGGCCCTGCATTCCGAAAACCCATTTGTCACTGGTTTACTGCTCTATTTGTGGGGAAATCCAACTTTGAGAGTGATAGTGGCTTATTTCAATTGAAACGTCATATGGAGTTTTGCTTAGGTTGATTTTTCTACTCTTGTAACATTAATAAAATGCGACTCTTTGTCGGATTTGTATGTCGAAATGTAACTCTAGAGCCATCAAGAAATCCAAAAAATCGTGGCCTTTCTCAAGTTAACGTCATTTCGTAAGAGAACATTGATTCTCCACGAAGGAAGACCATGATTTTTAACGTTCAAAGTTATAGTGTTGGTGGTTCAAGCTGTGCATTGTTCAACAACAAATTGAAGGTAGAAAAAGAGTTTCTTTGAATGAATCGATTAATGTACTCCTCTTTTTTGGTTTTATAGAGACTATCAATTTGTACGTGTAATAGTCAAAATACGAAATTGCAACACAAGAACACTTAATAACGCATTGAAACCAGAGTAAAATCTCTAGCACGTATAAAATACGGAAAATTAAACTGCTTCATCTACGTTTAACACTTCAAGTATCAGATGGGTGAACCTTTTTTGGCTGTCCCACAAGCATCGCAATTTGTCGCATCAATTTGTCACATTAACTTGTCGCAGTTCGTCACATTATCTTCAGTTTCACTTAGACTTATAAATCTCCACCAACATTGGAACAAAAAGCATACTGTCGATCGCTTACAACTTTGTCTCGACTTCGCTAGATTCAGCTAGTGACCATAATACCCACAGACGGAAAAACCAACGCAAAGTATTCGTACACTCCGAATTTCTTGCATTCCACCGAGATTTAACGGCCAGTGTAACTACATTCACTATACTGGAACTATAGGTGACTTGTCTTACCCATCTGCGGAAACATCTAATTCTGACTTCTCCTGCTCGAACTTTCTGCTGACCTACCTATTATGGACTATCAGGAAGACTTCATGGATGGGCTAAAGCCTGCGCTGGGAACCGTAGAGCAGCTTGCAGCAGAGCAGCAACAGGTGATTGCTCAACAAGGACGGGCTTACTTGGACTCTCTATTCGGCGACAGTCAGACAATGCCCGTTCGCGTTCGTTCGATAGAAGTCACTAATGCAGAGCGATTCCGAGCGCTGTTTCTAGAATCGCAGCTTGCTCCATTGCTTTCGCCTGGAGCTATGACGCTAGCCGACTTCTTGCGTCGCACAGATGCTGCCTATAGCCTGCTAGCAAAGACTGGCGCCATGGAAGCGGGTCATGTCGCTATTGGCGTTGCTGGATGGGGAGGACCAGCTATTCCAGTGTCTGCAGTTTTTGCACTTACCCCTCCTAAGCGATTCTACGCCAAAACGGGTACCAATGTGGGTAACGGTGAAGGTGATGGTTATATTCAATTGCAGTGGAAAAATGTCTTTGGCGGTGGGGAGAGTGTTCTGCTTGATGCTGTATCAGGGACGAAGACGCCTGCGTCTTACGTGGCGTCGCTTGCCATGCCCTTAGCTGCTAATCCAAATTTCTGGTGGGACACACTGGCGTATACTCATACACGGAAATGGGCTCAATTACACGGCAGTGTGGAAACGACCGGTATCACTTCACGTGTAAGCACTCGATTTGACGGACCAATCAATGCTGATGTGGCTGTTGATAGTTCGTGGCGCCGCTTGTCTAACCATGGCCTGACCGCACTTGCTGTGCTAGCGCAACTGAAAGATTCATTTAAAACATCTATAATTGCCAGCGTCCGCTACGATACACGAGATAGTGCTCTGCTCCCAACTAAAGGTCAATACGTGCGTTTGGCTGCAGAACATGGTGGCGGATGTACTAAGGTGATGGCCGAGGCACAGGCTGCTCGCCAAGCAGGTGCGCATGTGTTTGTTGCAACGCAAAGGGCGGGAATTTTGGCTCGCGGCGGCTTGCTCGACCGCTTTTTCTGCGGTGGACCCAACGATGTGCGTGCCTTTGCGCTCCATGGTTTGGGGCCGCGCGTTGGCAATTCAGCGGTGGGCGGCGACTGCTATTTGAGTGGCGGTTTCTCTTTAGTGAGCCGCTTACCGAAAGTGCCTAAAGACTCTAATTTTCGCTTGCACAGTTTTTTCAATTACGGTAAGTTAGTGGCTGGTGACTGGCGCCAGATGTGCCGTGCATATTCTTCGAGTATGGGTATTGGGCTTCTTTATAACCATCCATTGGCACGCTTTGAATTGAACTTTGTCTTGCCACTCACAGCCTGTGCATCAGATTCTACGCGGAAGGGACTTCAATATGGTGTTGGTGTATCATTCCTTTAGGAGGGAACCAACTATTGGTGGTATGGGTCGAGCTCCTTTTTGCCTAGGAAAATAATGAGATATGATAGACTTATTTATTCTGTTCTCTAGGTTACCATTTCATCCTACACCTAACAAATCCTGATGCTGGTGTATTTTCAGAGATCAGAAAGATAAAAATCGATTAACTGTCGCAAGGCGTTGTCTTCTGTCTTGATAAAATAGGGTCCTAGTCGCAGAAGAATCTCATCCCCGCTCACAAAGAGTGGGTACACATTTTTACTATATAAATAGAGAGGCCTCCTTGTAATTTGGAGGGACCAAAGTTGTTAAGTAATATTTCATTGATCATTAACAACGAATAAAATTTTCACAAGATGAGTATTCAGTGGTGAATTGGTTGAAAGAAACTATCAAGTTAATCTGGTATTCGTTTTTCATCTATTGATTCCTACATTTTCATTCCCTCTTCTTTTAGATTAAGCTCTATCCTTCTTGCTTACTAATTCGTGAACAGTAAATAGCTGAATCACTTCAAGTGAAATTCTTCCCGTTTTGCCTGCGCCATTTCCTATCATACTTAAATACCATCTCTCTTGAAATACGCAGCGGTTGAATAATTCTATATGTTCCGTCCTACCTGGATCACCACTCTTGGTCTTCAGAAGATTGTGGACATTCCAAACTGATATATTGGTTAATGTATGTATCGTTTTTGTAGCATATTAGCATTTAAGTAGCGCGTTATCGTCCACAGGATTGGAAGCAGCTTAACCGAATTGTTAGTATTACTTAGGCTCTAATCCATCTCTCCATTCATCGTGAGCACGGATGACTGCCGGCACTATGAGACTCTCAATTTCCACATGTTGGGCCAACTGCTCAGGAGTTAAGCGGATCCAGTCCTCGTTACCATCTGGAGTCACAATCACCACCTCGGATTTCCTTGTCTGCAACAAGTTTCCAATGACTAGCTGGTGTTGATAACGCTGCAACGCTTGGCGAGCCTTTTTCGTCAAAAGCTTTGTGTCCGTTTCAAGTTTAAACGATACAATCATAGCCAGTGGCGCCCACAGATCGACAAGACGGCGCAAAAATTTGGGTACTTGTTCCAAGTCCACGACCAATTTTCCACTTGGTTGGGCTTGAATCTTGTGCGTGGGCATACGAGATGAAGGCAAGAAGAAATCGGACACTGCTGCCGCGAGGTAGAAAAGTGCCTTTGATCCCACGCCTTGCAAGATTGTCAGCACAGACTTCAATGTGTACAAGTACTGGTTCACTGTGGTGAAAGGCACTAGCAAAAGCGAGTTGGACAGTTGGGCCTCCTGATACTTGCGCAAGACCACAAGCATCTCTGAGGCAAATTGCGGTCGAATCGTCACCTTATTATCTTCCTCAACCATGTAATCCAAGAAGCAGTTGGTCGTGTGGCTATAATGGCGGGAGTAAGGCAAAAGCGAAAACTCTCGGTGCATGAACACCACTGCATAACCGTTTTCCAAAAAGTACTCGGCCGAAGTGGCGCCTCTAGTACCGGCACTAAAGTTATCAATAAAACGAACGGTATTATTTTCCAATGGAACTGTGGTACCGCCCGATGTCACCAACACAATACGCTTTCCACTATTCTGGTGGAACTCGACAAAGTCTTTGATTTGCGACTCAAGCTCAGGCAAATATGATGGAGGAGCGTGACTCAGAAAGAAACGATCCTCATCCGATACAGCCGCAACTGGAAAATCAGGTGCATCTCGGTCGATGGCCGACTTGGTATCAGGGTCGCCGGTATGATAGTTTTTGTGGGGGAACATGTGGTGCAGTCTTAAGTGCGGCATGGCTTTTGAAAATGTAGGGTGGTTTTGTATGATGAGTGCGGTTCGACACATCATTGGTTCTGAGACTGGTTCTGAAGCATGAGCGAATTGGTTGTTTGTGGATCAATAATATGATCGATTACTCATAAGTAAAGGTATATAGCTGCTTTCTCTTTAATTCTCTTTAATTCTCTTCTGTGAAACGTCTTGGTAGACCAGATTCACTTTGAGGAGCATTGACCTGATGGCTCTCAAAAGCCTCGAAGTCGGTACAACTGGGGATGTCAGCGGAATTAATATAGTCTCACAGGTCTGACATCATCAGCTTGGATCCCAACTGCTTGTAGGTTGCATTCCGTGTAATTGATAGGCCAAAATCTTCGTGCATGAAGAAGCGAACACATCCCAGAGATGCCTACAAAATAAGCAGGGATGCACCTCTCTGTTCCTCTACGTCCTACTTTTATTCCTATCTCTCTAGGACTTTTACGATATACCTTGTGTTTTGAAAACTTTTTTTGACATACTTCGTGAAGCTCTGCCCAGAGGTGAACTCTAGTTGTCATAACCGCTGGCAGTGGCTCTGTTGATGATCAATTTCATCTTCTCTCCTTTTCCTTTGGATAGAACTACACGTTCTCTATTTGTGTTACTTTTTGATGTCTTTGCTTTCAATACTTCTCTCATTTGTTATCGTTCGACATCATGAGCGCGAAAACAAGCTTCATAGTGTAAAATGTCTAGTGAACCCCCAATGACCCAAAACCCTGTGGTTTTTCTTGACGTACGTATCTAGTTTCGGTTCCAATATGGCGCACTAACAAATTTAGGTTTCAATAGGCGGTATGTCCCATTTGCAATGTTTCCAACCGTACTAACCCCAGGAATTGCCCAAGGTAGAATCAAGATAGAGCTATTTCACGAACTTCCAAGGTATGTTTCGACGCCTTTTTCTGTCGTTTGCACTCCAGTTGAATATCTACTAATCTTAGAACTATAGAAAACTTTCGCCAGTTTTGCACTGGCGAGCATCGGCCACATGGTAGACCTGTGGGTTACAAAGGCAGTTCTTTCCATCGCGTTGTCAAGGATTTTATGATACAAGGAGGCGACTTTGTCAAGGGAGATGGGACAGGCTCCACCAGCATATTTGGTAGTGACTCTTTCTCGGACGAGTCATTCACCTTCAACCACGAAAAGTATAGCGTTTCCATGGCTAATCTGGGGCCCAACACCAACGGATGTCAATTTTTCATTTGCACAGCGAAATCACCTCATTTAGATGGAAAGCATGTTGTTTTCGGACGTATCGTAGAGGGATTCGATGTCGTAGATGCTATGAACACAGTATCTGCAAAGCGTGAAGCCCCAGTAAAAGCGATCGTCATTGAGGAGTGTGGTGAGATGTGAATTTTCATCAATTTCCGTTAATATTCAATCTATCGGCATATTCCCCTTTAGTTATGTACTCAATATCTGTTTTCTTCTCTCCTCTTATTAACTGTGCTCCGGTGGTTTTCCGCCACTTTTCGTGCAGTCCACACTCTTATCTAGTCACATCGGCATCCTCATTCCATATACCATCTTCTCCAAGCCTACCCTTCCCACTTGTATAAAATTCGATGTCTGCCGATTACTGGGCATCTTCTCAACGGGCAAAATGGCAGCTCACTCGCGAAGGCCTTCTGGAGTGCCGGCGACGCCTCAATCTTTTGGAAAAGAAAATGACCCAGAGCGGCTTGATCAAAGACTATCCTCATGTGGTTTATGACTACCACATGAGAATTTATCTCCACACCTTATTGGTAAAGCTCGGGAGGCGCTTGAATGTGCGTCAGATAGCCCTCGCCACTTCTGAAGTCTACCTCTCTCGATTTCTTACTCGCGTGTCTGTTAAAGAAATCAATGTCTACTTGTTGGTAACCACCTGTCTTTATGTCGCGTGCAAAATCGAAGAGTGCCCGCAGCATATCCGAGTCATAACACTGGAGGCCCGAAATCTCTGGCCCGAGTACATCCCGCACGATGTGACAAAACTAGCTGAGTTTGAATTCTACTTGATCGAAGAGATGGACATGTACTTGTTTTTGCACCATCCATATGGTTCCTTGTTGCAGATCCGTGACCTACTACTGGCTAATGAAAGCCATTATGGCTTCGTCCTATCAGACGACGAGCTTCAGCATTCCTGGTCTCTTGTAAATGACCTGTACATCACAGACTTGCATCTTCTATTCCCACCACACATTATTGCTGTTGCTGCAATCTACATTACTATCGTGCTCAAGAAAAATTTGAATGCCATTCGAGCAGGTAGCACACAGGTTGGCCAACTGCATTCAAGTCCCCCAAAAGTATCGATGCACGTTGACGATCTCATGGCCCTAGGCTCAAGCACAAATCTACTGGCGCAAAACTTTTCTGACACTCGCTTAGATGCTGACACAGAAAAAATAGACCGCTTCATGGACTTCTTCAATTACTCGCATATTAATTTGGACGAGGTTGTTGAGGCCATGCAAGAAATCATAAATCTCTATGTGGCGTGGGACCGGTACAATGAAAACCAAGTGCGCAGGGCACTACAGCTTATGCTCATTGGGCGATGAATTTGCCGAACAAATCAGGTACATGAGAACTTCGATTAGTGATGTTCGACTGAGAGTGATCCGGTTATTGTGACTAAATTGCCAACACTGTACCCCATATGACACGCTGGCAACTGAATATGTATAGATATCCTGCGTATCTAGTTAATGATGAAATGACTGCATACTTATTTCTACTTAGCTTAAGTATCTTCTTTACGATTGAGGCCCTACCATGGGACAAATGGGATGGTTCCTCTCAACTAGTTCTATCAAATTGTCACTTGTGGTTGCACTCTAAGTAAATTAAGCTAAACTGCAGATGATCTGTAGTTGAAACCAACAGCCTGTACCATTAAGCACTCGGCCCACATACTTCAGCTGAAATTCTTATATGGTGAAATTTTCATTGAAAATATTAGAATATTTCACTTGCATGAAGTATGCTCCTAGTACTTTTAATATTGATTTTGTTCTTTAATTTTTGTCAAGTACATTGTATGGTAGTGCGATCAGGCGACAAAGCGTGCGAACCGAGAATTCAAAACGCGTGTGTATCCACGTTTTCATAAAAATAGGAACAACACATTCAAGAGCACAAGAAGTCTGAATAAAACGGAAACTCAAAGGGAATTGTCGACGAATAGAGCCGAATCATGCTTCATGGTAAGAGAAGAAAGTAACCAACGTAAAACTAAAATTTATGCGTGAAACACATACTTCCAACCCTTGTATGCGGTAGTGCGCGATGTAGCACTTTTTTCCTCACTTCCGCTTTGTAGACTTTTTTCGAGCTTTGCTCTAGTGAAACGTTAAGCCTTCTTCTTTCGCTTTCCTACCTTTTCTGGTTGCTCGGGCCCTCACTATACAACATGGGTTTTCTATCATATATCGATAAGAATCAGATCCAGATATCCACGAAGCTTCTACTTGGGCTATATGGGTTGGACTACATCAGTTCCAAGTATTCTCCAACGATCCATTCGATTACGTCAAAGTTTTTGCATTTACAACCGAATACCCAGTACGGTTCTGACTTTTATGATATTGATGTCAGTGATTCATTTTGTGTGGCATATTGGGTAGTGTTACTTACGTTTTTGAGATCTACATTGATGCAATGTTGTTTCATGCCTGTTGCCAAACGCCTCTGTGGCATTCAGTCGAAAAAAGCAAAGGTCCGCTTTGCGGAACAAAGTTGGTCTGTTGTCTACTATTGTGTCTCGTTTGCTCTTGGGTTTTACCTTTACTACCACTCACCATATTGGAATGATTTGGACCATATTTTCATTGGATGGCCTCACGACCACATGTCTCCACTTCTCAAGAAATATTACTTGGTATCGATTGCATTCTGGTTACAGCAAGTGTTGGTTTTGAATATCGAAGAAAGGAGGAAAGACCACGTGCAGATGTTCAGTCATCATATAATTACCTGTGCATTAGTGATTGGTTCCTATTATTACTACTTCAACCGCATTGGAAATCTTATTTTGATCATCATGGACTCTGTCGATATATTTTTGTCCACAGCCAAAGTCCTCAAGTATTCAGGTTTCAGCCGCATATGTGATGTTATGTTCCTTTTCTTTCTTGTCTCGTGGGTTATTTTACGCCATGGTGTGTATAATTACTTGTTTTATCACTCATGGAAGTACTCCACAATTTTGATGAAAGATTCACAATGCATTCCCGGGTTACAACAAAAACGATGCTGGACTCCTACTATCATCAACACCTTTCTCGTTTTACTAGGAGGCTTGCAATTTATCACTTGCATTTGGATGTATTTGATCCTAAAGGTTGCATTGAAAGTGATTAGAGGGCAAAGCGCTGAGGACGTTAGAAGCGATGCGGATGACACAGATGTTGAAGAACAAACTGGACAGGAAGACTCAAGGGAAGGTACAGATTCATCGGTTGAAACAATCACCGAGATGGATGAGAAAAACTAGTAATGTGCTCTTTTATACTTAGGTGTTTTTATAATAGGTCTTTATGTGGGTTTACAACACGACACTAGCGTAGAGACAAAGAACCATCACAAACAAGCCCCAGATTACTAATAACAATGCAAGTAATTTCAAGAGACGCTCCAAGTTACTTGGATCATCAGTTTCAGACCCAATCAATTTATACCCGAACAATCCAGGCAAGATGAATGAAATCGCAGTAGATCCAGTGGCTCCCACAACTGCCAATACAAGAGCAAATGACGTGATACTGGCAGCTAATGTGTATCCCACAAGGAGCAAGCCAATAGTGATGGTATAAAATACTGATGACGGAAATGGGACGACAGTAGGTTTGAGCTGACTTTCATGGATCTCTTCCGGCTGTTCAGCCAACAATGCTGTTGACTCATTTGCAGATGTTTCTTGCTGGCGAGAGGCAAAAACGTTGATTTTGGTCCAGTAATAGATATTGTTTACCGAAATCCGGGCTGGGTGAAGCATCAAAGGGAAAGAAAATACCATAGTGAAGATTATGCAAATGCGACCTAAAGTAGTAGTCCATGCGTTGGGGTACAGAAGGATGACATTCCCCAGCACTAAATCACCAAAGGTCAAGTATCCCGAAATGCCCACGGCAATGAACAAAGCTGAAGTACAAGTGATGGCAAAGTTGGACAAGGTGCTAAGGGATGACAAGGATTTGTCTGCCGCCTCGTTGATAATGGAGAACATATTTTGATGGCCAGTAAATGCAAATACCACAATTGAAAAAGTCGAAAACACTGCAGTTAAAGATTTTGGGAACCAGCGAACTTCTCCACGAGCAGATGGTGGAATGTCACCTGCAAAGAAATGTCCTACAATCAATAGAACCATATAGGCAATTGCCACCAAGCCGAGAATCGATGTGTACTTGAGAGAATCCAAATTCTTGAGAAAAGAGAGTGGCCAACAGACCAATGCTGAAACCACAATCCAGAAGGTGCGGCTGTTCTCTGGGCTGATTCCAGGTACATGTTCCACAATGGTGGGCATTATATCGCCAATCAACACCAAGTATGAAATGGCGCATCCGAAGCACTGGATTGCAATGGCTAAATCAAAAACCACAGAGAGATTCGGGTATGTAATGGAACACAAGTTGAAGAATGTCGCATGAGCTGGTGGAACGTATTTGGAAACGTAGACTTGCAAGAACAAACCATAGCCGGAAGTGACTGCTGCTAACAACACAATAAAAATTCCACACGCCACTCCGTCAGTGGAAAAAGCATATGGCATTGATAAAATTCCAGCACCGATGATGGTTTTCACCAAGCTCACAAACGATGATACCTTAGAGGCACCATGGTCGATTGCAGGCATTGTACGTGGAGATCGGTGATCAGAAGTTCAAATTCGGTCCAAGTAGAATAGGATGCAGACGGTTATAGCTATATGCCGGGGCACAGGAAGAGAAGTTATTGCTTCACGACGAAGAACGCCAAGGTCTACTATTCTATCTAATATGAGTCATCTGGGTGTCTTGCTAAAGAATAAATTTACTAAAATTTTGGGGAAATATCATAATAAACACTGGTCAACGGAGGATGTGGAACTGTGGATGCATCTCCACAAATTGCTTTCAATGTGCGGAAACTCATGAATATTGGAAACCAGTAAGCGAACCCTGCATGTATGATCCCCATATTTAGATTCCCATCAGTTCGTATTTTACGCCTACTGATGTATACCAAAATCCATTAAACACTTGACAGTTTTGATTCTTTGCACAGTGTATTCTCATTATTTTGTTTCATTCCATTCCACGATTTCATACTTTTTCTCAGGCATCTAATGATCCCCCCAGAGACAGTTGCACGCGTCTTCCAAGAAGTAGCCTTCAAACGTTCCGGGACAAGAATGTCCGCTAAGAGCTTGGCGCTAAGCACGGAGTATATCCGGTTATTTGTGGAAGAAGCGATTCTTCGATCCAATGCACAGCGTTTAGCTGAAGATCTGCCTACAGTGATTGATGGTATTGACAACATTCAAGAAGAAAATGAAGCAAACGAATCATTCGAGGAGGAGAATGAGCGAGGACTGGGTGTGTCAACGCAGATTCCGACGGATTTGGCTAGCGACACATTGGATACACGACAGTTGGCTTCCGTGGCTGGTCTCTTAGTGCTAGATTTTTAAAGTTCATTGTCACAGGGCGAAGTTATGTATGGACGAGTAACATCAGCACAACGCCTACAGAGAAGTCACTTGCGTACTGTGGATGTATATATAAATGATATTAAGAAAGGAATGTAAAGATGTAATCTACGATAGATGAACATTCACTTATTGCTCCTCGACTTGGCACACAACCCAAAACCCAAACTTGGAACCGCCCACCTGCTCTACTGTCAAGTAAAACGGCACCACTGGCTCACCACCCTCGAGCAAGGTCATGGTAAATGGCACTGCTGTCCAGTTGGGCCCGACCTCCACTGTCAGCAGCGGTCCTCTTCGCACCGCCCGCTCCAATTGTTCGGCGCGCGCCTGACTGGTGCGCCCGGTCAAGTACACAGCGGGTACGGAAGCTGCGACGCTCGCCTTGTGGCCTTGTACACTGAAGGTGGTTATTGGCATTGCTACGTGAGCCCCGTGTGGGTTTTGCAGCACAACAGCCGCAGTCATGGTAATGCTGGCCGGCAACGGGTTCATGACGCTGAGAGTACAGGCAACTTCACCAGAAAGTGGCCCAAGGGCCCGCGCGCACACCGTGGGCACCATGTCAACTGCGAACTGTTTGTGGGCGAATTTCATCAGGCGCGGATCGCTCGTGGGGACACACAATGGCGCGCGGCACAGACCGCATGCAAAAGACCTCTTAGCTGTTAGGTGATGGCCGAGCGGAAGCGAAAGCGCAGGCTCGATGGCTGTCCTCGTGCCACTGTCTTGTTTGGAGCATCCCGCTTCACTATTTTCAGCTTTGTCCCCAGGTGTGGGCAGCTGCTCTTTCAGCACGCTGCATTGCTTCGTTTTCTCCCTGGCTCTTACTGTTCCCCTATCCTCCTCGTTCATTGGGGCACGAATGCCCATCTTCGCCATGCGCGCAGCTACCGCCGGGTCCGAAGGCTCCTTCACGCTGGAGCGCGCCTCGCCCCACAATGAAGCTAGTCGCGAGAACTCGCTGTTACGTTCGCCCTTCACAATGTTTGCAAGAGCCATGGGCTGCGTGACAACACGCGTCTCATACACATAGGGACAGATACCGCAGCGGAATTCAAACTGTTTCCCGCGCACCTTATCCTTGACTGCGTCTTTTACAACCACCGTGAGTGGCGCTTGGCACTGTGGACACTCGAAGCAGTTTTTCTGGCACCTTGTTACGCCCCGCACACCGCTGTAGTCCGCCATGCACCGGGCGCAGTACTTGCACTCGACCGAAACCACACAGCAGAAACGGCATCGGAGCACACTGCACCCACTACAGAAGTAAAGATCCGGGAGTCTCCATAGATTAGCAGGCGTCATTGCCTTAGGGAGCTTGGTCACGTGATCCCACTCACTGTTGCCGCACGGGCAGAGGTACTGTGCTGCCCGATAATAGTGCATGGGACCGTGTATGTGATACTTGGCCAGTAGGTGAAGATGCTGAATGGAATCGCACACCGAAGCACTGGTGTAATGCGCGCCTTGACGCTTTTGGCTCCGGATGTTCAGGTGCACAAGACTGGTGCTTCCTGCACCACGCCACTGATGTTTTATCTCAAGTGCGAAAAAACTCTCATCTCTCTTCACCATGTCGTCTCCTCAAAGAGAAGGGTTCAGTGCCCCCGCATCCATCTCTCACGCCGCTCACGGTCACGTTACCAGCAAGTCTTTGGGTGTCAAGTATAACTGTGCTCAGTGCGGTGCCTCTTTCTCCTTGGGAAAGAGCGATGCCATCAGATGCAAAGAGTGTGGCCACAGAGTTATTTACAAGGCCAGAACCAGAAGAATGGTTCAGTTCGAGGCTCGTTGAGGACGCACAAAGCTACTGTCGTGGTAGTTGAGGCGCCTAGTTGTTTAATGGCGAGACTTGAAACGGGGCAAAGTGTGGTGGTGAAATAGCTTAACGGTGGGACAGCCAGCGGTTGCCCATTATATGCATAATACATTTGGATGTTCATGTTTTGTAGCACGCTCTAGCGAACTTGACTTGTATTATATAGTACACAATTAAACAGAGAAACACAGCCCCAGCGGGGAACAAAACAGCGAGCGAATGTCAGTGCACAACGGTCCATCACTTGAACATCTTCTTGATCTTGGAGAAAAATCCCTTCTTCTTCTCTTTAGTAGCAGGCGCCTTGGTTTGCTTTGGAGCAGGCTTGGTCTCGGATTTTTCCGACTTCACAGCAGCCTCCACAGCTGGCGTAGTCTCTTGGATCTCTGCTTCTTGTGTTAATTTCAACGCTTCAGATGGTGTTGGTTGGATCTCCTCAATAGGTGCTCCGCCGTTAGCTGCACGGAGTTGTTCTTCGATTTCTTTGCTGCTGCTTCCGCCCTGGGCAATGATGATCTCATCGCCTTCTTCGATGTCAAACTTTTTGTCAATTGGCGAAGCGTCAACCTCTTTCGTTTGCGAGACTGTCTTCTCTTCTACTGGAACAGACTTGGATTCAACTGGCGCTGGTGCGGTTTCAGCAGGCACTTCAGCAGAAGGAGCAGGTGCTTCGACCGCAACTGGAACTGCAACTGGAACCGCAACTGGAACTGGAACAGCTTCAACAGGTGTAGGTTCAGCAGGAGTAGACTCAACGGGCTCAGCATCCTTCACAGGTGTTGGCTCATCTTCCACTGGGGCTTCTTCCACTGGAGTTTCAACTGGGGCTACAACTGGATCAGATTCTTTAGCAGCGGCGATAACCTCTGGAGTTGGAACAAGCGACTCTTCAGCCGGTGGAATAACATCCCTGGCCTCTGCCAGCTCTGGTGCAGCTTCTGTGGCTGGCGCCTCCTCCGAAGCGGGAACAGTTTCCTTTGCTTCAGAGTTGCTTTCCGCAGCAGCGATAACTTCAGGAGTAGGAACAACCGACTCTTGTGCAGGGGCAGCAATAGCTTGAGGAGTCTCAACTGGCTCAGGAGTAGGGGTCACCTCTGCCTCAGTGGTGACTTCGGTGCTCAGAGTACCGTTGGCGGCGGCGGCAGCAGCAGCCTTCTTCTTCTTCTTGTTAAGCTTGTACTGAGTCTTCTTCAACTTCTTCTTTTGCTTCTTTTTTTCTTCAGGAGTCAATTCAGGCTCGTTTAAAGTCTTTGGGTCCACGTCTCTGACCTCTTTAAAGGCAGCCAAAGCTTCTGGGTCTTTAGGGACAAAAATTCCTGGTTCACCCAATGTAGTTTGTTGTCCCTCAGTAGAGGGCATCACAGTGGTGGAAACAGAACCAGAAGCGACTTCCAAACCACCGGCTTCTGGGATTTTGGTTCCGGTGCTCGAAGAAGCAAGGTCGGCGGCAGACAAAACATTATTTTCAATGCCAGCGTCATCGTTAGTGACGGCCTGGTCCTTGCTAACTTGCCAGTCACCATCAACAACATACTTGTACAAGATCTTGTCCTCCTTGGGCAAAGGAACGGTCAATTCGAAAGAACCGTCGGATTGCTTGACTAGAGGCAATGTTTTGCCCCAATTGTCAAAAGTACCGGTGACAATGACTTCTTGGGGACCGCTGGGCCTGTACAAGTTAGTATTTGCATCATAAGACAATTAACGCATGATCGGAAACATACCATTTGAAAGTGTAAGACGCAGACATGAACAAAAGTAAAATGAGTACTGAGCGAAGCCACCCCCAGGAGAAGGGAAAAAAGAAGAAGCACCAGCAAGAACTCCGTCCTGCACACAGCCCTATTATGGCGCGGCAAGAGTGCGCGAGACGGAAACTATGAAGCAAAAAAATGACCCGGAAGCAGGTCAAAAATAATAAAAAACACACATTGCGCAAGTGCGTCTGCAGGAAAAACTACCCCAACATAGACAATGCTACTGGCAAAAGCACTAGGGAGTGGGCCGCAGCTATTGCCACCAATGCGAGCCACATGCGGAAGTAGTATACCTCGAAGATTTTGGATCTTGCGAAAGCAAGCACGGCCACGCCGATAAGTTTGGTGAGTGTGATACCCCCAATGACGGAGCCGCCAACGGCGACCAACGCACTTTGTGCAGGAGGATAAATCTCCAGGTTTCTTTCGGGTGAGCCGATGTCCTGGGTAGCCATGAAGTGGCGATATGCCTCAGCCGAATCGTCATTCTTTGCGGTCACGTAAGCTCGGGCAATGTGTATGGTAAATTCGACGGCAAGTCCTGCACAAATCACCAAGTTTACGAGACTCACTGCATTGAGTGAGACACCCCAAATGGCCATGATACCAGCCACATTAGCCACGACGGCTGCAACGACTAGCGTTACAACGGCCGCAACAGCAGCCAGACCGATAAGAATCGTGGCAACCACCCAAACAAGGGCAAGAGCTGCAGCGAGCGTAGCAACTGTGAGTGATACAATGTGATCATACTGGACAAAGAAGACATAGAAGGGCGAAAATGCAAACACGTCCAAACCATCATGCGAGAGATCCAGAACGATCCGCTCTGCATTTTGGTGAGCCACTATAAAGTCTGTTTGCGAGCGCAACGGGCGATGGCTTGTTCTCCAGTAACTGCTTATGACCCCTGTTTCGTTATAGTGCACAGCAGATGAGTACGGTGCTTTCCCTCCAAGTGGACATGGGTCGCTTGGTTCGTTGATCCAATGACGTAAATAAGTCATGAAGTTTTTGCCTGTTGGAAAACCTTCCATCAGAATATTATAAGGTGGTTCGGCGCGCTCAAAGCACGGTTCGCACTGCCGGGGCGGCGCGTGGGGCGGACAAAAATCTGGCGCCTGCGCTCCTGCTCTCACCCGACAACACTGATCCAAGGAAGGATTCAAATAGGCGAAAAAATCATCCAACCAACTGGAAGCAGGTTCAGCAAGCGTAGACACATCACCACGGCGATATTCTTGCTCGAGCACATTGGCAAGCGAGAATTCCTTACAGGTAGAGAATTTCCCGCATACGGCTTGTTGGTTTGGCCGTGCAGTGAGGTCCAAGTCGCGCACAACAAAGAAAACGGGCGGTCCAACATTCAAATACTCGTATACCGCGTCAAAGTAATCCACTAGATACGACTGCAGAGGCAACGCCATACGCTGGTCAAGACCCAATTGTATGCGTGGGAGAAGCGCGAGTGACACGCCGAGCCATGCTAAAAAGAACGCCAATACCCGCCCGCGAGTCTTCGGCGCAAACAACCACGGGGCGTATCGCTCGCGCACTATGCCCGCAAAATTGTACTCAATGTGCGCACGCAGGCCACGTTCTCCTTGACTTGATCCCTCGGGAAGGTGAACAGAACTTTGTACTGTAATCCATGGGGCAAGGTCCATTCGCCCACTCTCTAAACGACGTTGGTCTAAGGATAAGAGCGCCACAAATGCGCTCATTTGAAGAAGGAAGTTAACTGCAATGGCACCCGCTGAGTAAAGAGCGAAGTTGCGCACCGCAGGCATTTTCACTGTAGCCGCAAGCAAGAATACCAGTACTTGTAGTAAGGCAGATATGAGACAAGCAGGTCCAACTTTCTGTATTCCCGTCAGAATACGTTCTGGTACAGAAATGTCGCTCGCGCTTTCGCTTAGAAGGTGAACTTCATGCACTATAAGGAAAACATTATCCACACCAACTGCAAGCACCAAGAAAGGAATAACTTCTGCAATAATCAATGTAGATTTGAGACCCAAAAACGCACAGATACCCGCTGCAGAGCAAACAGACAAAATTATAATCAAAATCCCACTGAGTCCAAGCATAAACCGTGTATGCACAAGACTGCTTTTGGAAATTTTCGTAGGAATACGTCCTCCTAATGCAAGTGACGCATAAAGAAACATAGCTAAGTAGGAAACAACCACGATCTTGACATCTGTATTTGTTGATTGCCCGAGTTCTTGTTCAAGCGAAACTTCTGTGCTAAAAGAGATACGCAAATCTGGACGTTCTTGTTGAAGGGTCTTAACCCAGCTCTGTATAGCATTCTCATACCCCACAGCCTGTTCAGTGTATGCAGCATCCGTCGAGTTACTGTTAAGTAAAAGAGTAACCACAAAGGCCTGCGACTGTAACACCAGGTCATTTGAAAAAAGAAGATTCTTCTTCAATGGCTGTTGGAAAGTCGGTAAGCAGTTAACTGGTGAGTCGGCGCATTTTGAAACCTCCGAAGCCCAATTGTCTGGGTTTAAATAGCGAATGTCACCGTGAAAATATTGGGTAAACGACTCAATGGCACATGTATCGCCCAAAGGCTTGAAGCACAATGATTCTAATTCATACGTGGTATTGCCCTCTCTCAAGGCATAAAGTTCTTGCTCCTTTTCAAACCACCACTGGATGTTTTCCCATGATAAAACAGGACTGCTAGAATTATTTGAGCTAATAATTAATTGTTCCACGCGAAACCACTCCTCGAAGTTAGTTTCAAAGTACTTCTTTTCCTGCAAAGCAGGCTCGCTCGGACTTACCCACAACTTCACCGGATCTGTTTCCCAATCTAAAAACATAAGGCCCGAACAGCACAAAGCAATCAATAGAGCTGAACCGAAAAGGGTTTTGAGAGGGTTGATAGCACATAAAAGAGATGTTCTTCCAAGAGACGTCTCTAACAGTGAAATCATCCTCTTTTGAAATGAAGCCCATTGCGTTAACCAGTCCTTGTCTGGTTGGGACGAATGGCCACTTAAATGGATTTCTAGTTCTGGACCTTCGAGGTCGTCAGCGTCCAAATCACCTTCGAGGATTCTATTCAAGCGCTCTAATTCCTCCCGTTTTTGCTTCGCCAAATACATGTGGTACGCTCCAATGAAGAGAAAGATTGCCAACCACGACATCATGACTGCAAAGGAGAAGCAGGGGATACGGCCAACATGGCAAGACTTCAGGAGATCCCTAAACGGTGGCAATTTTGGGCATGAAATTGGACAATCGGAGCAGGCACACTTGTAGTCTTTGTCATCACAGCTCTTCATAAGACCATTACTGAATTCATATTTACCATCTTCAGGAAGGGAATACTCGAAATTAATCTGAAACGGTGACCCACCAAGAAGAGGCTTCTCATCGCCCAAAAACTTCAAGAATTGCGAGTAATTAGTTGCACCTCCTCCGATCAAATCCATTGCATAGCCATTTGTAGCAGAAAATTTCAAGTTCTTGCATGAATCAAAAAAGTCACTGGCGTATTTTGGTTCAGTGTAGAGCGAAAGCTCTGTGACCACTTGCTTGTGTGTGTCCACTGCAGAAGCGGTCCCCGTAATCTGTATGAATTGAGCCTGATCCAGTGAGCAAGTAAACTTGCAAAAGAAGTCGTAGAAGTTCTTCCGACATGCCGGGCAAGAACTGATCAACAGATCTACTTTCTTCAAGTTCAGTTCCAATGTAGTAAGCTGATCATAGGAACAGCATACACCATTCTCCGTTGGGAAGTCAGATCCACAAACGCGCTCAAGAATTTTCAAAGACTCTTCCAGAGGTTTGGGGGCCGTAATGTTGCTGGGGCATGGCAATTGACCACCAAAGATTGATTTCTTCCCACAATGGCCATACATGGCACAATGGCCACGTTTAGCCAAAGACAGCGCCACCGAGAGACCCACTAGAAGAAACCAGAGAAGAAACATGCGGAACAAAAGCCTGAAGTAATCTGTTCACGAGATGTCTATCGTATACGACGACTATGCTCTTAGTGAATAGGTGCTATTGGAAAAGTCGGTAGATGCGTTGCTTGGGGCACAGTCAAGCGAGAAGGTCACCAGAGTTTGTTAGTATCAAAGTATGAACGAAAGTTAAGAATTGGAAATGTGTTCCGAAGTTCCAGAAAATGGGTGGCCGACACAATTAGGAGTTACTTCTTAAGAATCCGGGGTAGTGCATGAACGCCGGTTGGTATGGAAATTAAAAGCAAGCTCGTTTCAATAAGAGACTGGGCTAGCCAAGGTGGCAATAAATAAGTAAATTAGTGCCCTTAAAGATTTTCTTTCGTGTTAATACACTATGTACCAAAATAACGAAAGATAGGAATATTTGTAGGACGCAGAAGATGGAATAACTCACAGTATCTTGGGTATAGGCATGGGCGGAAATAAGAAATGAAAATTTTAATTAGAGAAGTGTCTTTCTTGACATTTGATAGTAAGATAACTTTTCAAGAACGTCGATGTGAAGCATGTTATTATAGAAATAAATTGGGTACTCTAGAACATCACCTGAGAGACACAAAGGTTTTAGACTTTTTAGCGAGAGAATACGCTTTCAACCTGTAGAGAAGAACATACAAATCGCTATGGCCTACCTTCTAGTAAAACTTTGAGAATTATAAGACCAGTTTGTCCGCTTTTAAGACTTAGATCCCTATCCTGCCTTTTAAAAAGCCGAAACTCGTATTTGTTAGACATCAAATAAGACGCGCACCTTAATATTTTCATATTTCTCCAATGTTGATTGCAATTTCGGGCACATTATCTTCGGGGAAAACCGAAGTAGCCCGCTACCTCAGTTTCCAGGGCTTTCAACTTATTGCCGTCGAGGGACATGACACAAGCACTTTGGGTGCCGAAACTTTTGCGTCCTTCGATCTTCTTCTAGACCATGTGACTGCCAACTGGCGGTCTAACTATGTCATTTCTCATATTGATAATATGGAAACATTGCATAAGCTCCAAAAACGGCCCTTCTTTTTACACATTTGCATCGATGCGCCCGTGTTGATGCGCTACCAGCGTTATTGTCTCAAGACGAAAACACCTGAAAGTCAGGAAAGCTTTATCGCACGCTCCGACGAGCTCTTGTTCAACCCAGAAAACCCGCTAGTGGCAATAAATAACCAGGCGAATATCAACATTGTGAATACCACTGCACTGATAAAAAGTTTGTACGTCAAACTCAGCGAATTAGACTTGATGAACCCAACACGTCTTCGGCCCACATGGGACGCCTATTTTATGCGACTCGCTGACTTGGCGGCTTTGCGTTCCAATTGCATGAAGCGCCGTGTGGGATGTGTGATCGTGAAAGATAATAGGGTGGTTGCTACGGGTTACAATGGGACGCCACGCCATTTAACCAACTGTAACGAAGGAGGGTGTTCGCGATGCAATCAAGGCCAAGGAAGCGGTGCTGGTTTATCAACTTGTTTGTGTCTCCATGCTGAAGAGAATGCATTGCTCGAGGCTGGACGTGATCGCATAGCAGGCGAGAATTCCATCTTGTATTGTAACACATGCCCATGCTTGACATGTTCTATCAAGATCGTCCAGAGTGGTATTCGTCAAGTGGTTTATGCTCAAAGTTACTCTATGGATGAGCGCTCACATAGTGTGATGAGCGAGGCTCGTATAGTGCTCCGCCAGTATGTGCCGCCAAAGGAGGGAATTTTTGTATAATGAACAATGCTCGACGAGCTACTCAATTATGGGTCAATAGAAGGGTGTGATCGTCATAGTAAATATCTTTATTTATTAATAATATTTTCATTTATATTTAGTAGGATTTATGTATATATGGAAGTCCTTTTTCTTCAATGATGCACTGAGGAAAAAAAATGCAAATATTGTGAATAGCTTGCGGCCAACTTTCCCAAGCCGTTATCCTGACATTGCAGGAGCAATAAAGCCATTGGCCCAAGGTGATAAGTACAAAGAGGAAGATGAAGTCTCTAAGAACAATGTTATTTATGCTCATATAATGTAGAAAATGAATATTAATGGTGCTTAGATTACATAAATGAAGTGAGCGAATATGCATTGTATTCCATCTTTACATATGAACAAGAATTCCAGTCTCTCTTCCCTCTAAATTTCTTTGTATTCGTATGGGCCCGGTTTTTCTTCGGCCGTAATATCTATCTTTTCCAATACGTCACCATCTACGCTCAAAGACGCCTCTATGTGATCGCCTGGTTTGACAGGACCCACGCCTTTTGGTGTTCCAGTCAAAATCAAATCTCCCTTCTCCAAAGTCATAATTGCCGACATATGGCTCAAAATGCGATGAATTGGGAAAATCATCAAGTTTGTCATATCGTCCTGCTTCGTTTCACCATTCACAGACAAGGATAAACGGACATTGTAGGGGTCGGGGATTTTTTCTTTGGGTATGAATCCTGACAATGGCAAGAATGTGTCAAATCCTTTGCCTATGGACCATGGTAAACCCTTTTTCTTTGCTTCGTCCTGAACATTTCTAGCGGTAAAGTCGATGGCCAAAGCATAACCTTCAATTGCATCCAAAGCTTCTTGCGCAGAGAAAGTTGGTGGCAAATTCTTTAGTGTTTTGTTCAATGTGAAAGCCAACTCCACTTCATAATGGGCCACAACACCTTTGGGGACTAGAAAGGGGCCATTGTTGGGGCGCAAAACCGACGACGAAGGCTTTAAAAAAAAGAAAGGCTGCGAAGGAGCCATATTGTTGAGCTCCTTTATGTGTGCCGCATAGTTTCTGCCAATGCACAATATTTTTCTCGCATTATCGATATACTTCAAGGACATCGTTGACCAATCTTGAAACCGTGGAGTGTATTCTATGCAATCAATGGAGAACGCTCGGAAGTCACGTGTAACCCCGGAGTTGAAAATGCAGAATCCTTGCTCAGCGATATTTTTTTTTTTCTTCCGCATGGGCTCCTGAACTTTGACCAATGAGAGATGTGTGGTTCCCTGATGTCGGTTATGTTCGACTTAGGCTGCAGGCTTGCAAAAAATTTGGGTAAATGGCGGTGCCCTCAAGCATGTGGCGAACCCAGAGACCCTAGATTGAAAGACGGTAACTCATGAACGAAATTAAATAAGCTCGTAAGCCGGTTCGGAGTGAGGTACTTGGTCAGTATGGTAGCTTTTGCCTGTATTGGGTGATGAAGAGCTAGGTCGACGCATTATCAGATGGCAATCTGCAGGTGCATGCATCTTTCCTGTATTTTAAGCGCCGTAAGCTGTGTTTTTGGTACCTCATCTGTCCAAATTCTCAGTTCGACCAAAGTTGTCAATCCCTTTACGAACGCAGTTACAAAATTAAGGAACCTCCAATCACATCTATTCTTTCGATGAGCCGCACTAAGCAGACGTTTGCGTTTTCTCTGCATATACATCCCGCATACTTCTAAAAGACCCTTCTTTTCAAGATGAAGAAGACATGCTATCTTCATTTATCGTCATTCCATTTTCTGAACCTAGAACAGCTTGTGAATCAGATGTTTTATTGGTTGTTTGAAGCACTTATTTGAAGTGTACATTTGACGTGCCAAGGATTGTTTAGGCATCGCTGTACTTCAGGCGCTTTGTTTTTTTTCTTGGCGATGCAGATGACGGTTACAACGGATATCCACTCCTAAACAATTAATATTGTTTCCAAAGTATCCCAAATGTATTATACAAGCTCAGGGTCAGCACATGCCCGTAATACATTTCATTCACTTAGCTGCCAGTTTTCTCTTACGTGCGGCTGAAACTTCAGACTTGACAGTTCATGGGGTGTCAAAGCCTTTTCTTGTCCATGGGTACGAGCTTGCCAAGAAAAATATATGTAGGCATTATGCAAAAGATCAACCAGATAAAACAAAAGCCGTCTCGGCCCCCAAATAGCCCCATTATTGTCAGTTACTATAAAGGATGGGCATTTCCTGCTCTGCTATCAAAGTACAAACACTTCATTTTTGTCGAGAAACATTCCAGTTTTTCTGCGCTAACCCTTAAACCCCCTTTAGCAGAATGGTGAACGTTTTCAACGTGCAAATTTTCTTCGTGGTGTTCAGAGAAACATTGGAAGCAGTGGTTGTTGTTTCCGTCCTTTTGGCTTTCTTGAAGCAAGGTCTTGGTGGAGCAGCTGACGATCCTCTTGTTTTCAAGAAATTAAATCGACAGGTTTGGGTCGGGGCGATTCTAGGAGTGGTGCTATGTTTGATTATTGGTTGTGCGTTTATTGGTGCTTTTTACTCGTTGGGTAAAGATATCTGGGCCAAGTCTGAAGATTTGTGGGAAGGTATCTTCTGTATCATCGCAACTGTTTTGATCTCGTTGATGGGTCTCGCCATGCTTAGAATTAACAAGATGAAGGAGAAGTGGAGAATCAAGTTGGCTAAAGCCATTATCCAAGAGAAGGGCAGTGGTCCTTTGGGTTTTGGTGGCTTCACTAAGAAGTATGCCATGTTCATTTTACCATTTATTACAACTTTGAGAGAAGGTTTGGAGGCCGTTGTCTTCGTTGGAGGTGTTGGTTTGAACCAACCTGCTTCCTCTTTCCCAATTCCTGTGATTTGTGGTTTGATTGCTGGAATCTTTGTTGGTGTTCTTTTGTACTACTCCGGTTCTACCATGTCGTTGCAAATTTTCTTGGTCATCTCCACCTGTATTTTGTACTTGATTGCTGCTGGTTTGTTCTCCAGAGGTGTCTGGTTCTTTGAAACTTACAGATACAACAAGAAGACCGGTGGTGATGCTTCTGAAAATGGTTCTGGTCCAGGTACTTATGACATCTCCAAATCCGTGTGGCACGTAAACTGCTGCAATCCTGAAACAGACAATGGTTGGGACGTTTTCAACTCTTTGTTGGGCTGGCAAAACTCTGCCACTTACGGTTCAGTCATTTCCTACAACGTGTACTGGTTGGCGGTCATTTTTGCTGTTTACTTGTTGTGGTTTGAGGAAACTCGTGGACACTTGCCATTCATGAAGAACCTCACTATGGCTGAATTGAACCCTATGTACCACATCAAGGGTAAGAAGAAGAACAATTTGTCTAAGAGCGAACAAAAGGAATTGTTCGAAAAGGTCAAGAACAAGAGACTTGGGGCTGAGGACGATAGCTCCGATTCTGTCACCCAAAAGAATGAGTCGGTGACTGCTGAGAAAGCGTCTTAAATTATGAGAGTTTAAGCAGCTTTATTATATTCCTAATTTCTCTTTTCACCATTGGCTTGAAATTTGGATCTGAATGCTTCTCAATGCGCATTACACACACACACACACACATATACATATAAAGCGCGAGAGGTTGTTTAGAGAAAAGTTTCAAGCCATTACACAAGTCGAGCCGTTCTGCACTATAATTTCAATGGGGGTTTAAACGTTGGGTTAATCGTGTTTTTTTTAATATATATTTTCGGGTTCCAAATTGTAGTTACAGTAGCCTCGGGACTATTTTTGTTTTTTCAAGGTTCGTCTGAGCACTTCATCAACTGACAGAAGAGCAACTTAATCAGTCAGTTTACTTCTTACTATTGAACTTTAAGAGCTTCTACGATTATGGAACAAAAACGCAAAGTGTATTTTTCAATAAAAGAAAGACGTGAAGTAGAACGGGTATAAGAATTTAAAAGCGAGAAACACCTCCAGCGAATGCCAAGGCCCAAGTTCTACTTTGGCCTCTGTCGAGATTGGTGCGCTTGAAGTTTTTGGAAGCGAAAAAAACGTAAGAAGTTTTACCATCATAGATCGCTTGGTTCAAAGCCATGATACCATTCCATCCAGAAGAGCCAGTATTTGCTTTCAGAAGGATTTGGGTCCACTCTTCTTCAACGAATTTGGCACTTCTTACCGACGAAGAAGCGGGAGTGATAGGCAACATGTGAATACCATGAATATATGAAACATTCAGACCAAAGTAAGTGTTGTACTCGATTTCGTTGTCAGAGTAAATACCAGCAACCTTGTTTGGAATATAATCAGCTGGCTCAACCTTGTTGTCATCGGACAAGAGAATGTAAGAGTTGATAGATCTGCTTTGGATCTTCAACATCAAGTCACCACGTGCTTCCATAGCTTTATCGCCAATTACCTTACCCCACAATTTCATTCCATATGAGAAGTTGTAATCCTCTGAACTAGATTGCTCATCTTTACCATTGGCACTTTCAAACAATCCTCTGCCGTAAGAATGACCATGGAACCAATCAAAGTACCTGAATTGAGGGAAGAAGCTGTCAGCAGTGGATGGGTTGGCAACGTCCCGGACCAAAGTATTAATCCAATTCTTGTTCTTGCCGACCCAATCACCATTGTTCTGATTATCGACGTATCCAACCACAGCCGCTGCATGCAAGTAGTAACCATAGTAAGCATGGTGATTGTTGTAATATCCAGTGCCGAAATCTTCAGATGTATCACCACCGTTGTTAGCTGTTGGAGTAATTCCACCAAACTTTGTATCGTACATAAATTCAGTCGGCATTTCGTTCAGGGCGAAGACTGCAAAGTACAGTTGCAATTGAACAAGTAAAGAGTCGGCCAATTTATGGTCTTGAACAATGTCCTTAAGAACGAGTAACATGTAAGCGTACTTATCGAGAACTTTACCGATGTAGTAGGTGCTTTCCATCAGAAGAATCGTAGCAACAACATCGATATCCTCTAATTCTGCCACTGCAACATCTCGAATTTGTTTGATCTGTTCAGGAGAATAAGAAAGAGAAGTTCCGGTACCCAGCAAGTAAGGGTAGAATTGAACATTAATGTCAACGGTATCGGTGAAAGAAAGCACATTTGTCAAAAGACCTCTCATTTCGCCCTTCGTTGTTGACCACAAATTGATACCAGTGTATCTTTTAGCTGTAGACTGGCTGAGGTTTTCTAAGTGATGGGGCAAAGCGAAAATGATTGGAACGTTGGCATGAGAAGAACCTGCGGTGGTATATGAGATTGAGTATTGAACATCGCGGCATGCAATGGAACCTTTCACATCTGCACCTGTCACATACGAACCTGCAGAAAGCTGATAATATGCATCCAATCTGCGTTCCTTAGGCGCAACTGCAGCTTGGACAACTAATCCATCCGCAGGTCTTGAAGCCACGATATTTCCATTATACATTGAAAGCTGAAAGCCGGACAATTTTCCTGAAAGGAAAATAATCCATTGGGCACCTGAGCTCAAATTGATTCTGTATTTTTGCATTTCGGTAGATCTGGCAGTCACGTTCTCTTGCACCAAACTTGTGATGGTGAACTCAGAAGACAATCTTAAAGTCATGTTGCCGTGATAAATTGCAGTGGCAAAACCCATACCTTCAACGAGAGGAAATTCAATATTGTTGGTTTTGTTGTAACCCTCAGGAGATAATTGGACTGCAACATACATGGCTTCCATGTCCTTCACAGTCAAGTAGCTCTGATTTTGACGCAATTCGCTGGCAGAAAAAACAAGGTCACCCTTGTGAGTAGGGTAAGTGAAAGAGCTGACAGCTCCATTTGAATTCTTCTTACCATTGATTCTACTGGAAGGACTTGAATATTGAACCGCAAAACCATGCTTAGAGCTCTTGTCCCAGTAGAATCCGTAAGGGTAAGTCCATACCATGTTGGTTTGTTCTCCCAAGATCAAGTTGTTGTAAAATTTGTTTGTGTGAATACTCAGATCCTTCATGACACCTCTTGGGAGGTTCAAGGGAAGTGAATCTTCTTTGAAAAAGGCAGAAGGATCTCTCGATGAAATGCCCGAGAACAAGTTACCCACAGTGTTACACGTTGGTTTCGAGTCCAAGATCACAGTTCTGTTAGCAGAGAAAGAAGATTCAGCGCTGGAGAATGTAATGTATTCGGTGAGATCAGAACCATCAAGTCCAGAAGGGTTTGGAGGGTCCGAAACTTCATTGCCATTGGCTGAAACTGTGTTTGAAGCGCTGTCATATACTGAAGCATAGGTACTTTCCAGTGAGTTGCTCACTCCATTACTCCCATATACAGAAGCGTAAGTACTTGACAGTACATTAGCCTGCCCATTTGGGTAAGAGGAGGCATATGTTTGTGACAGAGAATTGGCCTTAGCAGTGGCTCCCCCATAGACAGTAGCATAGTAACTTGTCAGGGGAGCGCTTGTGGAAGAAGTAGTTGCGGCAGCTCCACCGACTGCACGAGTCAGGACTCTTTTGTTTCCATTTGCGGCATTGGCCTCAGCATGACCATTACCATTGACAGTTGCTTGAACCGTGGGCTCTGCATTTTCGGCCTTAGCTTGTGGTGTTTCGAACAAAGCATTGAAATCATAGTCACCTATTTTGATAGTAGAGCCACCAGTTATTTCGGCTTTAGCAATCATTGGGTTAGGGCCTGCAAATTTTTTTATAGATGTTGCGGAAGGCTTCACCTCGTTTCTTGTTTTGCTTGCAGTATCATAGTAAATCGTTGACAAATGAGTTGGACCTTCACCTTCCGATAAAGGGACGGTCTTTAAAATCTTTGGACCATTCTGAACCTCATCACTATTAGCGGTACGGGTAGGCAAACCGTCTCTTTGTACAAGTCTTGGGTGGTCCCCCGATACAGTTGATACAGGTCCAAGAACGATACTGTCAGAAACAATTGTCACACAGACAGGAACATATTTGCCATTTCTTTCAACAATTTTGGGGTGCTCCCCAAAAGCAATTGATTCTGGTCCCACAGTGAAGGTCAGATCTTGACGATAGGCTGGAACGGTTAAGCAATCTTGATTTTCCGATCCAACCAGCTTGAAGTCAAAAGGAATCTCACTCTCCGGAATATGGTTAAGTTGCGTCTCAGCAGGGTCAAAGCTTGCTTTTGTTGCGTACATAGGATTGGCCATATCTACAGCAACATCGCTGATGGATTCATTGTCTGCTGACAACTTCCTTATTGCTAAGGACGAAGCAACAGGAAGCATTGCAAGTGCAACGGCAGGACCATAAAGCTTCACTGCTCTCATACTTGTTTCAAATGAAATAAAAAAGAAAAGTAGTTTTGGAAGTACGACAGAAGACATATATTTATATAATTATTTTTCAATGGCCGTAATCTAGCAAACAGTTGCGAAAATGTTGGCAGCGTACGCGAACAAAATGGTGCAGGTGAAGCTTCTCGTGCAGATTGTGCCACGCGTGAACTAAAGTTATAGCCAATGTGCATAACAATAGATTCGCGAGAACGAAGGCCAATCCCCAGAAAATACATGCATTCCATCATCAGGAATGGACATTGCGAACCCAAATTCGTCAAAAAATACGCGAGTACATGAAAATGGTTATGTAATGTTCAAAAGCGGTCAGGGGAAGTCAGTCTTCTGTACATGACTTTAGACCCATCATCTATCGTGATGGAGCATCTATTACCGAAGATCGCCAGACGCGTGGGACCGTGGAAGTCGAAATTCTTGACAAGAAAAGAGAAGAAAAAATAAATCAATGGCTAGACAAAACCATACGAATTTGTTTCCGTGCTACTCCTATTTCCTATATCAGCGAACAAGAAGCGGAAAAACTCTTCGCATTCAACAATAAGTCTGTACTTCGTAATTTACCAGATTAATAGCTCAATAACATCGTGAGTTATTTGTCCATAAGTGATGAGTATCATAAAAGTATCTACTTTCGTGCGTGTATCAGCATCAGCCAATAAATATTGCGTTAGGAGTTCGAAAGAAAGCCAATTTTCTTGGGATGTCGCCATGGGTAATTTCGTCTTGTGAATTGGCATTGAATTGCCGGAAAACACAATTCTCAGATATCAGTATGAGCACTCTACTGGACTTATTATATTATTGTCGCGAACTATTGTTTGTACCCTATGCATCCGATTCTGAGTTTTAAGACTGAATGAAATTGGATTCAGGAGCTCTAGATCACTTACAAGCAAAAGCAAAAGAAACCCTGGGACCGGACAAAGTGCATGTTCTCAGTATAATTTGTACTCACTTTTCTTTCCGTTGTACTTTGCCAGTGGGTATCAGTTACGCATCTTACAATTCCGGCATGAATGGCTGAGTTAATTACGAAATGCTTTCTAACGCGGTAAGTGGAGAAAACCAAGACCACAATTGAATCCATTCACTACATGAGTCACGGAAAGAACATGAAATCCTCTTGCATGTTCCCTGTTATATCTCAAATGGTGTACGCTAGTCCTCATAGGCTCTTCACGCTCCAGATAATGCAGATGGGGTCGTGTCCCTATTAAGGGTCTAAACTAGTAATCGTACCCGAAGCAGTAATCGCACCCGAAACAGTAGTAGGCGCGATAGTGTGGCTTTTAGATAATATTCGGCATATATTACTCGAAAATTTTGGACTTAACCAAACTACACTAACTTTTTCTTAGAAATTGAATCAATGAGTGAGACTGTTTTCGTTTCTGGAGCTACTGGCTTCATTGCCCAACACATTTGCAAACTTCTTCTCGATAAAGGATACACTGTCATTGGATCTGCGAGATCTGAGGCTAAGGGTGAGCACTTAGCTCAATTGTTGAACTCTACAAAGTTCAGCTACGTTGTCGTTCCAGATGTTCAATTTGAAGGCGCTTTCGATGATGTTTTGGCAAAAAACCCTCAGATTTCTGTGTTTTTGCACACTGCATCTCCTTTCCATTTCAAGGCTACAAATGTCGAGGACGAGTTGCTTAAACCGGCAGTTCATGGAACAAAAAATGCCTTGAAGTCAATTACGAAGCACGGTAATAACGTGAAGCGTGTGGTCATCACGTCTTCTTATGCAGCCATTTCCACTGCTGAATCTGAAGCTGACCCTTCGGTGGTCAACAACGAAAAAACATGGAACCAAATCACCTGGGAAGAATCCAAGCGTGACCCTGTCCTGGGATACAGAGGTTCGAAAAAGTTTGCAGAGCTTGCTGGATGGGACTTTGTGAAGGAACAAAAGCCAAATTTCATCATTAATTACGTTAATCCATCTTTTGTCTTTGGTCCCCAAGCATTTGACTCAGAGGTCAAGGACAACTTAAACACCTCGCTGGAGATCATTAACAATCTCTTGAAATTGACTCCAGAATCGCAAATCCCACCTACTCGTGGAGGCTTTGTTGATGTCAGAGATGTAGCCAAGGCGCACTTAATTGCCTTTGAGAAGCCAATTGAAAACGAAAGATTGTTGATGAATGCAGGTAGATTCTGCAGCCAGGATTTGCTTGATGTCTTGAATGCCAAGTTCCCAGAATTGAAGGGTAAGATTCCAGTTGGAGAGCCAGGTACAGGTCACCTTGTGAACGATGCCATGTGCAAAATTGAAAATGAACACACCAAGAGCATTCTTGGCTTTAAGTTGATTGACTTGGAGACCACTGTATACGACTCTGTTAAGCAAATCCTTGATGCCAAGAAAGGCTCGAAGATTTGAGTGAATGGTGCCTATATTAGATATCGATGTTCTTTATTTATGTGTGTTTCATCACATAATGCTGATCCCCTATAATTTTAGTCTCAGTCTAAGACATTTTCAGCTAAGCAAGAATGTAGTTTTCAGAACTAGAGCAGGATGTTAGTTGCGTGGATTGAAGGTGATCGATCTCACACTAAGTTTCACCGCACTTAAATGTTCTCACCATACAAGACATAACTCGCATCTCATCGAGCTAGATTTTTTTACCTTCAGCAATGCCGAACCCAGTATCTTCGGTAAACGAGCACTTGCTACAGGAGGTTCAGCATTATGGTCCTGTGACAGCATTGAAGATCTACAAAAACTACATCTTGGCGGGTTATGGACCTGTGTTAAAGCTTTTTGTGATTCGTGATTCGAAGGTGCGAGTCGTATGGTCTGTTCAAGCATTCAAAAGAAACAAGATCCATGGTATTGCCATTACAAGCAATGCTCTAGCAATCTTTGGTGGCCGCTCCTTTTCTGTTTTCAGGGTAGACTGGGATTCATTTGTCGTTCCTACGACTGTGGTGGAAAAGGCTATTAACGAGTGGATCGTCTCGTGTGAATTTTTAACTTTATCCCAGCTTTTAATGTTAACATCACATAATGAGGTTTTGAAGGTGAACATAAGTGATTTGGATCTGTTTCAATTCTCTGTGGAAGAGAAGATACACTGTGCTGAAAAATCAATCTTGTACAGTGGATCAATCACCGTGACTGATGATGAACAGATTTTAGTAGCTGCCGGTACCGTCATGAGTGGGGTGTTGGTATGGGATCTTAGGACCCGTCAGCCCGTTTACAAGTTGACCGATCATCAGGGCTCGATATTTGGTGTCAAAATAGATCCTTCCGGAAAATACCTTATTTCGTGTTCTGATGATAGATCGATTAAACTTTATGATTTACCATCATCGACTGTCTTATCTAGTGGCTGGGGTCATCGCTCCAGAATATGGTCGTTACATTTTGCCTCGATCTCACCCTCTATTAAACTCTTCACCACAGGTGAAGACTGTACTGCAAGATTATGGGAATATGTTCCTGGATCTGAGTCTCTCAAGCAAGTAGAGCTTTGGGACCATTGTCATCTGGGGAAGCATGTATGGTCGTCAGATGTTGACTACTCACATTTGAGTGTACTGGTCACTGGTGGAGCAGATGGAAAGGTTCGCCTTCATGATTTGCGTGAACAACAAACGAATTCGTTTGACATCGAGTCCATTGCCGTTATGAGTGGCGTTAATTTTGGTAAAAAGGAGGCTATCAAGCTGTTTTCATTTTTACCCAAATTAAATCTCCTCGTTGTATTGACTTCCTCAGGGAAAGTGCTCACATGCAAAGATGAACACTGGACACATGTCAGTCTCAATCTTCGAGAAGATCAACAAAAATCCCTCAATGATTTTGGAATCATGAAATCTTTTCCAGAGGCAAACGCTTTGGTTGTGGTTATGAGACCAGGTGATTTACTTCTTCTTACTTTCGATGCCTCTGCAATGCTTGCACAACAAACTTGGATTGAAAATTCGACAGAAAAAAAGAAGGTTATCAATGCCTTGGTTGACTTCGACCTGTCTAAAAAAGAATACTACCTCTTTCTTGATTGTCCAAACCCCAATGTACCTTTTGATATTAAGGTATTTACTCTCCATCTGAATGGTGAGCTCACTATAAAGAAAACACTTCTACTTTATAAACCCGACCCGAAAATATTTACGCCGACATCGATACACTATGACAAACACAATCAGTGGTTCCTTATCGGGTCCAGACACGCTAACTTTGCAATTTATAATTTGGCGCAAGAGCATTACGAGTTGCCACTGTTGGTAAGAAAATTGTGTCCTGGCGATACAATCACCTCCATTAGTACAGTACAGAGTGGGGATAATAACTTGGTGGCTTTGCTTACAGTACGGGACGGTTTGTACTTGTACTTGAGAGTTAACGTCGTCGGAGAAAAATTCGTTTTTGATATCATTCTACAAAATAAGGTTTCACGTGGTATCATTGAAGGAGGTTTTGTCTCTGATAACAACTTATTTTTGTATGGATTCCACTCTTTGGCTTTCTTTATGTGGAATGAAACAAAGCAAATTGAGGTTGCTCATCAGCCATGTGGCGGTGCTCACAGATTATGGGATTTGTTTTCCTCGGTTGATTGCGATTATCGCTTTGTCTACGTGAGCAAGCTGGATGTCGTTGTCAGAGAAATACAGTGGAGATTCAAGGATTCAAATAACGGACTCTTGATCGAAGGAACTCATGGAAGAGAGGTCCGTGGTATAGCTTTGTCTCCAGTACAGGAACTAGACGGTTCTCGTCTCTTGGCTACAGCTTCCGAAGATGCAACTATAAAATTGGGAAATATTTATTCTGATGGCAGTGTGAGGTACCAGTGGACAATGACAAATCACATATCTGGTTTACAAACTGTGAAGTTTTTAAACCATGAATACATGGCGAGCTCAGCCGCAAATGAAGAACTTTTGGTTTGGAGGTTGCAACGGCTCGCCAATTCTGTGGTCACTATTGTTGAGCACTCTAGGCTCAGTCTGACTGAGGAGAATCCCGACTTGCGGGTTATGGATTTTTCTTCTATCGAAGCGACAAATGGTTTTTGGATTGCTGCAGTGTATTCGAACTCAAAAATCAAAATTTGGTTTTATGACTCTAATGAAAAGCAGTTTTCTCTAGCCGCAGAAGATACTTACAGTACCTTTTGCATATTGGGTGTTGAATTCATACAAGATGGAGATTCCACGATGTTGGTAATTGCTACTACAGACGGATACTTGACCTTCTACGATGTTTCAAATGTCTTGAACTTGGACACAGTTGATAAATTGCAGAATGTAATCATCAAACAACAATTGCATCAGAGTGGAATAAAGGCTTTCTTAGTTTTACCTCAGAATGGGTATTGGCGTATCATCACTGGGGGAGATGATAATGCCTTGGTTTCCAGCCGTCTTTCCCAAGATCTCATACTTACAGTTGACTGTTTTGTTGAAAAAGCAGCATCGGCTACTATTACTGGAATCGCGAAGGCTGGAGAAAAAGAAGTATTGGTTACGTCTGTTGATCAAATCGTCAGACTATGGAGCTATGACGAGAGAAGCTTAGTCTGCAAATCTGCCGCTTACACCACGGTGGCAGATACCGGATGTTGTGATGCTACAAAGATAAACGGTAATAACTTAGCTGTTGTTGGCGGTGCTGGGATTGGAATCTGGACGTGGTAAATATTAAACGTTAGATGGTCTATAGACATTATAAACAGGCAATCATTCTAAAGCTTCAACAATCTCAAGTTAAACGTGGTATCGTTGATAGCCTGCTCTTCGTCAATGATAATGGCGTCAGAGGAAGATGACGAGAAAGGTTGCAATGCTTTCTTGGTGCACTTGAGCAACAAGTCACTGTTGTTCTTCAACACATTCTCGAAATCAATAGTGTCTTTAACAACCTGGTATTCCACCCCGACTTCGTCGGTGGTATTCAAACCGGCCTTCTTACGCAATCTTTGAATACGATTGATCAACTCTCTAGCCAAACCCTCGCTGAGCAACTCTGGGTAAGAGTTGACATCCAAAATGATCAAAACATCCTTTTCAGAACGAGACTCGTGTCCAGATGCTGTGTCCGATGCAGGTAAACCACGTTGAACTTGCAAATCCTCGCTGACCAAGTCAATTCCATCAACAGAAATCTTACCGGTCTGAGCAAACGCCTTAACTTCATCTGAAGACACATTAGGTAAAGCAGCCTTGACTCTCTTGGCGTCTTTCTTCAATTTCTTACCGAGAACAGGCCAGTCAGCAACTGCTGTGTATTGTACACCGTAAGCTTCCTCGTCAGAAGTAATGACAATGTTTCTGACATTCAATTCAGAAGTGATGTATCCCTTCAAAGACTCAATGTCCTTCAAATAGGATTCGTTAGAGTTCACCACCACCAACTCCTTCAATGGAGTCTTCAAAGAAATCATCTTCTTCTCTCTGATATTACGACCCAAGTCAATTACTTTCTGCATTCTGGAAACAGCCAATTCGATGTCAGAGTCAAACCACTCCTCTCTAACAGTAGGGTAAGCCAAGTAATGGATGGAGGCAATATCCTTGATGTTAGGATTGACGCAATACTTCTCTAACTCTTCAGTGGTGAAGAAAGGCTTCAATCTTTGGTAAATACCGTCTGCCAAGAATGGGGTGAATGGTGCCATTAAACGGGACAAAATGAACAATGCTTCGGTTAAAGTGTTGAGACCCTTCTTTGTATCTTCCAATCCACCATCTGTGTCACCCTTGATACGAGAACGGTTAAGTCTGATGTACCAGTTAGTTAAGTTGTCAATCAAACCCAACAATTTAGGAACAACAGTGTACAATCTGTAGGCTTGCATTTCCTCGTGCACGAACTTGACCAATGATTGAATGGCTGCCAACAACCATCTGTCCATGACATTTTCGCTAGCCAAGGAAGGATCGTAAACAAAATCAGCGCCGTTCTCCTTCTTGAAGAGATCAGCAGCATCCTTCAAGAACTTGAACGAGTTGTACCATGGCAACAAGACAGAAGAGACAACTTCTCTGACGCCTTCTTCCTTGAATTTCAAGGTTTCTGCTCTCAAGACGGGAGAGTTAATCAAGTACAATCTCAAAGCATCTGCACCATACTTCTCCAACACGATAGTTGGGTCTGGGTAGTTCTTCAAACGCTTAGACATTTTCTTACCGTCAGCAGCCAAGACAATACCTGACACAATAACATTCTGGTATGGAGCAGTATTGAACAAATGTGTACCTAAGACAGTCAAAGTGTAAAACCAACCTCTAGTTTGGTCCAAACCTTCAGAAATAAAGTTGGCTGGGAAAGCCTTGTGGAAGACGTCTTGTCTTTCAAATGGGTAATGTTGAGAGGCATATGGCATCGAACCAGATTCAAACCAACAATCAAACACTTCCTCAATTCTCTTCAATTGACCTTTGCCCATCTTAGAAGGAATGGTGATGTGGTCGATGCTTTCTCTATGGATATCGGTTATGTCATCACGACCGGACAATTCCTTCAATTCAGCAATAGAACCGACACACACAACTTCCTCATAATCGTCAGAAACCCAGATAGGCATTGGTGTACCCCAATATCTGTTTCTGGAGACGTTCCAGTCTCTGGCGTTGGCAATCCAGTTGGAAAACCTCTTTTCCTTGATGTTTGAAGGAACCCAGTTTGTTTTCTCAACGTTGGCCAACATGTCTGGAATAACTTCACCCACACGAACAAACCAGGCAGGCACTGTTCTGTACAACAAAGGAGTGTCAGATCTCCAGCAGAATGGGTACGAGTGATTAATCTGTGTAGCAAGCAACATTCTTCCGGTTTCGGTCAAGTGCTTAATGATCAACTTGTCAGCATCTTTGACATAGACGCCAGCATAGTCTTTAACGGCTTCTGTAAATTTACCGTTGTCGTCCACGGGGTTTGGAGGTGGTCTCTTCTCATTGATAATGCCAGCCTCAAGACACGCAGTAAAATCGACCTCACCAAAAGCTGGAGACTGGTGAACAATACCGGTACCAGAGTCGTCAGAAACGTAATCAGCAGCAATGACACGGAAACCATGCTCCTTGAAGCTGTCGTAAAAGTAGTCGAAAGGTGGAATGTACTGAAGGCCAACCAAGTCTTGACCCTTGATCTTTTCAACCACCTTGTACTTAGCCAGGGCTGGTTTCTTGTACAATGTCTTCAATAAACTCTCCAACAAAATGTAGTTTCTCTGTTTCTCTTCATCAAAAATCTTGACGTACTCAAGGTCCTTATTGACAGCAAGACCGATGTTAGAAGGCAAGGTCCAAGGTGTGGTAGTCCAAGCGACCAACCAGGTGTTCTCGTCGCTTACCAAAGGGAAACCAACAGTCACTGCGGGATCGTTCACGTCCTTGTAATTCTGTTGCGCTTCAAAGTTGGACAAAGGTGTGGTACAGCCAGTAGAATATGGCATGACACGCAAACCCTTGTAAACAGCATCTTTCTTGTACAATTCCTTGAATGCCCACCACACGGATTCCATGAATTCAGGGTACAAAGTCTTGTAGTCGTTGTCCATGTCAATCCAGCGACCTAATCTACGGATAGTTCTTCTCCATTCGTCAGCATATCTCATAACAATGGAACGACACTCGGCGTTGTACTTGTCGATACCCATCTTCATCACATCCTCTTTTCCAGTGATGCCCAATTTCTTGTCAATCTCGTGCTCCACTGGTAAACCGTGGGTATCCCAACCGAATCTTCTTTCCACGTGAAAACCGTTCATTGTGGCATAACGTGGAATGATGTCTTTGACTGTGGAAGCCAAGATGTGACCGTAGTGAGGTGTACCAGTTGCAAATGGAGGACCATCAAAAAAGGCAAATCTAGGAAGATCCTGGGTCAACTCAAGTGTGCGGTCAAAGGACTTAGCCTTGTCCCACTGATCAAGCACCCTTTCCTCCTCCTTGGAAAAGTTGAAAAACGTATTGTTCTCTTCGGCCATGACAGTGGAGAAGTTATTGTCAGCTTACGCCTAACCTTTTTTTTTTTCTTCGAAGTGGCGCTTGGTGCACGGGTGTACTCTATATTGGTATTTCTAAGACATATGACTCAATAACAGTATGACTAAACGACCACCTTCCTTGCATACTAGAACAAAGTTAGTGGATATGCCTCTTCAAAACCAAACATTAACATTTTCCTTGCCATTGAGTACTTGAAGAGCCAAGATTCTGAGGCTGACTCACTTATTTCGCGATGCAGCTGGATTTTCAGTAGGCAAGGCCGATGAATAACTTTTTTGAATATACTGGAAGGAACTTTATGGGCTTCAAGTGGTCTGATAAAACTATTATTTCATATATTAGGCTCTGTTGGCTTGTGTTCACTGTCATAAATTGTTGTGACCATAGTGCGAGCTGGATCTTAACGATTTTGTACCATACCCTATGTCATGGGGTATACACATGAAACGGCAAAACATTTGGGACGAAAATTGTTGATGATAAAGATTTTCCATTCAAGTTTCCTTAAATACCTTCGATGTAAAACTTTTATCGTAAGTAGAGTCCTGTAATTCTACTCAATATGCCATTATTTTGCAGACTATTCTATCTGCACTTCTCATTTCATGATCAACTCACATGTTTTCCGCCAACATCTCTTGACATGCTTCTCTGGAAATGTTCCCGGAAAACTTTTGGTGGCCTTGTCGGGTGGGGTAGATTCCATGTGTCTCACTCATCTTTTGTTACAATACAAGAAGTTGTACGATCCAAAACTTGAAATTCACACCATGACTATAGATCATGGCTATAGAAAAATGTCATCTTTAGAAGCACACGAAGTCGGGCGCATAGTACAGAGTTGGGGTGCCCATCACTATATTCACAGACTCTCCTATGACAGAAACCCCTCCTCGATCACAAACTTTGAGGAAGTGGCACGAACAATGAGATATAATGCATTTGAACGACAGTGTGATGAGCTCGGTATCCAAGCGCTTTTGTTGGCTCATAACTTGAATGATAGGATAGAAACTTTCCTCCAACGGCTTCAGATGAATTCGACGCTTTATGGTTTAGGCGGCTTGAAACCCAGAGCAACGATGCCTATCTCGAGCAAATCTCCGCAACAAATCTCAGTATTTCGGCCACTCTTGCAGTTCGATAAACAGAGTCTACGAGAGACTTGTGTCAAAAGTGGTGTCTTGTGGTTTGAAGACCACACAAATGCTGACCTCCATTTGACGAAGCGGAATCTCTTCCGATACATGGTGAACGAGTATGTTCCACAAGAAATACTTCGGAGACCCGATCTAGCAGTACTTTCAAAAGAGTCCCTACTAAAAACTTTGAACGAAGTTGACGAGTTTTTGACTGTCCTAGATGACCGTATAAAGGCCCTAGATGACTACGTTATGAAACAGGGCTCTTACGAATTTAACAAGGGATTCGCAACTATAAAATTTTCCGTCCCGGTACATATGTGGCTATCTTTGGACCCGTCTGTTGCAGCACGTTGGCTATATGAGAAGGTCTCACCAATTTCTTCAGCTAAACATTTGCATTGGTCCTATGCAAAAATAGAGAGACAAGCCATGCCTCGAATCAGAATGTATGCGAAAGCCGCAAGGGGAAAATTGAATTTAACTTATCTAAATGTGGTGTTTCAAATTGAAAGTGATGAGGGTTTATTGCACTTTTCAATGTCCAAACAGCCTCCAACTAGGAAGGATCTTGCATGTATACGAAGAACTGTCTCTGTCCCTTCTCCGTGGATGCTTATAGACCGAACTTGGTGGGTAGAGATAAAGAAAGCATCTTCTAGCAAGGTGACTATCGAGCCTTATAACTCGAAAATGAAAAAGCAGCTTCTTGAAGCATTTCCACAAGTCACGCCAAGCAAAATATTGAACCTTCCTATAATCAAAGATGAAAATACTGTTGTTGGGATTCCTACATTGGGCTTATCAAGAAACGGACTTCAATACAACATAAAGTATAGGAGTGAACACAACTAGTTAAACAAGTACTTTGCATCACCTACATAGACAATTATTTCTGTTCCTTTTTTCTTTTTTTTATTTCTCCCTCTGAAAAATCCACGTGCATCCATAACTTTGTTGCATTGTGCCGTTCGACCTTTTTTAATATGTTGGCCTCGCCTCAATGCTGTCTTTCGATGTATTCTCTTGTGTAGCACTTCCCTCTGTTGTACGCGCGCACCCGTGCACCACAGGCAAAACCAAGTTACACCAACTTCCATCAATAACTCAGTCAAAACCCATGCTGTCGATCAATTTACATGAACGTCAGCAGCTGGAGGGCCCCACTCCGAAAGCTTTTGGTGGAATTAGCGGAACTCCAAAGGCCAAGTCCAACCGGGCTCGACATATCAATCTTTCTACCCAAGCACTAAAAGTGGCCCATCAACGAGTGAGTTTGAATGTGGATTTGGCCAGGCGAAAAGTCATTGGGCTGACGGAAATTACCATTATCCCCACGTCCAACTCTCTTCGTGTGGTACGCCTAGATTGTCGTGAAATGAAAATCCGCCGTGTTTTCATCAACGGTTCCGGACTGACCAACTACCTTCATAATGACTTACTCTACGTCAACGATCCAGCCCGCTTTGAGCATTCCGTGAAAGCAAATACTGTGAATGTTTCTGACATATTTAGCCCGACCTTCGGCATTAACCAGCATCATTTGTTACGCCAGAAACTAAACTACATCTTTGGTACTATCTCTCCAGACCAAATCTCGTCAGATCAAGTCGACAACACGAACACTGAAGAGCTTGCAATTATTCTTCCCGAGAACTTAAAGCTTGAACTCACAGATTTGAATTCGTTGCATACGCCCTCTGTTGACGTACCTGCAACTGGTCTAACTCCGTTCCACATGCGCTCCAAAAGTACACATAATGATATCTATACACCCATCCAGATTACAGTGGAGTATGAGCTTTGCAACCCTAAAAGTGGCCTTAACTTTGTGTGCCAATCGGAGGACAAAAACCTTTGGCATGCTTACACCGTCAATTCCGAATATAACATTTCGACATCTTCATGGGTTCCGTGCATTGATAATCTCTGGGAACGTTGCACCTGGTCTATTGACATAAGTATACCTCGTACAGTCAAGGACATAGAGGACCCAAATGAGGAAGAACGGAGAACTTTAGAGGCTCAAAAGGAAACGCGAAATGGAAAAGTTGGCTCCATTGATGACAATGGCCGTAATGAAGAGAAAGAGAGCGAAGACAAGAATGAAGATGAGCATAGAAATGAAAACGAAAAAATTGATAGCGACAATGGTTACCACAATGATAACAATGATAACAATAATGAAGGTGGTGATGATGACGACAACGATGATGATGACGATGACGATGATGATGACGATACAGAAAATTTCGATTTATTCGTTTGCACAGGAGATTTTAACAATTTGAAGGAAATGCCCCACGGATCGGATCCAAGAAAAAAAGTGGTTTCTTGGTCCATTTTCAATCCCGTTTGTGCACACCATGTTGGGTGGGCAGTCGGACCTTTCCAAAGCAAGGAGCTTTCTGATTTTAACGAAGCAACTGCAGGTGTAACAGAACAAGATGAATCTTTGGGGGAGTTTGAAGAAATTGAAAAGGATGAGTCTACACTGTCGATGATGTTATATTTCTTGCCAGGATATGAAGATTTAGTGACGAATACCTGTGTTTTTGCTCACAAAGCGCTAGATTTTTTTCTGAAAGAATTTGGATCCTATCCATTTGGATCCTTCTGCATCACCTTTGTGTCTGGTCCAGCTTATCCATATCACAACTTTGCTGGATTGTCTATTATGAGCGACAAAAAATTGTATCCAGCTGATGTTATCGAGCCTATGTTCTCTGTTACTGAAGAAATCTTGGAATGCATAGCTAGTCAATGGTCTACTATCAACATTGTACCACAGGTGTTCAATGATATATGGTGCACAATTGGTATCGCAAAGTACATGAGTTTCCAGTTTATTAAAACGCTTGTGGGATCCAATGAATTCAGGTACCAAATCAAAACAAAAATGGACCAAATAGTTGAACAGGATGTTAACAAGAAACCACTAGGAATGCAAGCTTACAACTTTCCTATCTCTGAGTCTGACCTTTCATTTGTGCGTCTCAAGGCGCCAGTCATACTATTTATCCTTGACAGAAGAATGACGAAGACAGATAAATCATTTGGTCTCTCAAGAGTGTTACCCAAAATATTCTTGCAGGCTATGTCAGGCGATCTACAGAATGGTACGCTTTCAACTCAACATTTTCAATATGTGTGTGAGAAAGTGAACAGAAATCGCTTGGAATCGTTTTTCAAACAATGGGTTTACGGTATAGGTACTCCAATCTTCAATATTACCCAGAGATTCAACAAGAAAAGGTCTATGATCGAGGTTACGATTAGACAGACGCAACTGCAACAACCCAAAAATGTACACCCTCAAGCAGAAACTTTCATTGAGGACTCACTCACATATTTGAACGATACACCAATTTATCCTGTTCAACAAACTTTTTTGGGCCCCATGACAATTCGTGTTCATGAAGCGGACGGTACACCTTACGAACACATCGTTGATATCAAGGATAGTGTTGTAAAATTTGACGTTCAATACAACACAAAGTTCAGACGTCTCAAAAAGAACAAGGACGAAAATAGTGAAAGCACCCCCATTTTTGCCAAGTTGGGGGATGTTCTTCAAAGCGAACAGGAAATGCAAGATTGGAACCTTGCAGATTGGCCAAAACGAGACGAAGAGTTCCTCGATCCATTTGAATGGATTCGTGTTGATACCGATTTTGAATGGATTGCTAGATTTAATGTGAAACAACCTGACTACATGTTCGGAGCTCAGTTACAGCAAGACCGTGATATTGAAGCCCAAATTGCAGCAATCGAATATTTTGGCTCTCAGGAGAAGCCTAATACTATTTACTGTACACTGTTGCTTAGAACCTTGATGGACAGCAGATACTTTTATGGAGTAAGGATCGCAGCTGCAAAATCTCTTGCCATCATTTCTAAATCTAATAACAATTTCGCTGGCCTTGGCTACTTGATAAGAGCGTTCAAAGAGCTTTACTGCTTTGAGAATAGTTCAGTGCCATTCAGCAATTCCTTTGATGATTTTGGTAAGCTCTTTTTGCAAAAGGCAATCCCCAGATTTTTAGGGCTGATTAAGGATGATGATGGAAACACACCGCAAAGTATCAAGTCTTTGTTGTTTAATGTTTTGAAGTATAATGATAATTCTAATAATGAGTTCCAGGACTGCTATTATGTGTCGGACCTCATTTGGTCTTTGACCGAAGCTTTAATTCCTGCCAATTCAGAGCAGTTGAATGTTGACTTTCATTTGGAGAGGGAGAAAGCCGAAGCATCGTACTCCAAAGATGCAAAGTTCATCCAAAAAGTTGTCGAGGAATTTTCAAGGATACAAAAATTGGATGGTTGGGTTCCATCGTATCAATCAGTTGTCTCTTATGCTTGCATTGAACAAAAAATTCGCTTAGCACGGACCAATCTTATTGATATTTCATTGGAGGATCTTTTATTCTTGACTTTCAAGAAGTATTCGCCCGACATCAGAGCCTTAGCGTTCAAAGGTTTATTTGTCTTAGGAGGTTTGAAAAATGCCCAAATTTTGAAGTACTTTATGGAGGTTTACTTGCTTGAAGATTCGACCATGTACTTCAAAAGTCTCTTGATAAATGCACTTGTTCTGTCTATAAGTGAAGCAGCAGTGAATGGAACTCCCTCGATGCTTGATGACCCTGAATTCAGATCATTGGAGAAAATATTTGAAAGTGGCGGGGGTATATCTAACCAAACTACAAATATGGTTGTTATTGAAGAATCGACACATACAGCAGAAATGGATACTCGCCGAGACGTGTTGGCAAAAGCAACAATTAAAGGAACAATCGAAATTCTTCGCAGAGATTACTCTATAGGGAAAGGACTTATGAAAACGATGTGGGAATTACTTCATACATCTCTTATCAGTATACTTGACAGGAGGAAGGTTTTCCTCTTATGTGAGATTTTGTACGAGGAGATCGATTCGTTCCCAGTTATTATTTCAGTGCCATGTGTTCCTTTTGAAGAGCTCAAGAAAAAGATTGTGGCAAAACATTTGGGTGATGGAAAAGTAGTCATTAAACGAGAGGGCAGATTCAAGATTCAGTTGAGTGCTAAGATACTGTTGAACGACAACAAGAAAATGAATAAGAAAGAGCCTACCCGTCTTCCTCTGGCTAGAGTTTCCAAAACTGCAAGATCACGAGTTGACCCGGAAGAGGAAAAACTGGAGGAGAATTCGAAACTCAAACTAAGGTTAGCTCCTTCTGTGCTCTCTGATACCTCTGTCCCAGCATCTCTCTTACCTGAACCAAGTCGCAAAGATATTCCTTCGGAAGTTAAAAATGACCCTGCAACGACCGCTCCTTCGGAGTCGCATCTGGTTAAGAGAACGGGAGAAGACGATATGACATTAACCTTCAAATTCAAGAAACGAAAGTTGGATCTGCCGGAGATGACATCGTCTAATGTTGCCTCACTGATAGTAACTATCCACAATTCACAAGTCAAAATTCGTTTTCTGAACCCGAAAAAGTTAAGCACTCCCCAAACCTCGAACGAAATGAGATATGTGAAAATTTCAACCAAAACTGGCAGTGTCTCATTATCAGCTACACCCTTTGCCGAATCACCAGAAACACGCAGTTCTACTACTCCAAGAATCTCGATGTCACCTAAGAAAAAAATGAATGGAAAAATTACAGAACGCTCAAATGGAAATAATGACAGAACCATATACAAGGATGCTAAATCTAAAAACGAGGCGAGAAATTCGGATGGAGGGAATTTACTGGAACCTGCAGAGGTTGTTAGCACGGAAAAGGTACGCCTGAGTGATGATTCTGAAGTGGAAGTAAAAGTGAAAAAGGAAAATTCTGATTCAGCAAAAAGTGTTTCACGGTCTCTGTCAAAAGTTTCTTCTCGCTCCTCGCTGGAGGAAACACGAGAATTTTCACGAGCTGCAAGTCCCTTCTCTGGTGAACAGTCTTCAGCTCCGAAACGTAAAAAGACAAAGATCTACATTCATGGTCATACATCAGAAACACCATCTCCCCCACAATCAAGAGCAGCTACACCCGTTAAAACCGAGGAGTCCGCCGATCTGGAAAAGCCTAAGTTGAAGTTGAAACTCACGTTGAATTAAGGTCACTTAGATATAGAGTTCTCACACATCTTGTGCGCACATAGTTTATGCAGAAACGAATGTAAATTATAGTTATCGCGGAATTGTTCGGTCTGTCTATCTCATTAAGAAGACGCTGAGTATAAGATTTACCATTCAGGCAGTCTTTGGTGTATTAGTTCTTCAAAAATTAGCGCCACATTTCGGTCCATATTATATTAGTGGAAACTTTTCAATGCAATGTCCTTTGGCAATCACCTAACTTTCAACATTTCCAAGGCGTCACCAACAACCTCAACTACAAACGCCACAACCACATCGTTTCCGGGATCGTTGCAACCTAATACTCACGTTTCTTCTGTTGATGTTCTATCTGCTTCCCTAACGGATGCAAAGCTGCCACACGCACATATTGTGGCTCATCAGGAGCAGCATGACACTTCGCCACGAATTAAAGCGGCTACACCTACAACAGGTATCAGCGGCATCAATTCAGCAGCTGTTTCTACTGTGGAATCATCAGAAGCTTCAAAGGACAGAGAGGAGCTTCTTCAAATATGGGGCAAGTATGATGTTGAGAATCAAAAGAATGATGAGCAGGTGTCCTTGAGTGCGGAAGAAACGGAAGATGCAGATTCTTTAGAGGAGAAAATGAAGCAGTTTCATATGGGCCCGTCTAACAAAACCGAAATTGATCATGTTAATATGGATCCGAGTGAGAAGACACCGCAAGAAGCCAACTTTTCGAGATCTGACTCGAGCGAACATATTCAGAACATCGGCAATTTCCAGAGTAAATCGAATGATCTGTGCAACCCTTCTGATACCACTAATAATACTCAGTCCACATTATCTGTTGAAGTACAGACAACATCATGTGAGCCTGCTAAAGACGAAAGCAATGGATCGGAAGCACAGACGGAGTTGGACTCTAATTTAAACGAAGAAGCATCTCTTGAATCTTCAGGATCAGGAAACAACGCTAAGATTAAAGAAAAATCTCCGTCTCCGTCTGTGGTTGAATATATGGGAGTACAACCGCTTGAAATTCCAGGTGCATCTGAGTCAAAACCCATTGAAGGAAACCTCTTATCTATGGATTCCAGTGAGCCTATCGTTGAGCTTAAGCTCGAACAATCTAATTGCCCGCCTCCTACTAGAGCTCGCCCTAAGAGAAACAATTCTGTCTCTCGCATTAGTCCAGCTGTGAATCCAGAAGAGCAATACCAGCAGTCACATAAGCCTTTTGACTTTCAAATATTCCTCACACAGCTCAAAAAGAAAAGCGCAGATCCCTTGGTGCGATACATTCGCTCGTTTCTTGTTTCTTTCTCTCGTCAATCTGGAAGTATGACAGCTCCTCAAATGATAAAAGCAGTTAGTCATTTCAAAGAATTCATGAACGAAAAATTTCACGAGTATGAACCTTTTGCATCCATGGATGCTGTCGACTTGGAAAATTCAGGTGAAGGTGTTGAAAAATTGATAATGAACCGCTTGTACGAGTTTTGTTTCTCTCCAGAAGCCATCAAGAAGTTTGGAAGAAACGTGTCTGCCACAGTTCTTGATGATGTACATGAAGACTATCAATTCATGATGCAAATTGAGAAATTTAGCTGGATTCTGGGTGTTCATTTGGATGTTGATTTGGATGCAATAACACAAAGTAAACGGGAGAGAAATTCTGAATCGATCGATTACATGGATTATGCCATCAATGAGCTTAATAAGATAAACAAGTTTCGTGCCCCAAGGGATAAAATCATTTGCATTTTGAATGCTTGCAAGATTATATTTAGTTTTTTACGAGTCAGCAATCAGGAAACTAACGCAGACTCATTCATTCCCATTCTCATTCTTGTGATCATAAGGGCAAAAACGGAAAACTTGATTAGCAATTTGCACTACATTGAACGTTACAGAGGTGAAGAGTGGTTAAATCATGGAGAAACTAGTTACTACTTGTCATCCATGCAAGGTGCCATCTCTTTCATCCAGAATATAAAGTTTCAAGATTTGACTATTAGTCAAGATGAATATGATGCTAACATGGAGGCATGGGACGCTGAACTTAGGCAAAGAGGGCCTCCAATTATTCGTCCCGAACCTCTCCATCCAGGAGAAGCGTCAACAAATATTCAGCAATCACTTTCACCTTCTAATGTAATTTTAGCCGGAGCAGAGATGTTTACTAAGTCTTTGTCTAACTTTATGTCTCCTACTCCACTGGAAAGTGCTCCACAGAATCCTGAACCTCGCTCAGAATCAGGACCCCCACATCTAGTTTCTGATGAGCAGGTTGAGAAAACTTTGAATCAGTTGACAGAGATATTCCCTAATCTCGATAGAGCTGTGCTCAGGGATGTAATTGTTTTGAAGAAGGCGGACTTTGATTCTTCTTTGGATGCATGTCTTCAATTGTGTAATGATGACTAAATTCATATACGTTAATAAATAATGACTTTCAATCTTCTGTGTTATTTGATCATTCCAGTGCCTTTAGCTTTTAGCTTGCTGTATAGCAACATACACCTAGTAAGCTGTATAAGAAGATACGAAAAAGCAAATTAATTATTTTATGATCGTTTGGCCTTGTATGTTCTCGGGCTTTTGTTTTTCAAATTGCCTGGCTAGCTCAATGGCTAGAGCGTGAGACTTTTAATCTCAAGGTTGCGGGTTCGACCCCCGCGTCGGGCTTTCTTTTTGCTAATTTCAAAGCAGTAATAAACTTTCTGTCTTGTTCAATCTGAATGGCGTTTCTTATGCTTAATGAAAGAAAAGAACTAATCACCACTGCTGTGTTCTTCTTTTCCTATTTAAGATAAGTAAGCAGCGATATAGGAAGTAATTCCGTTTTTTTAATTAATACTTCGGGTGCACTAATACAGATGCGAAGGCATGCCATGGATAAACATGCCAATTACAGCCTTGATTTCACATTTTAACTTTACCCAGAAAAAAAAACGCAGTGAATTTATCTTTGAGGTTCTGATACCCTGAAACGGCAAAGTGACCCCCGGGTTTTTGTTACCTAATCGGGTTTGTGAATGCGCGCACCTAGACACAAAGAGATAAGAAGTCCTAGTACACTTTGCAGCTACTGATATCTGCAAGTATAAAGGAGACGAAAAATGACCAATTTGAGATATCATTCTACTATTCTCTGCTATCCAACTTAGCTCTACTACATCCACTACTACTATTCAAAATGCCTATGTTATACAAGCCATCCGTCGAAGGTAAGGAGGTCAAGCCTCCTCAGATTCCTTCTCCAGGTAACAACTCTTTCTTGGGTGACATTTTCACTTCCGACGCTCCAAAGGACCAACAGATTTCTTGTGGCTTCTACAGACAAGAGAAGGGTGAGCCATTGGTGTACTACTACGACTACGACGAGATGAAGATCATCTTGGAAGTCGAGGGTGAGTACAACATTCTGGACGAAACTGGATACAAGGTGTCCGTCAAGCCAGGTGATGTCTTCTACTTCAAGAAGGGAACCACTATCACTTTTGAAACTACCGGTTACGGATATGCTTTCTTCTGTGGCTTGAGACCAAACGGCACTGCTTAAGCCGTCTTATTTATTTTATAATGCATATTCAAGCGTTTATCAATTGAGTAGGGTGTGTAATCATTGTGCTATTCCGCGATCAATAAAATACGGCCCCGTTTAATTAGATTTGCACAAACAATGTGCAACTTCTAATGCATTTCTAAGGAAAATGCACTCAATGCCATGAATTGGCTGTCCATTTAAGCCTTCTTCCTATATATCACATGATTCTGAATATGCGGTTTCGTGTTTGTTTTGTCGATCTCATTCAGGATGCAATCCGAAACTAAGTGCGTGCACCGAATCTTCTCGAATATTCTAGTAGATCATTTAAACCACAACCCGCTTAAAGTCTAGCGCCATAATGTCCAATCGATTATTCTAAGTGGGACAAGATTGAGTTGTCCTGATGACTCTTGATATAGAAGTTCATCCTAATTGTTGTATAATGCGTTCTTTTATCCAGGTGGAAAGCAAATGAGACATTCCCATGAAAAGAGACACCAGCTGCAAATATTGGAAAAATCAAGTCGATCTTGATTCAATTGACCATGTATGCCAAGCTCAACAAGCGTGTTGACTACTTGTTGGACAACTTAAGCTCCAATGATCTTCTTGATCAAAGCAAGGTCCTCGAAATTTTGAACAAGAGTTTCGACCCCAAAGAAAAGTTTGATTATGAAAAATTGAAAGAGGAAAAGGGTTCGGATTTACGCAAGGGTTTGAAAGACTTGGAATTCTCCAAGGAAGAAATTGAAAGCACTCCACCATACAACGAGATGATTGAGGACTTATTTGTTCAAATAAAAGAGGATCACCCAGAAGCGGCCTCTGACGGTGAGAAGTTGCTTGGATACATTAAGGAACACAGAGCTAAAATCGATGATGTTTTGCTGAAGCAAACAATAAAGCTTGATGAGTTGTTGTATCAAAAATCTTTACTCATCAGCAGTGAGGATTACCATACCGGTTTTGACCGTTCCTTTTTGAATAAAGACAAAGAAGAAGATGACGAGCCTCCTCAACCTAAGAAGACTGTCACCACTGTTGAGACTATCAACTCTCCCCAGAAGGCAGATACTTCGTCTCTGCAGCCCAAGACTGATGAAGAGGCGTTTGATGAGCTTCAAGTATTACCGCAAACTGCTGAGTTTGCTAAAATTCCTTACAAGGAGCTTGAGAAAAGCGCCCAATTCCTTATTGCACATCCATCTATCTGCACCGAACATCAGAAGGATTCTTTGATTATGACTGCATTTGACCGCCAACTCGAGGGCGACACCAACGGAGCCAAGCAAATCATTTACCAGTCTTTGTTATTGCAATATATTTCGCAATTGGCAGGGCCACATGCATCCAAAGACCAGACTATCAGAGCTGTGAAGCTTTTTTTTCACCAAGCTCAAGGATTCGTCTTTGCCAGCAAGCAAAGCTTTTGAAGCTGATGTTTGAAAACACAGTGAACCACATCAAAACCAGATGTGAGGTGATAAGAAAGGAACAATTGGAGAATGCTGGGGAGGATGAACAGCTAATTCAATTGAAGTCACTCGACGACAGCTCTGAATTAATAGTTAATCCTCCGGAAGAGGGAAGCGAAGAATACAAAATCTTCACCTCTAGCTTATCTCCCGAAATGCAAGCCGCTGTTCGGTCTGGGTCCTTGGATGAAGTCAACAAAGTTTTTGCGACGATGAAGATTGCAGATGCGGAACAAACTTTGGAAATTTTCAATCAGTGTGGAGTTATTGGTGTCAGCGGTATTCTAGAAAACGAGCAAGAGTTTGAACAATTGAAAGAGGAATACGAGGAACGCCAAAATTTACCTGAACATGGTGTCGCAAGAGAAACAGCTCAAGAGCATCAACACGACTTGACACCGGATGTTGTTGACTGATCTACCATTAAATTACGCTGTACTTTGGTCAATATATGTCTTTGAGTGTTTGATTTCTTTACTGTAGACTCATTACGAGTTTCCCCAAGCGAGCCAACATATCCATCAAGGAACTATTTTGAGGTCTTCCTTCTTTAGGTTCGCTTCGCGGAGTGTACTGGTATTGACTTGGAGGAGGTTGGGTTTGCGGAGTTGAAGAGTATGATTGTTGGCTATTAGCCTGCACGAACTGGTTAGGAGAGTTAGGATTGACTTTTCCCTGCAATAAAGAAACGACTGTTTGCATAGCATGGGGGTCGAGATTTTGAAGAGTACTTAATACTTCAGGGCTAAGTTGTTGGCCACTGCCATACGGGGTGCTGGTTTGACCTTGTTGAAACGCGTTTCCGCTTTCGGGATTTTGACCTTGCCAATTAGGTTTGATACTCTGATGTGGCTGGTGGAATGGCTTTACTTGATTGTACGGTTGTACTTGATCGTAACCTTTATAGTTTGGTTGATAAGAAGGTTGATAATTAGACTGGTTGTTTGGAATATTGTTGGGAGTGTATGTTTTACCATTTGAATAAGGCTGATCGGCAGTATGTGGTTGGTCATATGCATGGTTATTATTGTACAGTTGGTTGTTAGTATATGGCTGATTAAATGGAGAGTTGTTTGCGATATTCTGGTAGTAGGATTGGTTGTTAGGTTGAGTATTGTGCTGCAGATTGTATGGTGCTTGTGGCATGTTTGGTTGGTTATACCTTGCGTTGTTCCCCCTATATTGCTGCCTGTTCCTGAAGTGTGCTTGATTTGCCTGAGTATATGGTTCACTGTAGGGCAGATTGAATTTTCGATTTTGCGGTTGATTGTATGGCGAATCGTATTGCTGATTGTATGGCTGATTATATGGTTGACCGAAAGGTTGATTGAATGGTTGATTGAATGGTTGATTATATGGCTGATTGAGCGGCTGATTATATGATTCATTTGAGGATCGATTATTGTTTGTTTGGTTGTATTGCGGCATGTACAGATTATCGTTATTATCTGCACGATAAGGGCCATTGCGGTGAGCATAGTGAGTGCCATGATCATTGTCATACCCGTATTGGTGCCGTCTGAAGTTATTTTGACGTTGGGACGACAGATGATGATTTGGACGGCGATATGAGTGGTTTTCTGTGAAGTGCCGAGGCCCATCACGCAAATGAGGCTGTCTGGGAATATTTTGATCGTCTCCTTTTTGCCATTCCTCCGCTCGCTTAGGTTGAGTATCCTTGGCTTCCCCTCGCGTATTTTTCGTTCGTTGCTGATCCTTTTGTTTTCTCAAGATGTCAGCAGCGACGCTTGGTTCAACATTTTCGTATTCATCAAAGCGGATTCCACCGTCTTCCGTCTCTTCGAATGTTTGGATGTCGAGTTGGTTATTCTTCACCACACATGCAGCTAGGACTCCCAGATAAGCTGCCTCGCACACCTCATCTGCTGGTGGTTTGTCTCCAATTTCCTGAAGGGCAAACAGGATGCCGGCGGATTTGAATGCTTCCTCGACTTCTTCCACAAATGCGGAAACAGCTTCGTTCGTCACGAACACCAGACATTCCCGTTCATTGTGTGGTCTTTTAGATTCCGGTTCATCATCCTCATTCTCTTCTCGCTCGCGAGCTCTCACAACAGGCTGGGTTGGTTTGGGCCTCAGGGCTGGCGCTAGTCTTAAGTAAGAATTATGGAGCGGTATTCCTGTTTCTCCTTCTATAAATTCAGAACAAGCTTCTGCTGTCCGGAATTGTGCAAATGCGTAACCACGCTTCATTTCAATTTGTAGAACTTCACCATATTGACTGAGAATGCGAAAAAGATCCTGCTTCGAAATACTATTGGGTAAATTTCCGAGGTAAAGTCTCAGATTCTCTGGAAATTCTTGGTCCCTTGTTATTGTTGTCTCCGCCTCTAGAAATGATGCGAATGCTTGTTCTTCTTCCCTTGTAGGAGGAATAGAGATATCAGGTCGACGACACTTCTGGTTGGCTTTAGCATTAGGTGCATTTTGGGAAGTTAATGGTAAAGAGGGAGACTGAATTGAAGTTTGTGGCAACATTATCTTTTTCTGTGCGAGAAGCTCCAGTATGACTTTCATTTGGTCTTCCTGAGATAACTGAAGAAACTCTGGTTGCTTGACAACTTCACTTTCCATGATCATTTTGTATGCATCAGCAAGTGCGCTCTCTTGTTGCATTTGCGGCTTTGCAGGAAGATCTGGTTTCCCTTTTTCGATGGGTCCTAGTTGCAAAGGGTCATAATCGTCATCTTCTTCTTCTTCTTCTTTTTCTTCCTCTTGTTGTTGTTGTTGTTGTTGTTGTTGTTGAACGTCTTCTTCATCATCAGACTCGTGAGATACTTCGTTAGATGCAGATAATTCTTCGGAGACGGTCTTCATATTATTAGGTGGATCTTGAGCAGTGTCCACTTTTGGTGTAGCACTATCAAGTTTGGCGCCGTCAATTGCTTTTTCTGCGTGAAGGCCATTCGGTATTGCTGCTTGGCTTGGACTGTGTTTACCAATCGCCGTATAGGTAGTTGTAGCGCTCTTCTGGTTGATATCTGAAATCTTGTCGGTGCTAGATGTATCTTTCGTCCCAGTTAGTTCGTTTTCATTGTCATTGTCTTTTCCCTCCTGAGATTTCCAAGTGTCATGCTCAAGTTCATGTGTATGTTCTTTTGCTTCAGTGTCTACTTCCTTTTCATGTTGAGGTACGCTATTTGTTGGCACCATGACTTCCTCGTTAGCATTTGATGGAGCGGTTTGTGTAGTTAAAAGCAGTGAAGATTCCTGGTCAGCTTCACTAGTGTCTGTGAGTTGAACTCCAATGTTTTCCGGATCATAATCATCGTCTTCCAGTGAGTGATTATCTTCTGATAACTTTTCCCTATTATTACTTAACTCCACATTCGATGAATGTTCTTTTTCATCGTGCATGGTTATGGGCTGGACTTCCATAGTGCAAAGATGGTCAAGTTACTTGTACTCGCTTTCCGACATATGACATGGTGAAGACACATAGTTGTGCATGTAAGGGCAAACCGTTCACTACTGGAGTTCATAGTAGGTCACATCTTATGGTTAGTAATGTCATATACATCGAAGCCATAATCTTCTGTAAAGTGGTACGAGTGATATTCAGTGCTCGGGAAATTAAGAAACCGGAATTATTCACGCGGATAAAATTAGGTTCATGTGCCTTAGCCGAATCCAATCTGCGCACTGCACCGGTTGCTTTGTCGGATTAATTCAAACGGACTAACTTGGAGGAAATCAAGGCTCGGAATGGGGGATCGGAGTGGGGGATCGGAGTGGGGAGACTCAACGGTGACCCGCACCTTTCCCCTAAGTGCAGTCGTCCTACCGCTTGCTCCCATGCTAACACTAGCGAAATAGCCATTACAAAAGTTAAGAACTAGCGTTATCCATTGCAGTACATACCATCACCCTCTATGTGATAGTATATTTCTTACTTTCCAACTTGCTTTAGAAATTAAACTGCGTAGGTTTCAGGTGCTGCACAGTAAAGTCCTGAGTATCATGTAGAGCGCTTAATGGAACAAGGTACTTAAGTACTGAAGGCGTTCCCAAGACTGAGAGAACTCTTTGCTGAAAAGAATAAAATAACAACAGATACAATGGTTAACGTCGGAATTGTCGGAACAGGGATTTTCGCTACAGACAAGCACTTGCCTACGATTCAGTCAATTGATAACTTGAAGCCGTTCGCGGCTTACAACAGAACCAGATCAAAGGCGGAGGTCTTTGCCAAAAAAGCGAACATTGATGATGCACATGTGTACAATTCTGTCGATGAACTTTTAAAAGACCCAGAAGTGGACTTTGTGGATGCTTTGTTGCCAGTTCAAACAAACCTTGAAGTGATTGAAGCAGCTATCGACAATCACAAGCCGATTGTCGTTGAGAAGCCAATTGCTGCCAATATGGAGCAAGCGAGAGAAATCGTGAAACTTTCCAGAAACACTGACTTGCCTATTGGTATTTTGGAACAGTGGGCGTTTTTCAGCGCAATTGACAAAGTCAAGGATGTTTTGTCCAAGATTGGAGATGTGATTTCCTTCACTTACAGAGCCACTGGCGCATGGAACGCCAACAACAAATACTTGTCTACTTCTTGGAGACAAAACCCACAGCACATTGGAGGATTTTTGAGTGATGGAGGTGTCCATCAGTTGGCCTTGCTCACGGAAATTTTGGGTCCCGTCGAGTCTGTTGCTGGCCTCACCAAGCAAGTGAGAGAGGAGAGCGGTGCTGATGATATACTATTCTCTACTTTTAAATTGGTCTCCGGTGCTATCGGTACCTTCACATACGGTTCTGCATTTGGTGCTACTGATAAGAGCACAAGCTTGATCATTTATGGCACGGAAGGTTCTCTTGTCTACGATTTTTCACCAGAATTGAAGAAACCTACAATCACTTATCAGACAGGCGCCAACTCGCAGGAGGCCTCGAAGAAAACTGTTATTGAGGTCGATGAAGTCAATGCTGTGGAGGAGGAATTCAAGAATTTTGCTCAGGCAGTGCAAGCAAAATGACAAGCATTTGGTGAAGGTGAAGCCCGAAAAGGCCTTCCATCACTTGGCTATTGTAGCGGCTGCGCTCGAGTCGTCTAAGCACGGAGGTTCTTCAGTGAAGGTCGAGCAAATTTAAAATTGTAATATGAGATTATAGTTCATCAAGTATATGCTTTTCTTCCGCCTCATCACTAGGTTTTGTCGGTAAGTCCTCAGAGGGGTCAATTTCACTATAAACTTCCTGTTGGTCTCGTGATGCGTCAACTATGTCAGATGTCGCAACTGGAATGTCTTCCAAGGTTGATAGATCAGCATCGTTGATTGGGGAAGCTAATTCTGATGGAACACTAATAGTGGTTTCGTATGAAGATTTGGGCCCCTCCGATAAAATTTCACTTTCATCACCCGTGCTAGCTTCGGTTCTGCCAATGAATTCTTGTTCGTGGTACCTTTCATCTGTATCTTTCTCGGTCTCCTGCTCACCAGCGTCTATAGAATCACCATATTGAGAGCTGGCTTGTTGTTCCGAAACTGTTTCCACTGCCAGTAACACATCAAAGCGAAGTTCGCTTGGATAATTTTGCGTGGCATCGTCAGCTTCGTGAATGTCATTATCCCCATTAGCCATGGTAAAGTTTTCGTCACTTATGGTAATTTCTATCGCACCATCATCTGCCCCCGCGTCGATGGTCTCTTTAGTATTGACATCCCCCGTCTCGTTTTCGTATTTTTCATCCTTATTATTCTCGTACTCGATGGCCCCGTTGCCATGAGTTTTATCATCTATCAATATATCCTCAAAAGAATTTTGTGACGACGATGGACCCACTTCTGTTGTTTTGAGCTCTTCATCGGTCTCTAATACACTCGATTCCTCAGGATCAGCAGCCTGTGCATTATCTGATGTGGACATTGAGGAATCATGATCAGATGAATGGTCAGGTTCGACCACCCACTCTTTCTTCTCAACTTCCTCTTCGATGTGATGAAATTGGTCGCCTTGCTCACTTGGTGCCTTTCCATTTTCTGCACTAGACGCAGTATTGGTCTCCGTCTCTATTGCAATCGAAGTAATTGAATCTTCAGGTTGTTCATCTTGAGTATTAGTGTACGCGTTTGCGAGTGAAGAAACTTCTGTGAAAGAAGACGCAACATTTGTATGTGATAAAGAAGACGCAACATTTGTATGTGATAAAGAAGTAGAAGACAGCGTTTCAAGCGGCTCCATAACTTCCCGGCCATTAATATTCACTTTTTCTGATTGTAGGTGATTGCTTGCCCAATTGAAAAGACCAAAGAATTTGAAAAGGGTCCAAAGCAATATTCTTACAGGTGTCTTCAATATCCTGCGCCAGATAACCCAAGCACTGCAGCAGAGGAGAAATAAAATGCTCATATAGATTCGTTTCTTATCGCGCTTGTCTTGTCTTTCAATGAATCGTACAATCTCTTTGGATTTTGTCAAAACGCCTTCGAGATCCATCAACTTGTCGTTTAAGTTCCCCAAGTCCTTTGACTGTTGCACAATTGTATCTATGTTAAGCTCAGTTTGCATGACAGACATAGACATTAATTGTTTTGTCAGTTGCAATGAAGAAGTGATATTTTTGTTATGCGTTAAAATTTGATCTTGGACAGACTTTTCAGATGCCTCTGCTTTTCCCTGTGAACGGCCGGCGAAGAGATCTTCCTTCGTTCCCTCTTTTTCTTCTACTTTCACATATTCGGCGATTCTTTGCTTGTGTATCATGTCCATCTCCAAGGCATGTGCTTCCAACAAGCTTTGTTTCAATTTCAGCTTCAAACGTCGCCAGTTTTCAATGTAAAGAGCTAGCTTGTCATGTAGAAGGCTTTCTGCAGCTTCCTCTTCGTTCAATTGCTTCAACTCAATGTCTATGACGAGACAGAGATCAGGTATTTTAGACATGAGTGAGTTTGCGCTTCTTGATAGAGCAGAACGACGATCTTCATAAGATTCACCATCTTTTAGTGTTTCTGAATCTAAGCTGCACAATTGGTGGATCCTGTCGAATACAGAATCCTGTATTTCGTCAATTTCCAGGAAATATCTTTCGATTGATGCAGCAGCCATATCAGAGGGGAAAAGGGGAGATTACAACTTGTTGAAAGTTCAGTGGCTACATGCAGGTTCTTTTGTGTTGGTTATCCAGACCATGAGGCGGCTCTGCAAAACGAACGGAAAAGCTTGTCATTGAAGCCATCTGAGTGGATGTATAGTTGATAGGTTCTACTAGTGGGCAATCGACCCATACAAGAGCGGGCATTGTCAGTATGCCATATGGTTGTCGTATTCTTTCTCGCTAGTAATCAGCGGATGTTATGTCCGCTGAAAATTGCCTTGTCGAAAAACTGCAGAATGAATACTGCACTGACTCGGTTCTGTGTCGCACTTACTCTTTTGGGGTGCTATTAAACTCTCCATATTGGTGGAATTGGGCGTTGAAAGCGGAAGTGTGCAGAAATGCCGCGCGGCCGTAGCATTTTTCCGGCATGCGTACTCAGGGTACAATTTTCTTGGACATGTCAAAAGATAAGTGACAGGTGTTAGGTGAACTACAAAGCAAGAGAAAGGGAAGCAATTACACTCATGGCAAGTAATAAAAACCCAGTAAAATATAACCGGAAGTATGGATTCGAACGGAATAGAAATCAACCGTATATGAACCCGAACCGGAGTCAAGCGATGCGCATAAATGTAATCTTCGAATATGCAAGTTGCTTCAATAAAGATAAGGTCTTCAGACGTTGAAAAATTCCCCAACGGCATTTCCGAGGGCCAACCGATGGATCGGGCCCAGGTATAAAGTCCCATTGCTTTCCTCCCCCGTATATTGTATTTTTTTTCTTTTCTCTTTAGTATTCTTCCTCTGGTTATGAAGTTCTCTACTCTCGTTTCTGTTGCAGCACTTGCTGCGTCTACTCTCGCTCATCCTTTGGCCAAAAGAGAAGCCAATACCACTGAGGCTGATGTCATTTCCACTAACAATGACTTGCAAACATCCCACGGCAAGCCCTTTGCCGTTTTCCAACCAAAGGTGTTCGTCATTAACATGTTTGAGTTTGAAGCCAAGCCATGGTTAGAAGGTATGGAATTCGTGCACAACATCACTATTCCTGGCTTATCTCCTCTTTATCCTGCAATCCATTGTAACTCTGATTACACTGTGTGCCAATTGACCACTGGTGAAGGTGAAATCAACGCTGCTGCTACCATCAGTGCCCTTGGTTTATCTCCATTGTTCGACTTGGCCAAGACCTACTTCTTGATCTCCGGTATTGGTGGCGGTGAGCCTCAACATACCACTTTGGGCTCTGTTACTTTTGCCAAGTACGCGGTCCAGGTTGCTTTGGAATACCAAGTATCTTACCAGGAATTCATCACCACCAACCCTAACTGGACTTCTGGTTACTGGGCATACGGCACTGACAACCCATGGACCTACCCAGGCAATGTCTACGGTACTGAAGTTTTCGAGTTGAACGAGAAGTTGAGAGACAAGGCTGTCGAATTGGCTGAAACTGCTGAATTGAACAACGGTACTGCCCGTAACGTTGAGTTCAGACAAGAGTATGACTTTGAAGCTGCTCAAGGTGCCCCATCGGTCGTCAAATGCGATGTTTTGACATCTGACAACTACTTCACTGGAAATGTGTTGGGCGACTACTTCTCCTTCTACGCCTCTTTGATGACCAACGGTTCTGCAACCTACTGCTCTACTGCACAAGAAGACAATGCCTCTTTGGAAGCTATCACCAGATTGACCAAGGCTGGTCTCGCTGACTTCAACAGAGTCATGGTGATGAGAACCATCTCTGACTTCTCCAGACCTCCTCCATCTATGGCTGATAAGGCTGTTGAGTTTTTCAACAACCCTAACGATGGTGGTGCTGACGCTGCTTTTGACAACTTGGTCGTTGCTGGCTTGCCTATTGTCAAGGACATTTTGGAGAATTGGGATGACGTTTACGCTGAAGGTTCCGAATTCTCTCCAGAAAACTACACTGGTGACATCTTCAACACTTTGGGTGGCACTCCAGACTTTGGTAAGTCCTCCTTCGATGTCGCATAAGCCTAAACATATACCTGATCATTTTCACCATTCTACTTCGTCACTTTCCTTCGTCTACTGAAAAACTTTTAACATTCTCCCAGATTACTTTTACATAACATAGGCACACAAATGTACGAGTCAATTACATCGTTTAAATTGTATCTTTTTCATGGTTTATTGATAGAATATTAGACAATTAAATTAGTTGCACCAATCACCGTTATGTCGGTTTATTAAATGGCACACAAAAAATGCAAAGTTCTAGTGTCATTATGTATCTGTTAATGATACTCTTCAGTTTTTCTTTCCTATGCTTAAGCTTCTGAGTCTTTCTTGTCGCTCGAATCATCCATCGCGCCATAGTCCTCTGAAATTGGTTCTCTTTCCACAATTGGCACTCTGTCGAAAGTGGTGAATTCGGTTCCGTTCTTTTTGGCCAACACGAACTCATATACTGCTCTCAAACCGCAGGCCATAAAAGTGAAGATTAAGCCACCGAATGGAGCAATCACGAAAGCTCCAAATCCACCCCAATCATTAGGGTCGTAGATACCGTTCCAGACAAGAAGAAGCTTTCCACCTTCTCTGGCACTGTCGTAGTAAATCCAACCAAAGACGAACACTGCAAATAGCGCACTCAAACCACCAACCATGATATCAAATCCACGAAGGAACCAGAAGAATCTATCACTGAGGCCAAGGAATAAAGCTGGGATAACAGCAGCAGAGACCAAGTCGGCGATTAAATAGATCTGCAAAATGTTGTCGGCAACTTTAACACCCCAAAACAACAACTGGTACCATGACAATAAAAACCATGGCACGAACGTAAATCATGTCCAATTTGTTGCGGAAAACATCATTAGAGATGGTCGAAACCATAGCACTTTGCAACGAATCGAACGTACAAGTAGACAAGCAGATGACGAAGATCAAGACAAATGCAATCAACCATCTTGGCATATGAGATAACATGATGAAAAATGCATTGCCTCCATCTTCATCGTTCACATCTATGTAGCCTGCCCAGACAGCCAAAAAGCCTGTTGTTCCCACCAAGGTGCAAATAGCAAAAGTCACAAAACTGGCAATTCCTGCGCCAATCCAGAGATCTCTATCAGTTTTGCTCGCAAAAGTCCTCAACCAAAAACCAGCCATGAAACAATCATTTGTGATGATAGCCACAGGCAAAATGTAAAGAAGTTGCCATCCCAACTTGTTAGCGTCAAGCAAGTGGGAAGGACCAATTTTTGAAGTGTCAATATCGATGTACGAGCCCATACCCGCTGCACAAATAACGACCAAAAGTACGACCAAGACTCCTTGGAAGTTGTCGGTGATGAAACTGACACGGAAACCACCAAAAGCGGTGTAAATTGTCGTGACAACACATTCAACAATGACTGCGCCCAAGCCATTCAATCCAGTCAAGGTCTCAATAGCACTCTTGACGGCAGAAACTTCACCGATCATGAACAAAAACATTGTAAGACAGGTGAAAAACGACACATATAAGGCTGTGACGATACCAAATCTTCTTCTGACCCACTCGGTCATGATGAATCCATCAGGACATTTCTTTCTGATCATTGGACCCATGATTGCAAATCCCACAATTGGAATCGCTCCAGAAAGAGTGTACACCATTAAACCATGAAGGCCAGAAATGTTTCCAATTTGGGCGTAGGTAGCCAAAATACCACATCCCATTGCTGTCCGTTAGTACATCTGATGATTAATTGAGTTCGAACCCAGCGAGAACTGTGTCAGAAGTTCTCAACAAAACTCATTATTAACATTTGAGCAACTCTGATCCATGTAGTTAAGTTCTCGCTTGGGCCAACGTTGATTACTCTATGGATCCCCCATCGCAAGTTGGAGACCCTGAGGCGTGCATATGGGCTCGACTGGGTTACACTATGTTGCTGGGGAGTGATAAACTGCTGAAAAGAAACATACCTGAAGCAATAAAGTTCACAGCTAACGGTAACCCTCTTTGGGTTCCATTGCTTGATAAGAAATTATCCTTTCTTGCAAATTTCCAAGCAAGAAATAATCCAGTAGCCAATAGGAAGGCATAGGTCAAATAGATAATGGCGTTGCTTCCTTGTGAAGATAACGAAGCCATAAGTGATGTAGATGATAGGAATAGAATAAGTAGAAGACCTGTTTTTTGAAAGAAACTGTACCCTTTACATACTCCTCTACATGAGAAGAGTATGGTCTTAGTCTGCACATAACCCGCATATATGCTTTTACAAGTCGCATCTGCGAGCACTTTTTTCGCATCTTAGGCTAAGCATGCACTTAAAGGGGACATCTGTGAGTGTTTTTCTCACAAGTCACCCTACATATTTCAGGATGTTTCATTTACGGTAAATGAATGACTAACTTGATCCTCAGAAACGCCTGATTCTGCTCTAATTATCACCTATGTCGTGATTGAATTTCAAGCCTTTCCTTATGGATAAGCATGTCTTAAGAGATTTTTATGTGGCTAGCAAATGTACATGTACACTAAATTCTTGGCCTATACATACGCACATTTAATGCACACAAATAATTTTAACGAGACTTTCCTTTTTTTTCCCTTTAATTTTGGCGTACATTTACGGAAAAATATTCTGATGATGTCGGGTACAAAATAATCCGAAGATTGCCAAGGATGACCATTGCATGCTTCAATCGGTTTCTTAGTGACCATATTATTAAGAAGGGTCGTACTAATTCAAAAATGACCGTTTTCACTACTAGAGAATGGTGCTTGAGTGATTCAGGCTCACAATAAAACTAGGACAGCGGTTTCATAATCCGAATGCGAGCATTTTCGTTTTTTTTTTTTTTTTTTTTCTTTTGAAGTGTAAGGCGATCGTCTCGGCGATTAGGAACTTGAAACCTATGCAAGAGATGCATGAATATTAATGAGTTCCCTAAAAACGAATGGTCAGAAATTCTCAATAAGGCAAAGCATCGCTTCAGCCTTGCGTCATCACGTCATTTTCTTTCTATTTCTTTTAGATTCACATATCCTAGGAGAGAACCGAAGTACATAGTAGATTATAGGACGAACAATATGACCAACATGTACTTCGGTCGTATTATGAGTACCAGAATAAGAATGGTGTTGCCTTGATTTTAGTGTTCATTTGTCATGCAGCAGCCGCCTCAAGAGTCAATAACAGTTTTCTAGCTTTACTCAACCATTCCATATCGATCACTTCAACATTAAGCTCTTCAGGAATCATGACACTGCTCAGTGTGATTTCAATACGTCCAAAACCTTTGATGCGAGTGATTTCAAAGTCACCCACTAGCGACTTTTCCTCCAGAATTTGTTCACTGCCTTCTGCTTCGGCACTTTTCGGATGTCTCTTTTTTCCCAAGTCATTAGGACTCCACCAGTACAGCGGATACTGCCGAATAACGTTACCAGTGATCAAAGCAACAGATATCATGAGCACTGAAGAAACTAATTGTGCTGGAAGATACCACCAACTGATTTCTCGAATTCTGTCATCGATAGACGGTAAAAGAGCCGAAGCACCAGCAGGAGGGTGTACACAATTTAGGATAGACATCAACACCGACAGAATTGCCAAGGAGAGAGCACCAGATGCCCAGTAGTGAGACCTTCCTGCTTCGCTTAGCAGAAAAAGCTTTTGGACGCCCACACCGATCACAGATGCAACAAAATGGCCAACGAGAACGTTTCTAGGTTGAGCCAAAGGCGACTGGTGGACATTGAAGCAAAGAATAGCAGTCGCACCATAACTGGCAATGATGTTATGGAGATGATGCAGATTGAAAACACTGCTATGTTCAAACACCCCTTCTAGCAACGCCACCCCACAAAAGGAGGATATGAATACCTCAAGCCATATGAAATGGTCTCCAACAGGTGCTGTTGTATGGCCACCGAGAACTTGCCGAAAAGGCTGAGGGAGCTTACTTACTTTGTTAGGCCATAAGTACTTATTTACCCAGTTGTCGATAGTGAATCTAAACATGGCTCAGAGGGACATAGACATGAGTATTGTGGAGTTAGGCGCAAAAAATGCAGGGTACGCAGAGAATCACGCAGAGAATCGCGACAAGGGTTTTGCGAGTTTTTACCCCACAATGAAGTGTCATCTGACCCTCACAAAGTACACTTTGAACAATAGCTTTGAAAACACAACAAAATGCATAGTTTTGACGCGTTTCAAAATACTAGCACATGCACCATTTTCTATCTCGGCCCAAGTTCATACCAATGACAGTGTTACCTGCACTCTTTATTGATGACAGGCGCTCTACAGAAAAACAAACAAAACTATACGACGGAGGACACCACAGAAAAGAAAAGGGTGGCATACTCAGAATAACACAGCCCAACTGGATAGGGAATCCGTAGGGGTTAACAAATGGTGCATCAAGACACGTATTGTAAGTCTAGTGGTGAAATACAAAATGAGAGACGCAATGTTGAATGTGGAAGACAATAGATAGCCGATTGTCGAATTGTTGATACAGATTCATTGCAATCGATCAATCAATCAATCAGGCAGTGAAGATAACAACACAATGAAGAGTAAACGAAGCATGTGCAACGGTTCGTTCCTTAGGCGCGACATCATTTGTCACAACCAGCATATGTTCGCGGTATGTCTTCTTTTTCCGATGTATTGTACACAGGAGATTGCCGACCGCAGTATTCCGAGCATCGCCACCATCAATCAGTGAGGTCACTATATCGGGAATTACGGTTCAGCAAGTTAAGAAAATAGCATAATGTCTTCACATAAGTATGTCTCCTCTAGTTGAAGAAGCGCAAAACCCCTCTAGATGCTTATCAATCGTCTTCCACGGAATGAACATATCTTTCAGGCATGGAACAAATTGCTTTTGCGCTTGCGGCTCATCTTGCAGCAAATGTTCCTGCATATCGAAAACGTTGCTTAGCTGTGGTTTTCATATCGTGTGACGGGAAAACTTTGTTTAAAAGAACCACGGAAGAAGGTATCTGGAATAATTCGCTTTTCTTCTTTCGTCCTTGCATTCTAATAAATCACCAAAACCTTTTCCGCATCTTCCGCCTCATAACTTCCACTTGATATAAGTCCCACCATGACAAAGTGGTATCTCCAGTTTACAAAATTCCACTACTATCTTATTCCTATCGTTTGCGCTGTGGTATGGTGGGGTATGCTTATTGCGCTACTAGCATGTTGGGGAGCCCAAGGGCATCCCATTTATTCGTTCATGAAAGGTAAACACCAAGATCCCGTTTACTTATCAGACATAGGGGCAACCAACTTGCAGCCATTATTCATTGCGTGCACGGGATTTCAAATGATCTTCTTCATGGGAACATTGATCATGGAGTATGTTTTGAGAAAAAAGCACAAGCTTCAACCGTATGTATCGACGAAGCAACCCAAGCTTGCCATTGCAAGCATCATCTGTGGATTTATCGGCGAAATCGGTATTCTTCTCGTTGCATGTTTCAAAACCAGTAAGTTTAAGCATGTGCATTTTGCTATGGTGGGTGTCTTCATTGCCTTTGTATTCTTTGCTTGTTGCTTCAACTTCACCCTTACCTTCATCTTTGGTAACTTCCCTCAACGTTTGCATCCAAACCACGAGAAGGTTATCTTTGGCAAGAGGCGTTGGGCGAACCTTTACATGGTATCATTTTTCCTCAAGATCATTTGGGTCATTTTTGCCATTGTTTTTGCAGTTGCTTTCGGTGCTCTCATGAACCAAGGCTATAAGTCCGCTTCTGCCGTATTCGAGTGGATTATCTGCTATTGGTATGGATTCTTGCTTGTCATCTGGTCGCTTGACTTGTTTCCTTCTGCGGTTAAGAGCTACCGCTTGCATCACCCCGAGAAATTTGATACTGAATTTATTGACAACCACAAAATTCCAGTGGAAGCTAGATCTTCTTTGGAAGTAAAACACAACAGCACTTCGCTGAGTGATATTATGAGCTAGATTAGTATATTATCTGAAACACTTGTATGTATTTTAAGGACTGTAACTATTTATTATTAAATTGGATTTTACAAATCAAGGTTTGCTCTCTATATGTGATTTCCTATAAATTCGCAAAGTTTTTACGCAATCTCTAGCCTAATCCAACGATCATAAAAAAAAGCTCCGCTATTGAGACAGAAGCAAGGATTCATCTGAAACTCATCAAGCATCAATTTCGTTAGGAATGCAACATGAATATCAATCACAGTATTTTTCTGTTCTTTTTTTTTTCTCTAATAATTTTGTGTAAGTCAGGATCTAGCGCCCTTGAGTATTGGATGTACGGGTGCATCATCACATCTCTCAGAGAAAAGTCAAATTTACACTTCAACTTCAAGCACCAGGCATGATTCAAACGAAAAGGCTTTCAGCTGGTCTCACGGCCACGAATAAAGTCTTTGTGAGATCCAGGAATGGTGGATGTACTAAAATTGTCCGTGAACATTACCTTCGATCTGACATTCCCTGCTATTCGAAGCTTTGCAATGAGTGTATAAATACAGTGAAGCCCGATGCCCAAGGGAATTTACCAGAGTTTGTTTTGCTGGACCTGCCCTTGAAACTCAAAGATGGTGGACCGCATTATGTGGTGGTTGATACAAATGTGGTTTTGCAAGCAATCGATTTGTTAGAGCACACAGATTGCTTCTACGACGTCATCATTCCCCAGATTGTTCTAGAGGAAGTAAAGAACAGATCGTTTCCAATTTACCAGAGAGTGCGTGCTCTTGTGAAGGCTGCTGACAAGCGTTTCGTTATTTTCCACAATGAATTTAACGAGGCCACTTTTGTGACGAGAGAAAAGAATGAATCCATCAATGATAGAAACGATAGAGCAATCAGGAAATGCGCCAAATGGTATGCTGAGCATCTTAATGACAAAAATCTGGAGACACCCATCAACATCGTTTTCGTTTGCAACGACAGAGACAACAAAAACAAAGCCATTGCAGATGGTATAGATACTAGAAGTCTCGCCGAGTATGTCGAATGTTTGACTAATGGTGATGAGTTGAGAGATTTAATTCCAACTGAAAATGAGTCCTTTGATAAGAATGCTGCTGAAGTGGCATTCCCTGAATACTATTCAACTTCTAGAACAATGGCCGGTGTTAAGAACGGTACATTATATCAGGGAATTTTGAATATTTCCACTTACAACTTCTTGGAAGGTACTGTTCAGACACCAGCTTTCAAGAAGCCTCTTTTGATTGTCGGAACGAAGAACTTGAACAGAGCCTTTAATGGGGACTTGGTTATTGTCGAACTACTTCCAAAAGACAAATGGAGAGAACCATCGACGACAATTGTCGAGGAGAGCTCCATTGGTGCTAATGATAATGCCGAGGAAGAAAATCAGGAAAGCATTATTTCAGACAAGGAACGCCGAGTGTTGGCTCAAGAGGCCGTAAAGGCAACCTCTGCCAGCGAGGCGCATAGGTTACAACCTACAGCAAGAATTGTCAGCATCACTAGAAGATCATGGAGATATTATGTGGGCCAAATTGCACCATCTTCTGTCTCTGTCGAAGAAGACAATGGAAATGCGTCGAAGACATGCTTCGTGGTGTTGATGGATAAATTGCTCCCAAAAATCAGAATCAAGACGAGAAAAGCGAAGGACTTGTTAGGTCAAAGGATTGTTGTCTCTGTGGATCTGTGGCCTTCTTACTCCAAATATCCGTTAGGACATTTTGTGCGTAGCTTGGGTGAAATCGAAAGTGCAGAAGCTGAGACTGAGGCTTTGTTGTTAGAACATGATGTTGAGTATAGACCATTCTCAAAGGCAGTTTTGGAATGCTTGCCTAAAGAGGGTGACAACTGGGTTGTCCCGGAGAATTTGGACAATGGTGACGAGCAGTTGAAAAAAAGAGTCGATTTGAGACACAAACTTGTCTGCTCCATTGATCCTCCGAACTGTGTGGATATTGATGATGCTTTACATGCAGAGCCATTGCCAAACGGTAATTACGAAGTCGGTGTCCATATTGCTGATGTTACCCATTTCGTTAAACCTAATACTCCTCTTGATAACGAAGGTGCTTCCAGAGGTACTTCGGTGTATTTGGTTGATAAAAGAATCGATATGTTGCCGATGTTGTTGGGTACAAACTTGTGTTCGTTGAAGCCATTTGTTGAGAGATTCTCATTCTCCGTTATTTGGGAAGTGGATGAAGACGCAAACATCGTTGATGTCAAGTACATGAAGTCTATTATCAAATCCAGGCAAGCATTCTCATATGAGCAAGCACAACTTAGAATTGACGATGCAAACCAACAGGATGAATTGACAAACTCCATGAGAATCTTGCTCAAGCTTTCGAAGAAATTGAAACAGAAGAGATTGGACGCTGGTGCATTGAACTTGGCTTCTCCCGAAGTTAAAGTGCATATGGACAGTGAAACCTCTGACCCAGGTGAAGTGGAGATCAAAAAGCTCTTGGAAACAAACTCATTGGTCGAAGAGTTCATGTTGCTTGCTAACATTTCTGTAGCAAGAAAAATCTTTGATGCATATCCACAAACTGCAATGTTGAGACGTCACGCAGCACCACCAGCAACAAACTTTGAAGCTCTCAACGAAATGTTGCGTGTTAGAAAGAACGGCATGTCTATTTCCACCGAGTCGTCAAAGGCTCTTGCAGATTCCTTGGATCGGTGCGAAGATCCAGAGGACGAGTATTTTAACACTCTTGTACGTATCATGTCCACAAGATGCATGATGGCTGCAGAATATTTCTCTTCTGGCTCCTACGGATACCCTGATTTTAGACATTATGGTTTGGCTGTGGACATTTATACACATTTCACGTCACCAATCAGAAGATACTGTGATGTTGTTGCGCATAGACAACTAGCAGGTGCTATCGGATACGAAAACTTGGACTTGAGCCATAGGGACAAGACTAAGATGGAGTTGATAGTCAAGAACATTAATAGAAGACACCGGAATGCTCAGTTTGCTGGCAGAGCTAGTATTGAATATTACGTGGGCCAAGTGATGAGGAACAACGAGTCTACACAGGAAGGTTATGTGATCAAGTGTTTTAACAACGGTATCGTTGTCCTTGTTCCCAAGTTTGGCGTAGAAGGGTTGATCAAATTGGAAAACCTTGGTGATGTGAACAGTGCTGAGTACAACGAAGAGAAATTCGAAATTGCTTTCACGGATCTCCAGGGTAATAAGAGGGTCATTGGAGTTTTTGACAAGGTCATGGTTGCAGTTAAGTCTGTCAAAGACGAGGTCAGTGGAAAGAGAAAAGCACAATTGCTGCTTGCATGAAAGTCGGCGGGAACATAATTTACATATCATATATAATATAAGCTTTTAATTGCTTTTTTGTTTTTCATCTGTGCATTATCATTGCACTGAATGCTCTAGGCGTTGATATGGGCAACAATCTGCTCAATAGTAACAAGCTTGATCTTGTGTTCCTGCGAGAATTTGACACAGTCATCCAATCTCATCATCAAGCCATCTTCATCTCTGACAAGCTCGCAGATCACAGCAGCAGGCTGCAAACCAGCCAACTCGCACAATTGGACGCTCGCTTCGGTGTGACCTCTTCTTTTGTTAAGAAGGCCAGGCACAGCACGCAAAGGCAAAATATGGCCCGGTCTGATAAAGTCAGAAGGTTTGGAAGAGCCGTCAGCCAATTTACGTGCCGTTAACGCTCTGTCATGAGCAGAAATACCGGTGGTCGTGCCGTCAGCATAGTCACAGGTGACAGTATAGGCGGTCCCGTGTCTGTCGGCTCTGTCCTTCAACATCGGCTGTAAGTCAAGCTGATCAGCTCGTTCTGTTGAGAGCGGCACACAGACGTATCCAGAAGAATGACGAACCAAGAACGCCATCTTTTCTTGCGTTGTCTTTTCAGCAGCGATGATCAAGTCACCTTCGTTTTCACGGCTCTCGTCGTCCATGACAACCAAGAACTCGCCATTCTTAATGGCTTCAATAGCTTCGGGCACAGAACAAAATTTCGACATGTGCTTAGGAGAATCACAAACAGGCGGATTGGCTTTTGAAATAGAAAAGGCTATGGCCACTTGTCCCGTAAAGTGCGCCTGTACGAAATACTAAGCAAAGTGATCTCATTACTAACGTCTGGTGCGCGCCGTATTCTTCGGAAGCTCGGACCACCGTTTGGCAGAACGATCTCGCAAAGTCTAGTATCTACTTGAATATAGATGGCTGATGAAGACACATTTTACTAATTTTCTTCATCAAATAACTTCTAAAGCTCTCACCATCATTTTTCATTTCTCAACGCAATACCAAGGCATGACGAACGGAAACTATTGTCCTGCACAAAGTCATGGAGCCGACGGTGTCCTGGATGTACAGTGGCATATTCACATTACGAGGCCTCTGGTGATATAACGAACTCAATGACTAAAGATTTGTATCTGAAATCATTCCTACACAAATGGCATTTCATGCCTTTTCCCAACAGTGTATGAGACGTTCAAGGCACAAAATGCACTCAAGGAGACCGGATTACTGAATTTCCCTAGTCGAGTCACATGTGAATGGCACCAACAATGGAGAAGCAGTCTCTGGCGGCGTAAATCAAGAATGCAAAACTTTGTGAACAAGGCGGAACATTGCAATTGTTAGCACCAGGCGAGATCGTCAAAAGCATATATATGCAGGCCACAACACAGGTAACTCTTTTGGCCCTCTACATCTGACCATGGAATCTACTCTGGGACTGAAGGAGATCATAGATCAATATGAAAATGACCATTTCAGCTTCCAATTGATCGAATTTGATGACAAAATCATCCTTAATGTAATGATCAATGGCATCGTGGACACAACTTTGGATATTCCAATGCCCACTCAATCGCACATCAACGATCCATTGCAAGACGAGCAATCTCTTGGCGTGGAGCCTGTCGTGCTATTAGGAGATCCGCATAATATTAAAATTCAGGTGGTGGCTAGCCAAATCGGCAAAGTGGTACAACTACTGAGGAGACCCCGCAACATCATTTTGAGCATTGCATCACGGTACTTCGGCAAAGGCGACGTTACCCAAGACGGCGATTTTGAAAAGGTCATGTTTGTTGTACAGCACGTAAAGGAGTTGTTGCTGTAAGCATACCATGTTATAGCGATGTTCTTTTAATTAAGAATTGAATATATATGCACCGTACGTGGAGTGAGGGATAATTAAAAAATATTATACGTGTATTATCTGAATTACTCTACTTCTTGCTCTTTCTCTCCTTAGCAGGGACTTTTCTCTCCTTTTGACCCCACACTAATTTGTGTGGCTTCATGAAGGCGTCAACAACGGTTTCATCAACCGCCTTTCTTCTCTCTTGATAAGCTGAAACGTATTCTTGTACGACGGCGATGCATTCTTTCTTCATTTCAGACGACAAAATGTCTCCACTCTTGTATCCGTCAGCCAATTTTTGTAACTTCTCATCATCATAACTGAAAAAGGAAAGATACTGGTATGCAACGTCGACGTCAACATTTCCGCCCAATTCCCTGTGCTCTTCCAAAGTGGCTCTTCCTCCAGAGAAGGCGTATTTATTAATCTTCTTTTGAATCTGCTTTGGAGTGTCATCCATGAAAATAGACGTTGTCGTATCAGAAGCAGACATCTTAGTTGATGCACCTTGTAAAGCTGGGAAAAACTTTGCGTGGATCAAAGAAGGCTTGGAAAATTTCAATTTATCAGCAACATCTCTGCAAACTCTAAAATATGGGTCTTGATCAATGGCACATGGAATTAAGCAAGGGGTTTTTGGAGGCATGTCCAAAATACCTGGGAAAGACGAAGGAAAAGCCGTTGCAATCTGAATACTAGCAAAATGAATCTTTCCAATACAGTCAGAGTCCTGGAATCCGAAAACGGCCTTGGCAGTTGAAGTGGTGATCTGTCTGGAAGTTCTCACCACATTTTCGTAAAGAGCAGGGTTCATGAACTCCAAATCAGAAAAAATGAATGTGTTTTCTGGCTTAAAACCAACAGCAATAATGTCTTTACTGTTCTCCTTTGCAAATGTCTTGACATTTTCGATTGTCAATTTTTGTTTGAACAAAAACTTCTCATCATCAGTCAACTCGATCACCAAAGGCACGTCAAAAACGTCTTGCAACCACTTGGTAAAAATAAAAGGAACCATGTGGCCCAAATGCATCGAATCCGAAGAAGGACCTCTACCAGTGTACAAGAAGAAAGGTTCGCCATGCTCATACAAATCCAAGATGCGGTGCAAGTCTCTTTCAGAAAAGAAGACACCTCTCTTTAAAAATGGATGAGGCTCTTCACCTGTGACTTCGGTGAATCTCGTTAGTGTTTCTGGTGTAATGGCTTTGGTACCAAAGGATGCGATAAGCTTGTTGTAGTCAATACTTTGAGCCTGACCATTTTCATCCACAGCACCTTCAACTTCCCAAGGAGTCACCTTTTGTTCAGAAGTAGTGTTTTGCTCCTTGATATCGAGAGAGGAAATGTCAACTGGTGCAGCCATTGAAGTGTATTGTTCGAAGATTTACTCATTCACGCAAAAATTTATCTGTAACTGAGAACACGTGACTATCCTAGTCCAGCATGTTTCCTTCTAATGGATACGAAGCAAGGACTGTCAAGCAAGGAGATGAAATCTACTGATGATACCAAGTTGCAGAAGTTTTATTACACACGTTATATGAGTTATATAATGATTAGAAGTTGAGTTTGGTGAAGAACCACTTGTTCTTACCGGCTTGGTGCTTTTCTTCCAAAGCCTTTCTGACAACCTTCTTAGCTTCTTCTCTTTGGGATGGCTCGTTCAAGGAGTCTGGGGTGACAGCGTTCTTGAAAGACTCGACGTCCAAAGAGTATCTTGTTGGCATCAAGTGGTTGTAGTTAACCAACTTGACGAATGGCTTGATTCTGGTTCTCTTAGCAACCTTCTTGGCGTCGTGAGCCTTGGTGACCTTCAATGGGCCTCTTTCAATGCCAACGACAACGGCGTGTGGGAAAGAGTGAGACTTGGTTCCGTCATCATGAGGTCTGACAACGACAACCTTCTTACCAGCGAAACGACCACGGGTGACGATAGCTAGGGATGTTAGTATAAATGTTAAAACTTGATTGATTCCTGATGCTTGTGAAAACAAACGATGAAAATGGTGGAAGTGAATGACGTTAATTGTGGAAAGCCTGTCTTAGGTAGATCCAGCAAAGAATGGAAGAGCTGTGGTGCCCATTCATTGAATAAGTCTAAGCAAGTGGTGATTTCAAAAGTTTTTCATCATTGTGGTTGGGGAAAAAGATGACTTCAGTGTCCATTCCATCATGATGGAATATGGTCCAGCCATAACATCACCAGGAACCAATAAACAAATCAACAGGAACCATTGGCAAATGTGATTCAAATGGATACATACCAACTTTACCGGACTTGATGAACTTAGCCATTTTAACGTTGTGTAGTGTAAAGTGAAAAAATCAGAAGGGAAGTGTGCCAGAAAAATTTTTGTGAGAGCGAAAATTCACTGGCATCGTATGCAGGCGTTTGTGCCTTGAACGAATGGCGATGGTTATGGCTTGATGCACTGTGCGAAGTATATGAAGGATAAGTGCTTTGACCTGCAGTAATCGATCACGTGTTGCATCGTGACTGTCTTTTTATCTTTGCGATTCGGCTATTCGTATTGATAGATGACGATAGACACAGACCTTTAAGAAAGAAAAGATGATTGACAGTAGATACAGTTAATGTTGTGTGTAGCGGGTTTTTGTATTCTTTTCTGAACCGTTTTTTTATATCATCTGCATTTATGTCACTTGCGGAGATCTAACTGTGTTGAAGTATTCATAGGACGGGATCTGTGGAAATTGCGGGGAGTATACAAAGTTGAAGACTTTGCGGGAATGTGGTATTGAGAGTTATTTTCAAGCTCAAAAAGGATGGGGTTCCTTAGTAGATAACTCAACCGCTTCCGGCGTTAGTCGACTCTTTCTATAATTTAGGCGAAAGCAGTTTTTCAAAAGCTTACACTTTCGGAAATATTTAAACCAAAGCGTACATTTTATAATTACTTTTTGCCCCTTGAACGGGCAAGAAACTTTGAATTCAGCGACGTCACTATCCCTCTTGGACTTTGAGTGGAACTCAGTCTGTAGCTGGACGGTGGTGTTGGTTCACGGCGCCCTTCTCTAGAGAAACTGGACCTGCGGTTCTCTGTCATGACATAATTGCTCTGTGAAACAGCCAATTGTGCAGCATGGACTGTGCTAATTTCACCTCGTTCACCCTCTAACCCTAATCCACTAGGTGAAAGAGGAGGTGGGGGAGGTCTTTTCTTAGTGCTCCTTCTATTCTTCCATTTCGAAGGCATGAGAGGCTGCAGCCTCTCTTTTTGTTCAACATTAGACAGAGGAGGACCAGGACTAGAAGGGGTGGCTTGGTAGCGGTCTGAAACTTTCTCAGAACTCGAATCTGCCGGTGTCGAACTCTGAGCTTTAGAAGCAGAATTGGAATTTCCAACAGTAGAGTCAGTCTGATCTGAATTCCGCAGTGACAGAGTAGTCAGCCTCCGCCTCGCCTCATCTTCATAGTCACGTTCGTATTGATTGATTTTGCTCTTGGCCAATACCTCTGTCCATTTGTTTACTTCATACTTTTCGACTTCAAAGATGAAGACAGTTTGAAGAGCCTGTACTGCAAACGTGCCTGTAGAAGGAATAAATTTGCTGAACTTAGACCCTGTGTTTGAAACAATTTCCTTAAACTTGATAAATGGGTAATTAAGGCGCACCTCTACAATCAACTTGTACTCGGCATTAGGGTCTTCACGTGTCAATATTAACAACCGACCATGCGTAGTGACTATGATTGTGCAATTTCGACCTTTGTCTAAGGAAAGACTCGTTTTTCGGCTATTGGTACTTCCGCTCGACGAGGTTGAGTGGTTATCAGATGAAGCCTCCTGCTTCTTGTCACTGTGAGATAAAAGCTTTTTGAAAAGGCCTTTTCCAAGTTTACTATGCGTGGAAGGACTAGCTTCTGCCGCCTGATCCTCGGGGATTGAATCAATCCCACTATCTTCTTCCTCAACAAAATATGTTATGGCCGAGCTTTCCAGTTTCGCAGATGGTTTGGGACTTGCGTCACTTGACGTAGACTCGCGCAATGCTCTACTGCCTTGTGCTATCTGAGAAAGCATCGAGTTTCCGCTATCACGATTGTCCATTGCTTGTAGTTTGTTGACTAATCCCAAAGGAGCATCATGGATAAGACCTCTATTCCTTCGTTCAAAGAAGTCACTAGGCTGTTTGGAAACTACAGCCTGTCCGACATTTAAAATTCTTTCTGAAGGCGATTGCAAAAATTTTTGCCACGCAACCTCCACTGCAGAAACTGCTTTCACACTCATAACTCTCGACTTCGGCTTTTTCAGTACATCAGCTTCAGATTTTGCATGAGAAAGCTTTCTAGAGAAACTAGCCATGGTATGGATTGTAGGTCTTAAGATGTTAGTGCCCGGAATATACTCTGGAGCAGTTTGTGTCTTAGAAGAATTGTTTCCAGATGCTGGAGAAGGTTTCTGTTTCCTCTCCTGTTCATGATCATCTTCGGACTTGTCAAGTACTAATGCAGCAACACTAGCTGCACTGAAACCTTTACTACCGTCTGCTCCTTCCACTTTGCGTTTAGAAGATGCTTTGTTCTGTCTTCCGGTAGGCTTTTTGTTGGTTGACGCATATTGCTTAACATTCGATTTTGCTTGAGCTGGCATTTTCATCATTGACTTCGCGGAAGCCTTATAAGGCCCTAATTCAGGCAACTCTGCCGACCAAATCAGCGCATCGTCACTGAAGTCAATATCATTGTAAAAATAGTGCTTCTGTATTTGCTCAATCGTTGCCCTTCGAGATGGTTGTAACACTAAAATTTGTTTGATTAAGTCACGGAGAATGAGAGGAAAGCCAGCACTAAATGCATATTGAAGCTTGGTGATCTTTTGGAAGGTCAAGTATTCATTGGGTGCCTTAAAAGGAGGTTTTCCTGCAATCATTTGATACAATATGCAGCCAAAGGCCCAGATATCACCAGGTTTGCCGCAATATTTGCTATCCAACAATTCGGGGGAGACATACTCAGCAGTACCCACAAAAGATTTGGCCCGCACATCCACAGGATACTCTTCTTCTTCTTCACTCTCGTTTTTCTTTCTCTTTTCAAGTAATTTTGCTGTCCCAAAATCGGTGATTTTAATGCGAAACTTATCGTCCAACAAAATATTTTCAGGTTTTATGTCTCTGTGGATGACCCCGTGGTTATGCATATGCTTCATTGCTGAAAGAATCTGAGCACTCAAATGCTTTGCACAGTCCTCGTTTAAGGTACCATACTTTTTGATTAAGTTTAAAAGTTCGCCATTCGAAGCAAAATCGAGAACAAAGTAAAGAGAGTGTTTGTCCTGGAACGTAAAAAACAAGGAGATTATTCCTGGACATTTGCTAAGTCTGTTGAGCGCATGCTTCTCTATGTTCACATACTTCACCTTTTTCTCCTTGATAATGTGTCTTTTATCCAAGATCTTCACAGCATACTTTTTCCCCGTAATTTTATCTGTTGCTAGAACCACAGTTGAGTAAGAGCCTTCTCCAAGATCCCTGCCGAATTCAAAATCCTCAACAGTTCGACGGATCACTTGTGCAGAGACTTCTCCTGGGACAATTCGTTCAGCGGCACCTTTCTCGACCCACTCGTCTTTAGATTCATTTGTGCCCAATCCTGACACAGCATCTGAAGAAGGCTCCTCGATCACATCTATTTCTTCGTCTCTCGAATCCCCATCAGTATCATCCAGCTCTTTAAAGCTCCCTTTCCTCGCATTGGTACTGCCTGGACGTCCACTATTGATCAACGGTGCCGAGGATATCAACAGCCTGTATGCGGATTCAGTAGAAGGTGTGTCGACGAGAACATTCAAAGAAGAATTAGTATAACCCTGAGGGACAGGGACAGAATTAAAATCGAACGATGACGATGAGGCTGGTGTTCCTGGTGCACTCTGTCCACCGAGGTTTGATGACGCTCTATGGTCTTCGTCTGCGTGCAAGTTGACAGATAAGTAAGGAGAGCTCACATAAGTTGGCTCATCAGGAGTAGAATCTAGGCTGCGTGCCAGATCTCCGCCATTTGTTGCATAGTTCTTGTAGATATTATCAATCTCAGTAGATAAGCTTCCGAGACTAGGATTGTCTGGGGTCAGAGGATACATTATGCTTTTATCTGACCTGATGATAACAGATGCATATAGGGAAATAAATCCAGTCCTATCTTTTATGCTTCACAAGGTGATATGACAAAGGAACAAGACTAAGCACAGACTGAAGGTTAGCTCAATTGATTGGAGCAACGAACACAAGACGACTCTGGATTACGTTGTTTCGACGACAATAAATCAAGCCGACTCTTAAGCCAGTGTATATGGTACTTTGCGTGTGGTGTTTGATAGACTGCCCGGGAAGTTAAAAAATGCAAGTAAAATGAAAAGCCTAGCGGGTAGCTGAACGAGGTTCAGTCGACTTGCGTTCAATGTATTAATTGTTAGCTGCCTGCATATATTCAAGGAGGTAGAATGTAGAGAGTCACCAGCGTTGAGAATTCTCTACGCTTTAACTATCATCTATTCTCTTTTGATGAATTATAGGTCTCATGATAATTTGATGTACATTCTCTTTATTATTGGCTATAGGCTAGGGGAATAATTAGCTCTGCTACTTTTTTTTGTGATTAATAGAATTTTGCACCACTTCGAATGTCGTGTGTGAATTGTGCAAACAATGAGAATACAGAGTAAGGTTGCTCAACCCCAGGTATAACGGAAATAATTGATTAAACGTCTAACTGGGATGAGGAATTACGCAAGTCCACATGATGACTAAAATACTTAACATAACAAGTGCTGCTTCACATTGAATTACAAGAGATCCGAGGCTGCTTATCTTGTGGGTGTACACGTGACTAGATCTGTGTGCCTGAAGCGACCTTCTGGAATTAAACAGCATAAGCAAAATCAAGTTTAATTCGCATCCAATAAATAATCGTTGTATCCTTCACTAGGCAATTTCTTCTATTCCCACTTTCTATCCTTGGGAATGAACTAAACCCCCTCTTGCATTCAAATGGCATTTCCTTTTGAGCCAACACAGTTAAGGGCTCAATTAAGAGCATACCATTGGGCGATAGGCAAAACAGAGACAGACCCGGCTTCTAACATTATCAAGCCTCTTCAGCAGGGCCTCTTCTATGAACAGACAAATGAACGGTACTTGAAACATTTGTTGTCGTCGTCGCCTCCCATACCCTATAAAATTCCCACAGACTCCGCTCATTACACAGCGGCCCAACTAGGTCACCGTAAAGGTGTCTCTACGAAATCAGCCTTCAAGTCGCAAAGAAGTGAAAAGAAAGCAAATAAACAAGCTAAACCGGAGAAAAAAATGCGTAGAACGCATTCCACCACGACCGGCACATCCAACGATACGATCAGTGAAGGTTTTGTCTTCAATGAACTGTCAGTAACTGTTTCGATGGATAAGACTCTTTCAAACGAAGATTCTTCCAAGCCCAAGGCAAAGGAGAAAATAAGGAACCCACTATCTAAGCTCTTCAATAAATCTGATAAACAGAAAGATGAAGACCTATCAGAAGATTCTTCGGATCGAATATCACTCGCGACTGTGGGCTCCGTTGGCCAACTGGTCGCAACATCGCCAGGTACCACCAGCGGTGCTACATCAGTGGGAATATCCGATGCTAGTGAAAGTGGATCTATTGCCGTTAGTCGCTCTCAAGACTCAGCACTCGAAGGCTCATCAGCGAGTCGACTAACAGATGCTAATTCGCCAGAAAGCGATCTGTATATTGAAGATGACGAAGATTACGAGGAAACAGTCGAAGATGAAAGCGATCTCACGATTTCATCTGCTTTCACTGACATGAAATCCGAATCTTTGGACGACACTAATGGATCCTTAATGTATGAATACACTGTTCCTGAGAGCTATGTTTTACAAGACCCAGAAATGCCTCGGAATCGGAAAGGTGGTGAAGATAAGCTGGTGAGTACGTCTTTCGATAAATCTCTTAAGCCGCTGACATTGACAGCCCTACTTCCTTCATCGAATGCTGGAGGCTATTCCAAAACCTCGCCATCAAAAAATTCTGATACCCCAAACTTCAAGAAGTATACCTCTTTGAATTTTCAAAAAATGTACGATGTGGTGCATTCCGCGGAGTCAGAAAATCATTCAAATCTTAGTTCTTTGATTCAATCGAGGTTCAAATTATCAAACAAAAACCCATTGAACTATTTCAGTTACATTAACACAGATTCATTGGTTGATGGAAGCAAAAAAGTGAAAATTGACATATTTTTACCTCCTAAGACAACTCCAGAAATTAAGCAGATGGAAATAAGTAGCGGGGTATCAATTGTGGATTGCATTGGTTACATACTAATGGTATTATCCAATCGCCGAAATGCAGAAAAATTTGATGTCCAGTCTATGAACCCAAATTCCTGGCGAATTGAACTCATTGACGAGGACGGAGAGTTATACGACTCTACATTCGGAGTGTTAGACAGAACTAGACTTCTATCTTCGTACAACTGTCCAAACTGCTTGGCATTATGCAAAGTCACTGATGAAGCTGAAAGAGCACGAAATGAAGTGCAAACCCCTCTACCTTTGGAATTTAAACAAAATCTTTCCCAATACCATACGAAAGAATTGAATACCAATAACAATACAGCTTCCATGGCGAAGTCACCAGAAAAACAATATGATGAAATGAAGAATGGAACAATCGAAGTGAAAGTTGGAAATATTCCTGGTACTTCAACTGGGACATTCGTGAGTTTTTATATTAGTTCGGCCACTAAAATTGCTGACTTACTTGACCTAATTGGTGAGCAATATCACTTTGATCCCAGCAACTTTCTCGTTGCTAGAAAGAGACTCCAAAGCAACCACAAGGTGAGTGGCATACTCTCAGATGATTCAGAGAAAGATCTATGGATCCCACTTACGGATAATTCCCTTGATTTAGCCCATTTGAGCTCCAATGTCTTTCGCTTAGTACCGAATGTTTCAAATAAATATAATACGCTCACCAAGGGCGATTTGAATATGGGCTCAATATTGGAAAGCGGAATTACACCTTCAGCAACTTACACTCCAGCAGGAATAACCCCTCCCCCTGTAAAGCAGTTGGAAGGTAAATTTCATGAAATGGCCATCGGGTTAAACGACGGAGACGAGCCTCCTAACCAAGATAAGAGTAACCGTTCAAATAATGTTGTGAAAACCCAAGCAATCTCGAAGTCGAAGCCTACAGTTCCTATTGGGGACGCTAACTTTAATTTTGGCGACCTCTTCCATGGAAAGGGACCGCAGCAGTTACCAGCCACTCTAAACACTATCTATTTCAAGTGGAAAGTGTATCGGAAAAAATCACCAATCCTCAATCGAATTGAAAAATCACTTATTCTTGATGGCGATCATATACACTTGGCGCCTACCGACGACATCAAATGGAAGAGAAATCCGTATGAGAATCCATTTTCCTCCAGCAACAGCAACAGCAACAGCCATAGTCACCACCATCATCACTACTTGCATCATTACAACTACTCTAAGTTCTACAATGATACTATCATGAAAACAAGTTCGTTTCACATAACTCAGATCGTCAAGATCAAACATTACAAAGAAAGTAAGAACCCAAATCATTTCAAAATAGTGATTGAGAAGGCAAATGAAACAGGTGGTAAAGAGACAACAATCAAAAAGAAATACGATCTTGAGGCGCAAAGTGTTGCAGAGTGCGAGGAAATTATTGAAAAAATTACGTGGGCTCTTCAAGTTTACAATCTGTCGAATTTTTCTTGAGTCTTTACTTGAGTATATAAAGGAGAAATGGATGTATTTGGCAATTGCTTGTAAGGCAGGAAGTAATAAGGTCTGTGACCTGCACCTTCATATCCGATGCTCATCAGAGCTCATACAGAATATTTGAGTAGCTAATGTCTACCCTTTCTCTGAATTGGAAGGCGCTCAGCCTGAAGATTAGTCTGAAGCTGGATAAAGAGAAAGTGTCGAAACCAAAGAGAAGAAGTCAGCGTCCAAAAAAGTCTCCTTTGAAACTTAAAGATGAAACTGCAATCGCGACCACGAAGCTTCTTTCACCTTTAGAGTATGCTCTTTGGATTTCTGAAAGAGGCGACAAATTGCGAATTAAACCACAGTCTGCTAAGATTTCTGTTCTTTATGATGATCATAGAAAGAAATCTCCTGGAAAGTACATTGCAATGGATTGTGAGTTTGTTGGAGTGGGGGTTGATAATCGTTCAGCATTAGCCAGGGTATCTATTGTAAATTTTTATGGTGTTATAATACTCGATGAGTTTGTGAAACCATCAGAAAGAGTTACAGACTGGAGAACATGGGTTTCAGGCGTATCACCGAAAGACATGAACAAGGCAATTTCCTTTGAGGAAGCCCAGAAGAGAGTTGCTGATCTTTTGAAGGACAGGATCCTCGTTGGACATGCGATTCACAATGACTTAAAGGCATTAGGATTGTCCCATGCAAGATCTGCAACACGAGATACCGCTCGTTTTTCCGTCTTTCGTAAACAAGCGAAAACAAAGTTTCCAGCTCTTCTGAAGTTGACGTCGCAATACTTGAACCTTCAGATACATAGTGGACAACATTCATCAGTTGAGGATGCCCAAGTAACAATGGCTCTATTTAGATCATTCATGCCAGCCATGGAGAAAGAGAGCCTTTAAATTATATTAGCATTTGCATTATACGACTATATTTCATGACATACCAAGTAATCAATCATCAGTTACAAGACAGCCTAGGCGTAAAATCAAAATTTCTCTAGTCTTTGGCCGTCTATGACACTGCACATACCTTTGTAAAGTATTCTCTCAATCATCTTGGATAGTGTGTAAGATTTGGTTTCGCTTGACACCGAAGAGCTTTCGAACTTGCCAATTCTGTCGAAGTTCTCAAATTGGTAGAATTCAACAGTCTCCTTGATCTTCTTTTTGGCGCGGATCTCGGAATAACTAACGTCCAGAATAAGTGCCATTTCAATCATGGCAAGATCATTTACCAAGTCCACAGCAGAACTATTCACCATGCTCTCATGTAAGCGAGGCTCAATAATATGGAATATTGAGAGAGCTAATTCTCGAGACATTGTGTATAAATGGCAATAGAAGCCAATAAACTTCCTGCTGAACGTCGCGTCGGATCCGCTCCTAAAAATATAGGATACAATAAGCATAGTCATCATTGCTTCATGGTCATTTTGACAAATGAAGGTCTCGACAACTTTTGGTAAACGATCCTTACCAATCGTAATGAACTCCTGGTCCTCAAATCCAACTTCATTTAAGATTTCTTCAAATGCTGTAGGCGAGGTTGATAAATAAAGAACGAAGAGATACGCATAACAAAAAATTTCCGTCTCTGCTCCAAAATTAGCCAATTTGCTTCTCAAGACTCGTTTCAAACATGTAATTGACGTATGTCTAAAGTGCGACACAGTCAAACCTTTGCAAATGATGAAAAAAAAGTGAAGCTGTAAGTTCTTGGGGAGAAATTTAACATTCATCTTAGCCTCAAACGAGGAAAGGAGAGGCTCCAAATGGCACCGTTGCAGAATAAAAACTTCTAAAGCTGCTTCAGTATTGGTCGATTTTTCAAGCGCATTTGTCAAACAGTGCGCAGTTGCTTGATAGGTGAAAGGAATTTCAAGCAATGAGAACGCAATTTGAGCCCAAACTATCAAGGCAAAATACGGCGAGTCCGTTGTTAATCCAGATTCTAGCTGTCCGTAGCAAATAGCACATGTTGAAAACGTTTCAAGATCATCAAACATAATGTTTCCTAGTAACTTTAGAACACGACCGCAGGTAGAATCACTAATACCTGATCTAGCTAAAGTTGCAACCCCCAGTACAGCTCTTTTCCTGAAGTATGATTTGCTGAATGCAATTTCCATGGACAACGAGGACCACCGAGTCATCCATCTGATCCTGTCATCAGCTGAACCCATCTTTGATATGAAGTCTTGCAATGTGTCGCAAAAAGATTCGAATGCAGTCGAACGATTATAAAATTGTATCATGTCGGACATAGTTGCACGCTCTCGTGATGTCAACCCAAATAACATCTTCGCCCTTTGACCGCTGAAGAACTCAATTGAAGAGTCGATCAATTTAGATTGTTCTGCAGTCAAATCGGGTTTGCCAGAAAAAGATTGAATCGTGTTAACCACTAACTTCTGCAAATCAGAACCAAATTCGAGAGACGGGTTATTGATGAAGAGAGTGCAGAAAAAAAACACATCCAGCAAGTATAGTGATCCATAAACATGTGAGTTGAAGAATAAGGTAGTGCAAACCTTCACCAAAACTGTTATTTCCAACAATTTGCTTTGCAAGACGATATCAGAATCATCAATTTGGGTATTTCTGATGTACTTGTTCAAGCGTGATACAATCTCCCCGCATATTTCAACGCTGGGGCTTATCACAGATATAAGTGAATCCCAGCTGGAATCATCAGATTTGTTTTCTATGGTGTAAGCCAAAATCTCATCCACGATTATCGACGTAAGTCTCGTCTCATTTAGCAACTTTCTCCATATTCTCTCATTCAAAAATGGTACGATGTTTGGATTCTGGTCAGTGATTCTGCAGAACTGCCTCACAATCTCAGCAACTAATTCTGGTCCGTCAGGAAGATAGAAAATGTCCCCAACGTTATCTATCCAGGGAGAAATGTACATGATACCACTTATCCTAGTTTCCGTTGAGAGCTTCTCAAAATTGCTGAAGAAAGCCTTCAACAATTTCGGCGATATTTTGTTTAGCTTCTTAGCAAAAAAAGATGATATCAATATCACAAATGCTGTTGTGTCAACAGGATACTCTACCCTGTGTGCATGCGACGGTTTGATACCAACGTCAAAATCAAATAGGGAACCTATTGTTGCAAACAAATTAGAAGCCGCACTCCTAACCTCCTCGTCATTTTCCAATAAGCCATGGAAAACGATATTGAGAAGCTTGCCATACAATTGGGAGTCATCATCCTCTGAATTTTGGGTATCAACAATTTCGAGAGCTGGCTTTGAGTTTCTCAACATTGAAAAATACAAAAAGCGAAGAACTTCTTGTCTGTGCGGCGAAGATATCACGATCTCGTAATTATATCTGTTTAAAGAGAGTGTGAACTCATTTGGGTCACCTGTCTTATCGGAGATATCACATTTGGTAAGGTCTGATACCAATAGAATCTCGATTGGATTGGTGGTTTCTGTCGTCCCTTGATAGTTAATGGAAAATTTCTCAAAACAAATCTGAACCCATTGGCGGCCAAGTTTAAGAACAACAGGAGTAAATTCTCCTTTGTCTTCGTCATAAACTTTGCAATCTTTGAAAACAGCCCTAACATCATGATTTATCAGTGTTGTTGTCTCGCCAAGACAAAGTGAATTAATCACCAGTGGATCATCGGCTTGAGAATAGAAATAAAGCTGACAGTCTTTATTAAACCTGCTGAACCTCATCTTCGCCACTTCATCGACAAAGTACATATGCTTTTTCCTGGGAAGGTTAAAATAGAAAACCTTGGCACAATTTTTGAAAAACATAGGAGGGGCGTAGTTACTAAGAATGGAGACGTAACTGTTACCGAAAACACCCAAGTAAAAGAACTGGGTGAAGTCATTAACAATGTAGAAACGGTTGTCCCAAACTCTGCTTGCTGCCTCAAAAATAAGGTAAACAAAAGTTGGTACATCGTAACCAATGTCCCGCAAATACCTGAAGTTAACCACAATGACAGGGGTACCATCATTAAATACAGCGCTTCTGACCACAGATCCCTCGAATGCCATTTCGATATTTTTAGCTGAAACCTTTGCCATGAAATCTGCGTACATTGAGTTGCTGAGATTCATGTTCGACGATGTATCCACTACCTTGTAGGAATTAGTCCCTTGCAAAGATATGTATGGTTTTGGTCCACCCATCTTTAACATACAGGAATCAAGACGTCTCCAGATTTGAATTCTTTTGCTAAGGACATTTGAAGATGATCTCAATTCCTTTAGGATGTAACGCCGTTTGATAGCATTACAATAAGTGCACAAAAACTTGTGAAAGTATCTCAAGCTGGAGTAAGGTTTTCTTGTAATCTTGTGAAATGGATACTTTTCCTTTGAAGGAGACACTGCAAGCTGTTTCAAAAAGTTCACAACCTTCTCATTCAATAAGTTCAATTCCTTCGACCTGTCTTGAAGACCGGGGACCTTTAAACTATGAAGACTGCCATTGGCAATGTATTGCATAACTTTCACCAACTGCATAAGCGATCGCTTCACTTTACTGTCAATAGCCGGCATGTCAAAGAAAGACTCTGGACTAACAATAGCCGGACAGAAGAATCGCAAAAACATGAATGAACCAACAGCAATAATGGCAGTATCTTCAAACTTTTCTTGAATGCAAGTGTGAATCTCAGTGCAGACGAATTTGAAAGATTCCGGAACCCAGTTCATAGAGTCAACTATTGTATCAACCAAAAAGCGTCAAGTATTTCCATGAACATATCTGTCTGCTGAGCATCGCTGAACTTTTCAACTTCAAAGACAAATGTTTCGTCCCACAATTTTTTCAATAAATGGCTTCAAGACAACAGTTAAATAGGGCAACCCATCTTCTTTTGCAAAAAATTGACATTAATCGGGTGAGTGTACTGTTTCGTCTAAAAATATCAGAAGACCGAGATATACTGCTAACCTCTTCTCTCAACAATGTTAAAAACAAAACATCTAACTTCGAAGTATAGCTAAATACTCCATGAAGCGAGGTTGCCAATAGATTGTGCTCAGCAGGTGATGCCACGAAAGCCACTGCCCCAACAACATCATAGCATTCTGCCAACATCCAGACCATCTCATCCAGATATTCATCAGTGGGGTGTTGTTTTCGTGATTTTAGCATATCAGCAAAAATGTTCAAGAAAAAAGATCGAATTTTCTTATTTTCATGGTAGCCCAATGGAAGAACAAACTGCATTCCAACTTCACCGTTCGCTTGAAGCACATTCGAAATGGACTTCAACACATGATCCGTGATTGTTTGAATCTTATACTTTGACCTTATCATCAATGGACTAGGACTTGTAGATGTATGCTTTTGCAAAATCTTATAGAACAAAGAAAAATAATTCGAAAAAATCAAATTTCTGCTGCGCTTGATATTCTTCTCCTTAGTACCTTCTGGGACCTCCAAAATTAAGTATTCCAACTGTAATACAAGAGCCTTGGAGCATTCACTGGCAAGCTCAACATTTAAGTATTCGATTTCCGACGTCTTGCTGCTAGAAACTATGCTCGGATTTGCGGATGCTGGGGATGTAAGGTCCAACAGAGCATAGGTGGACAGGTCTGATTCAGAGCTAGTCTTTCCAAAGAGTGCTTGCTCAAGCCAATCCAATGAGATTTTCGCAAAGGCATTTCTAGTTTTATAGTCCCCAGAGAAACCAAAATCACTCCTTGACGATTCCACAGTATGGACAAACTTGCAAAATCGGAGCTTCAATTTAATTTGCTGCACAGAGTTCGGTACAAACTCAATGAACTTTACTAACAACTCGCTGAAGTCGGGTAATACAACCGTTAATGTGAATGAGCCATCATTACTCAGCGCTACCATCGCCGTAGTAATAGATATCATTTGCTCCATGTAGAGTATCGCTTTCTCTGTAGCTACCCCAGCCTCAATGTATGAAGCAGCAACCTTTGTTAGTTTTTCACCTATCATAAAGAACACATCTGGGTGAGGCTCATTAGATAAGGCTTCTTTGATTACCACACGGGTGACTAAGTCGTCAGAGTCCGATAAATCAATCGCTTTATCAAAGAAAGATGAAACTTTTGAAACGATAATTTCTTTCTCCACAGGATGGGCTTTTGCGAAACTGTCTGCAAAAAAGCAGCCTGATGTACAAACCAAAAATCCAGTAAAATTACGGAAAACAAGACTCTCTTCTCCAGACTCCGGAATCTCGGCAACTAGTTTAAGCCATCTTTCATAAACCAAGACCCAAACACGATACAACGATATGGTTGGTCTTGCACTCATGAGAATAGATCTTATCCTCTTATGGAGTGAAACAAGCCCCGTGAACGCCAAATTGTCGCTCAAAATGTCTCCCAAAGTTTTGAATAGATTCTCTTCTGAGGGTAAGGCAGGTTGCAATATTTTGTTCATCTCCAAAATATGCCATTTCATGAAGATTTTGGCCACACTGAAAAATTGTACATCATGTGTACATAATGCCAATAAGAGAATTATCTCAACAGATTGCACCACTGATGAGCAATTTCTATGTATAAGGTCATTGCCGAACATCTTGCTAGCATTGGTCACATTGTGTGAAAGGTTAATCTCCTGTAAAAATCTGTTTAAGAAAACAAAACAGGACTTGAACTTAGGGTCCACTAAAGAGAGGCAAGCGCAGGCCTCAGCTGTGGATTGGATCACAAAAATGCGAATAAGGGCAGTGGTGCATGACCTCGTCTCGGTACTTTCGAGATCTTTCGTATCTTTTCTTACTAATGTCATAGATAATGAACATGCGGAGTCGAATAAAATAGAAGTACCAACAACACTTTTGAACTTACACGCAATTCCAATAGGTGATGAGACATGACGTGCGAACATGAAAAGCTCCGAAGATACTTCCTCCAAAGGAGCTTTCGTATCATATGTCCCGCATATGAAGAATCTCTGTGGTGCTGCGGTGAAAACGAGTAGCAAGTCTGATAAAATCTTTTCCCAGATCCCAACACATTCCAAGTTAGGCTCAATGGATGATATATCACCAGTGTTATTTTTATCAAATGATGAATCAACGGTGGTTTTTCCAGAAGACAGACCCTTAGATACTGAAACAGCGGCTTCTAAAGGAGTATTATTTTCACTTCCTTGATACGATATTTTAGGCGACAAAGTCTTTGGCGATGCAAGCTTCAAGGAAGATTCTGATCTGGAGAGTGAGCTGAGATCTCTCGCAGAGTCAAAATCCTCTAACTGTTGACACAAACAAAGAACCAACTCTCTTAACTGGGGGGCCAACTCAGACATTAATTCCTCAAACACAGAGGAGTAAGAAGCAGGTTCCGACAATTCTTTGATTACCCGAATGTAAATCTGAACATCCCTGCAGAAGCTTGTGTCCATGCGCATGTCATCCAATTGATCAATCTTTTCCTTTATGACTTCAAAGAAATGAGACACATACTTCTCTTTGTTGATAACAATGGCAGAAACAAGAAACTTCACAAGCACAATACTAAACCTCTTTTGGTCTGCATCGGTATTTAGCTTCGGGCGTATCTTCTGCAAGTTTGTATACGTTTCATCAAGATAACGTGCTGTGAACTCTCGAACACCACCTGATACATAAGGAATGCGAGAGCCTAGGTAAAAGATGTCAATCAAACATTCAAAGCAGTTTAAATCGTTGGCTGAACGTGCATCACGAATCAAACTAGCCAAGAACTTTATTCGCTTGTTGAATGACTGCTTGAGTTTGTTGGGTTTCGACAAAAACTCGTCGAAATCTGAAACGCACGGAAGAACAAGCCATGAAGAAAGCGATGGCGCCACAACCGACTGATCGTCAAAAACTGTCACCACAAAATCGAACAAAAGCTTGCAGTTTTGCTCTGCTGCACTCCCAGGATATATGTTTTTCGAGTAGAAGTCAGGTCTATAAACACATTGAGCTTGTAAGTTCAAGGAATTGTAGTATAGGAAAAGCTCCTTCCATACTGTAGAGCGTATAAAAGGAATTGCGGTGTATGTTCGTCGCAAATGAGAGATGGTGATCTCTGGCGTGCAGTATAAGTATCTTAGCAGACACGCATATTTTTGCATTGCAGAAGTTGGAATTAGCTCGTTCCGTTCAGACCAAGCAAACACTTTTCGTTTCAAAAATGCAAAATAATCATGCGGGTTAGCTGCTGCGATATAGCGCAATACAATGCTAATGTATCGATCAATCGCAATAATATGAGAAAGCATTTCTTCGTGCGAGTATTCTGGGCTAGTCGCAACAAAGTACTCGGGATTACTAAGGGTTTCCGGTCTTACTCTGCGTATTGCTGCCAAAGCATGTCTGTTCACTTCACCCGACAAAATAGAAAGCAACACATCAAGATAATTTGACACGTTAATCGCAAGTGGAGGTGGAGGTGGACAAGAATACAAATCCAAGCAATCAGGGTTGTGAGCAATCTCATAGTCATAGCAAACGCCATTGTTCATAGAAAAATCTTCGGGTGTTTTCGTGTCATCCCAATTGAGTCGGAGCAAGGCAGAGAGCAATTTTGTTACCGCCAATGTGGACGTCAAGGACTTTTCATCTCGCTCTCGCAATCTCCGAGTCGTGGGATCAATGTTCAACTTCTCTATGAGGGATACAAAAACTTCTATAATTTCGGATACAAAGTTTTGGTTTCCGTTATTTGGGGAGGCTTTTGCACAACATAAGAGAAGGTTGACAGTGGAGATAAACTGTGGATTAAGCTCGACTTCATCAAGAGAATAACCGCTCCTATTTGGCAACAAGGCCTCTAGTCTCAGACCCAAGGACTCAATAAAACTTGCCTTTAAACTTTCCGTCATGTCAAGGTTTGTGGAAGGGAGAAGAAGTGCCAGAAAGGTAGCTGCACAATTAACCCCGAAATGTGTGGTGATAACAAAATGAAAGCAGCGCTAAAGGGAAAGGAAGGACAAGAATGCCAGAGACAAATGGGCGGAATAGGATCGGTATCTGAATTTAGTAGATTGTAAAGCGGTCGTGCACGAGAAAAGGGAAATCCACAGTAACGGGGAAGACTAAAGATGATAGAGACGTGCACATTTCTTTTGGAGAACGGTTTCTTGATCCGCGCTGGATTGTACACGACTAGGGACAAACAGGATAATGTCCGCGCCGTCTGACGTGAGAAAATATAAAGAACATCGCAGTAGGATTAAGTGGGGACAACTATATTCATTGTCAAGACAGACCTTGGGGAAAGAAAGTAAAATACATTCAACACAAGGAGAACAAGACAGAGAGTAAGTAAAGTTATTGGTAAATGTACGATTAATTACGGCATGCGAAATCGGCTCCCTCAGATGACTCAAGTGACAAAAGCCTTTCAAATGATGAAAAGTCAGACATTGGACGACTCCTTTACGAGCGGAGTTACTCCTAGAGCGGAGAGAGGGGATGTAGCGTCATTCACATGCTGCCAGTACAGGGGTGCATATATGCATCATTTAGCCCGTGTAGGATGTCAATGGACGCCCGGCTGTATCAAAATAAATTGAAGGAGCCGTACTGTTGTATAACAAAATTGAGTTAGCCGGTAGTGTGAAAAATCGCTACAGCGAGACGAAATGCAAGTATCTTCTGTTGCAGCAATCTGTCAAAGACATGAATGTGCAGTACCAATTTGGGGACACCCATGACACGCCAACGAAAAGGAAACAGTGCAACGGGCAAAATACGATGGATATGCAACAGAAGGCTCACTACCAACCGTTTTTCCGTCTCCAGGCGAGACGAATGTGATTGTATAAATTGCCATCACGGACACAAGAGTGTACACATATGTCCAGCTATAACACTGAACCATAGAGCACACTTACTGACTGAGTATCGTCATCGTTGAGTATCATCGTGGTTAGTCTTTTCCTTCTACATACTGAACTTAGCAGATTACAAGGTCTTGGTATATCGGACTGCATATACTCCGGACCAATTAGGTTCCGCACTCTCGAGGTTAACTCATGAAAAACTCACCGTAGAATCCAACTTCTTTTCTCAGTCTACAACTATGGGTGCCGCATACACTATCCTCGGAAGATCCGTCCAACCACATGTTTTGGCCCTTGCCACTTTGGGCGCTGTTGTTTTTGTCGCTGCCCCAAAGCCTTGGGGTCCACCAAAGCCAACCCACCCAGCCATTGGCGCTTCTTCACCTGAGGAAGAAAAGTTCGTCAAAGACTTCTTGGCCAAGCACTTGGAAGAAAAGCACTAGAGTATAGATGCAGAGCATATACATAGCAAATGAATATTCATGGGTATTTTATTGTATGAGAGTTTCTTCTGATTTTACGTTTTCATTTCCTGAATTATTTTTCTTATCTCACTTGTTTCAATTTTTTTTTTTTATTTTGGTTTTAAGTTTCTTGCGTTGTCTCTTCAATGTTATATCTCCATTTAATTGTGGCGAAATCATTTCAAGTACAGCTAGGCTTTCTAGCCTTGAGCATATCTTGGCCGAATTGTGGAATTTCCGAGCGCGAAGCTATGGGCCTGTATACCAAAGCTCATCTCCATTGAAAAAAACCTATCTACCTCTTCTCCCATGTCTGCCATCTACAAAGCGTTGCAGTCTAAGCTGTCGAAAGACAGTTCCGAAAAGGCCAAGCACATCAACAGACAAAGAGTCTTGGTGATCTCGTCGCGTGGTGTCACTTACAGACACCGCCACTTGATCCAAGATTTGCTCCAGTTGATGCCGCACGCAAGAAAAGAACCCAAGTTCGACTCGAAAAAGAACTTGAACCAGCTTAACGAAGTGGCAGAGTTGTACAACTGTAACAACATTTTCTTCTTCGAGGCCAGAAAGCACCAGGATCTCTACCTTTGGATTTCCAAGCCGCCTAACGGACCTACGATGAAATTCTACATCCAGAACATGCATACTTTGGACGAATTGAACTTTACGGGCAATTGCTTGAAGGGCTCCCGCCCCATTTTGAGTTTTGACAAGTCCTTTACCGACTCTGCTCACCACCTGCTCATCAAGGAGATGTTCACACATACATTTGGGGTTCCGCCTAATGCCAGAAAATCTAAGCCCTTCATTGACCATGTGATGACATTCTCTATTGTCGACAACAAAATCTGGGTCCGTAACTACCAGATTGCCGAAACAGTTGATGCTAAAGAATCAGAAGATGCTGTTGACACCGAAGGTTTGTCCTTGGTGGAAATTGGACCACGTTTTGTCATGACATTGATCACGATTTTGGAAGGTTCGTTTGGTGGACCCAAGATCTATGAGAACAAGCAATACGTTTCTCCTAATGCTGTCAGGGCTCAATTGAAACAACAGGCAGCAGAACAGGCTAGGTCCCGTGCTACAGCTGCTTTGGACCGTAAAGTAAAGCGCAGAGAGATGGTGATGAAGGCGGACCCATTGTCCAACGAGAGCTTGTTTAAGTAGGGATATAGGTAATAGGTAACTCCGATTCAATATTGTACAATGAAGTATGATGAGATAGTATCCATGTGATTTCTGACGCAACGATGGGAAACATGCTTACACATGAGCCACAAAAGGTATTTAGGTGGAAAGTGATGATATTTTATAACGAGAACTTACGTGGTAAACTTAGAGCATAATAATTGCTAAATGGTGATATTCACATGTCATTCGACAGTAGCTCTTCTTACCTAGAGAGTTTATGTTCTTAATTTTGCCAATGGATGCCATTCGGATCTGGCCGTTTCTGGTTATGTATTCTTCTGAGAAAGCCAATCTACTGTTGGGTAAGGTATGCGCAAAGCAAGTGATGGTCCTCTGTTCGACAGAATTTCCATACTGAAAAAGAGATGACTTCAGAGATACATTTAAGACCGGAAATTTACTTATAACCTAAAGTACCCACCCATGAGTGTTGATGCTTCGAAGGAATGTGCTTCAACATCAGAGTGGCAGATTGACTCATTCGAATCACAACTGGCTACTCTCTTCTGAGTTGAATAGCACTTCTAGTAAGGAACGGAGACTTTAGGAAAAAGAAGAATTATATGTGCCAGAAAGAATGCAAGAGTAGGCAATTCAGGTGCGGAATCGGCAAAGAAATAGAACGAACCAGGAAATACGATACGGAGTTCAGGCGATAACTTACATCCGATGCGGAAAACAATAGGTCAATGACAGGTAGCAAGTTTCGCCCGGCATCTCGGTAGGCATAGCCGAGCGTTGTAATAGCAATGCAGCGTTGTCGTCGTGTGCTTCGATCAAACTGTCCTACAAAAAACAAGTGTACTAAAGCCAAACACAATAAGAAGACGCAAAATTAGTGCAAGATCAGAGCAAACAAAAGATTCATGAAAAGACGATAGTTTAATATCGTTAACCGACAATTACCTGAATGAGGTTAAAAGACAATGAAGGAATAGACAATGCGATTGCAAAAAGAAACGAATTGGATAGACGAAATCTACAAACAGAAACAAAAGTGACGTATCTGCTCATAAACGTTTAATTGAAACTATTCAAAACACAATTTTGCTGGGAAAAATTTTGTCTGTGTACTAACTGGATTTTTTAACCGTTTTAGAACATGACGTTAGTGAGAACACGAGAAGAGCGAATGGAGTAAGAACCACGTTCCATAGTCCGGCACATAGCGGAGATCGCACTGTACCTGCGTTTGGGCAAAAGACACCTAGGAGAGATGCATGAAAAAGAAAGACAAGAAACTGCGGGTTTTCTCTAACTAAGCCACAAAGTGTTGATCTCCGCATACCAATCTTGCTTATTTTAGATTTCGGGCCTTTCACCTTATCCTATCCACTCTTTTCCAACTGGTTTCGGGCGACTAACGCAACCTTTCCTGCTCCCACATTCTCGTCATTTCTCGCCTTAGGCTCTTGATCTGAGCTCTTTCATTGTATGGCCGACTTCCGATCAAAATTCGTTCGCAATGTTAGCGACGAAAACTTACCCAAATCAGACTCTGAGTCGTTCGTTTTTGCTCAGAATGATCCTGAAAGGTCTTACCGCCATGAGCGCTCGCTCAACCTTGCCAAGCCACTTCCAGATCCTAACGCCCCCTTCACTGACTATCCACCTTCTTCTGCGGAGCAGCATGAACTTTCCACTTTTTCTAACCCTTTTCAAGACCCACGCAATCCATTTGACTCATCAACGATAACCCCAGAAACAAATGGATATCGTGTATACCCTGAGCTGCAACCTACGGGTTCTGAAGCTGCCCTTTACCCATACCAGCCTGTTTTTGCCCCTGAGGTCACTTACCCACACGCAGGGAGGCTGGACTTGCCACCAGAGCCTCCATACACGGATAAGCCTAGTCTGCGACAACACGAGCGCAATCGCATCAAATTGGAGCAGCGCTTGCCACGCTATCATGTCACAAAATTACCATGGTTTACCATGTTGGCTACAGTGATACAAGTTGCTGTTTTCATCGCGGAACTTGCCAAAATGGGCCGTCTCACAGGCTCGCCACTTCAGACTAAACCATATTTCAACCCCATGATTGGGCCATCGCCGTATTTACTTATCAATATGGGAGCTCGATATGTGCCATGTATGCATCGAATCACCAACATCACTCTGGATACAACGATCAACTTTCCATGTCCAAACTCCACGTCACTGGATTCGGATGTTTGCAACTTAAGTGAACTCTGTGGTCTCAGTGGCGTTCGCGAAGTCGACGGTGAGTTCATTCCAGACCAATGGTATCGTGTTGTGACCCCAATTTTCTTACACGCTGGGTTTCTTCATATAGCATTCAACATGCTTCTCCAACTTACGATGGGAGCAGCCGTGGAAAGACAAATTGGATGGTTAAAGTTTGGCGTAATATATATGGCAAGTGGCATTGCTGGATTTTTATTGGGGGCTAATTTCTCGCCAGACGGAATTGCCTCTACCGGGGCGCTGGGTGCTCTTTTCGGAATCATTGCCACGAACATGCTTCTCTTCATTTTCAGTGGACGCAAAAACACAAACATGTACGGCACTAAACGTTACGGGCTTTTTATGGCAGTGATGGTATTTGAAGTGCTAGTTTCGTTTGCGCTTGGTCTTTTGCCTGGCTTGGACAATTTTAGCCATATTGGCGGATTTTGTATGGGACTTCTTTTATCTGTTGTTCTTTTACAGGATCCCTCCCACGTGTACGTCGATGGTGTTTATACATACGAACCTGACACTCGTACGTGGCAACTTTTCCTCAACAATTGGAACCCAATGAACAAGTGGCATGACAAAGTTGCGTGGAAAGCGACAGTGTGGATGGTCCTCCGTGTGATTTGCTTGACGTTGGCTATCCTCTTTTTCGCTTTGCTTTTCCGTAATTTATACTCGAAAGGGATGCGAGACGAGGGCAACAAGTGTTCCTGGTGCAAATATATTAACTGTATCCCGGTTCATGATTGGTGTGACCAGGGCCAGGTAACAGTTACCACAGAACCTGCCACACCTACAGCGTCGCTGAATCCTCTGCCTTTATCTACATTGGTCATTCCGCTGGCCGATAGTACTCTCCCAGCAAGTATCAACAACCCAAACAATAAGCGCAACTTCGACGTCTTCGTTGAACAGCCGGTACAAGGTGCACAACAAAATTGCATAGGTTTAGTCTTTGGTATTGCTTTTTTCAGCGTCGCAGTGATGTTCTTTATGCGGAGAAGATGGAAGTCCAAGAACTAATGAAAGGTAACTAGGAGGAGAAGATTAGAAATCGACGTCTTGGAGATGTACTATGACTTTTGCAGGTCTTACTGAATGACCAATGATGACAACTAGGAAAAACGAGATTCATAACGTAGCATGAACTCCACACATATAATAAACGACGAGATGTTATTATCACACTAGGAAGTGAAACAGGCAAAAACATATAGCAAGGAAAATGACAACCGTATTACAAGGGGATTACATTTAGTAGACAAGAACAGATCTACGATAGAAGTAGTATCTCAGTTTGGTTGAGCATCAACTAAATTGTATGTGGCCTGCACGCAGGGTTACACTGGTTTACCAAATTTTCCACTGCGATTTCTGGATTTCATATCTACCCATGATTAAAGCGCCGGCCCTTGCTAGAAGCATAAGACCGTTTTCGTCAGCGGTGCCCAGATCTTTTCTCGGTAATTTTTTTGGTACCAAAGAGGCCAAAAAGAAGGAAATCATCGAAAAGCAAGATGAGTACGAAGTGGATGCCTCATCCAAAATCGTAATCTTGGACAGAAACAACTCGCCAGATTATAAACCATTCAATGCCGCAGAAGACATGCCAGATTTTAAGATCATCCAATGGAAATCAAAGGTGGTCCGTGCCCAGGATATAGAATCTTCTTTCACTCCGGAGTCTGTTGCCGAAGCGATATGCGACACTTACTCTGAGTTGAAAGGCAGCACCATCAGTCCGAACAAATTCTCTGATATCTCTTTGGCAGACTTGCAGTTCAGATTTGACTTTGCCAAAGCCTTGCAACTGAGATTAGGTTTTGACATTAGCGACTACACTATGACCCGGGCGCACAACGTGGATTACTTATACCTGGAGTTGAGAAAAGTGATCGCACACAGATGGTCGAGCGAGAGAAATCCAAACGCTATTGTTTTGAGACCAGAGGATTTCTCTGAAACCGCAAACGTTTACTTGAACAGGGAACGCACAGAGGAGGAGCAAAAGAAGGTATTGGACGAACTCGTGGAGAAGGTGAGGGCTTCTGCTAGCCCTTAGGCGCCACATCCACATAGGTAAACGACTTGTATATATAAAAAGGATATTTCTCGTACACAGGGATCGCTGTTTAGCTTACTTGCGACGTGAGACCAAAAATACTGTAGCAAGTAAAGTGGCAGCGCCAATAGCTGCCAGAAGAAGTACGGTATTGGACACTCCACTGATCACTTCTTTGTCGTTCTTGCTCTTGCGCTGTTTCGAAGTGTGCTCTGAGATAGCCGGCAAGTTCGGGTTGTGAATAAATAAGTCCGCCTTGGTACTTTGTAACTGTTGGTTTATCCGAATGCAGTCTTTCAAGTCATTGTCTGATGTAATGGATACAATGTCACCTTCATCATCAACATAGCTAATAGCATACGCCTCATGTCCTTCTAAAGTTGCATCGATTGCTTCAAGGTCCTTAGAATGCAACTTTTCGTTTATGACACTTCTTAAATCACTTAAAGTATCCGTTTGCTTGAGTGATACTCGGTGGACGCGGCCATGCATCGCAGGAGACTTGAACTTGAATGTGAAGGATTCTGTCAATGATATATTTGACATGCTTTTGCTAGATTGTTTCAATAACAGCAGCGCTTCAACGGCTGATACAGAATCAGAAGGTCCAATCTCGATGTTGAACAGTTGCATCTCGGATGGTGTTACATCTGGGGCACTTGCCAAAGAATCAGAATTTGCATAGTCAGAATCGTTATCTAGAGAGGTCCAAAACTTGTTCCACGCTGGGCCTTCGCTTGACTCTTCCACAGAATCCAGAGTACGAGAGCTTTGTTCAATCCTTTTGATTTGGTTCAAAGTGGCATATGTGAGCTTCAAGACGTCCACAATACCAATAATGTCACCTTCGTTATCCACAACAGGTAAGTTTAAATAATGTCCCTCAAACATTTGGCGCAATGCCTGCTGAATTGAAGTTCTCTCGTTGGCAACGTCTGGCTGTGGAGTCATCACTCTCACTACAGAGCATGTTTTGGGGTTTAAACCTGCAGCAATTACTCGTAAAACCACATCTTTGGATGTGAAGATACCCGTTAATTCGCCGCTGGTATCATTCACCAAAACTGCTGTAGTCCTATTTTCCTTCATTTGAATGGTTGCCTCCAACACAGAGCACTTCACATTTGTATAGATGGGGGTTGTTGCTGAGTCTAAAACAGACAGTAATGTGGGACCATCCATTTTCAGTTTCAAATCTTCAAAGTACTCAAAAATATGACGTGGTTGATCTGCAACACCCATTTCATTGTGCACAGAATCCAATGCCTCATAAAGGTTCTTTGAGGAGGCATGTAATCTCTCCAACTTCTCCATTTGCTGGGCATAAGACTTAGTGATATCTAAGACTCCAACGATGCGGCTTTTATCGTCAAGAACAGGCAAGTGTCTAAATCCCTTTTCGACCATCAACGTCAAAGCCTCAGATGCGGGACTATCCGCATTTGCGCAAATAGGCAGCGGAGTCATAATTTGTTCAATGAGTGTAGCATTCGCATTGAGGCCCGACCCTACAACTCGGAAAGCTAAATCTTTAGCGGTAAATATTCCAATCAACTCGCCATCATCATTGACAACAAGGATACAGTTCTCTCTTCTGGCTGACATTAATTGTGCAGCTTGATAAACTGTGGCATTCTTTTTGCATATTATTGCTTCGGAAGGCTTCAAGTACAGAACTGTTCCAGGGACAGCTTTGTTCTTTCGAGAAGTTCTTGAACTTTGGCCTCTTTTCTTAGAAAGTTCATACTCGATCTTGCGCCTTATCGCCTCGTCTTTTTTGCTCTGACGTTTTCTAGAGTCACCTATGGCACCGTCGGACTTCTTAAAGGAAGACATTGCTTTTTTGAGATATTTGGATCCTTTAACCTTGAATGTTTCGCCAATATTAAATTTGGCTCTGGAAGATCGGGCTACCTGTGCAGTCTTTTCCCTAGTAGATGAGACCCAGTGTGCAATCATGTAAACAAAGTGCTTTATATACAGGCTGATACTCGGTTATCGAAAGACGATAATTTAGTGAAGTATCCGCAGAGATGAAAACAAATAACTCGAAGAAGTGATGTAAATGAAAAATGAAATGAAAGCAAAAAAAAGTAGACCTCTTTATTGGGAAGGGAACATCAGTCCTTTTGTAGAGTCTATATTTTGTCTTTTGAAGTAATTGTCAGAAGCTTGGTGCAATCTTTAAACTCACACTAAAGCAAGACTGAAACAGGTAGGTACCAGGAGTATATACTATATACTCGTATGCAAAATTAGATGATACTCGTATAATTTTCTTACACAGTATCTATATTTTTATTTTTCTATTTTTTCCGCTTGATACAAGGGGTATGATGCAATAATATTTTATTTTATTTTATTTTATTGGTCGCAAGCCATAAATGTCGTTGGCCCTTTATCGTTTTTGCAGCCATTCATTTGTGCATTGGACAACCTTAAGTATAAATAAAACCATTCTATGCACTTTGTGCTCATTTAGTATTCCCTTCTTTACTTATTTCCTGTACTTTCAATGTTGGATGTAACACCAATCCAGTCTGTATTAGACATATTTCTGAGACTTCCATTGCTGTGGATTCCGTTGAACCTCACAAAGAAGATCATGATGGACGTATTATCTTCAGGACCCGTTCCTGGTCATCTTGGTTTGATTATGGATGGGAATAGGCGCTTTGCCAAAAAGAGGGGTGTCGATCTGAAACAGGGCCACACGGCTGGAGCCGATTCATTAACAAGTGTAAGTGGTATCCGCCATATCTTTTAGGAAGAATACTAACTTTATAAGATTTTGCAATGCTGCTTCAAATTAGGAATTCCTGAAATTACTGTGTACGCTTTTTCTATTGAAAACTTCAGTAGACCTCAGGAAGAAATTGATGATATATTTGAATTACTCACTTCTCGACTTGCTGCACTAATTTCTAGTGATGAGTCTATCTTGAAGCAGTATAAGATTAGGGTGAGGGTCATTGGAAACAAATCCTTATTGCCTGAAAATGTTGCAAGGGACCTCACAGTCGTAGAAGAAAAGTCACTTTTTCCTGACAGTCAGAAAATCCTCAACATTTGTACCCCGTACACATCAAGAGATGATATCACCAATGCTATCAAAATAGTAGCTATGAAGAGAAAAGCTAATGGGATCACAAGAGAGGATATTAACACTAAGGTGCTCGACGACAATATGTATTTCGGTCTGGAATCACGTCCTCTCGACATATTAATTCGTACAAGTGGTCATTACAGATTAAGTGACTTCTTGTTGTGGCAATGCACCACTAAGTGTTCTATTGAGTTCGTTGATACGTTGTGGCCAGATTTCAAGTTTTTGTCTCTCTTCTTAACCTTGTTAAAGTGGAGTTATTATAAGCAGTTGGAGGTGAACGACAAGAAAATTTATAAGCCTGTTCCAAAGCCAGAAGCTAAGTTTGTTGATATTAATATGCTCCCTCAATCCCCACCATTTGCAACTATCGCGCTGAGAGAAGTTAATGAAGAGTGATGCTGCGGACCACTTTTTTGATTTCTTTCTTTTCCTTTTCCTTGATCCTTGCGTCTTCAATTTTGTTCAAGTATCCAATGTAAACAACAACTTCAGCAACCAATATTAGTAGCCCGAAAAAGAGACAAAGCAACACTCTGTAACTGTCTTTGATTTTCCATGATGTGTCGGTCCAGTACCAAATTGCATACACAACACTGCCCACGCTTATGAAAATATTGAATATCGTCGTGATATGACTTCTTGTCTGTTTGATTTCTCGCGATGGATTGAAAGGTTCTTCATTTGGATCATGTGTAAACACGAAGTTCATATCTGTGCTTGTACCCACGAGTTTGCGATACTCTTCTTCTTTCGCTTTCAATTTGAGAAGCTCCATAGACTCCAAGAACTCTTTTGTTTTTGGGATGGTTTCATTTCTTGTGTTCTTGTTCGGGATCACCATGCGAGTACTTCTCACCAACTCAAGTAATGACGAACAAGGCCGGTGTTCGCGATAGAATCGAATGAGCTCCTTGTGTGTTATCAGTTTCTTTGAACCAATGCGATCAATTTCTTCATTAGGTAATGAAGAGCTCTTAATGAGATTCCAAAGTGTCTGTGTCAATTCATACTGGGTCATCAAAGAAATGGAAGGACTTAAAATTCCGCTCTCATTTCGCGCGCAGTCAACCTCTTGTCGTGAGTAATTTGTAATCACTTATCCAATCTACATTCATCCTAAAATGTCGCTTGCAATGCCTTCTATTGTAGGGGCCTTGGCTTGCCAAAAAAATTCTTTTTTGAAGACTCTCCAAACTGTGGTTATGTCATGCAAGGAATATGAGGCGCTTTCTCCATCAAAAGAAAAACAAGGGAAGAAGAACGCTCAAGCGAAAGAAAAATTGTACGCTGTGGAATTCAAAGATACAGTTCTTTTCCCTGAGGGAGGCGGTCAGCCAAGCGACACTGGGGCTATCATCTTGCCGAATGAAACAGCTATAGAGGTTCAGCAGGTTTTACGTCAAGGTTTGAAAGCCGTACATGTTGTTCCACAACCTGTAGAAATTGGAACCAATGTCACTTTGAAAGTAGACTGGGACCGCAGAATTGATATCATGCAACAGCACACGGGGCAACATTTAATATCGGCGGTTTTCGACACTTATGACTTGGAAACTTTGAGCTGGTCTATGGGTGACATGATCAACTATATCGAATTACCGAAGAAGGTTGACGACGACATTTTGGAAGAAGTTAGCCAGAAAGTCAATGATCTCATTTTGCAGGCCATTCCCATCACTGTCACCACTCCTGATGAACATGGAGGAGAAATTGATACTTCGCACATCCCAGATGATTATGATTTGTCTAAAGGTATCATTCGGATAGTCAAGATTGGGGATCTTGACGCAAATCCTTGTTGTGGAACTCATTTAACTTCGACCAGTCAAGTTCAAGGTGTATCTTTCTTACACCAAGCAAACATCAGAGGTGGGCATTCTAGATTACATTTCGTTTGTGGTTCTCGCGTCTCCAAGCTTTTGACCTCGTACCATAAGATCTTGAAGGATACACTGGGTTCGCTGTTGTCATGCCTGATTGAAGAAGTTTCTCAGAAGGTTTCTGACCTTAATATGAATTATAAAAAGTCTCAATCACGGGAAAGTTCTTTGCTCAAAGAACTTGCCAAGATTCGTGCTGACGAGGTGTTCAACATTTTCAAGAATAAAACAGCTACATTGGCGACTGAGTACAGAAGCGATAATTCTGCTGAGTACCTTACACTCTTTCAAAAGGAACTTTTAACGTTGATTAATGGAAATAAGGATTCCGGTGTCAACTTAACAGACAGTTGCACGATCGTTCTTATCAATGGGGATTACAAATCCGGAACTGGCGGGATGGTGAAAATCATGGGACCGCGTGCGGAAGAGATCCAAGGAGAGCTCAAGAAACTTTTGTCAAACTTGAAAGGTGGTGGCAAGGGTGCCAGCTTTCAAGGCAAAATCACCCGGTACGAGAAGGGCGAGCTCGAAAGTGTGTTGAGGTATTTAGAACTGGAGAGTAATTAGACCTCTTACTTTGTTTTGTTATTGAAAAGGATTGACGGTAGCAGAGGTCTAGCCTAGTATGTGGCTTGTCGTTCTTAAGGCGCCCCACGACTGACCCTTGTCTAAGTAAAGCATGACATCTGCACCCGAGGTCTCGTGCCACATAAAGATGCATTGTGATTGATAAGTGATATATACAAGTAGATTAACGTTTGACCCAAGTAGGCGATTTTCTGGCCTTTACCTTGCCTGGCTTCTTTCTCTCCACCTTTCTGGCGTCTCTCGTCATCAAGCCTGCCAATCTCAAGCGAGACTTGAACAACGGGTTGAAAACAACCAAGGCTTTGGAAATACCATACATCGCTGCCTCAGCTTGTCCACTAATTCCGCCACCTTCAGTGGTGATGAAAACATTGTACTGACCCTCTTGGCTCACCACCTTGAACGGGTATCCAATCTTCGAGCGGTCAATGTCCCGTTTGAAATACTCGAGGAAACTTTTTCCATTAACAAGAACCAAACCTTCTCCCTTGACCATAGAAATATTCGCCACTGCTCTTTTTCTTTTTCCAACTGTGTTCGCACGCCCGTACTTGTCCAACGTTTTGATCGCGGTTTGCACCACTTGCTTCTTGTCTTCCAGAGCCGAAGAATATTTTTGCAATACCTCAAAAACTTCCTTGGGCATCAACTCGGGTTCAATACTTCTTAATCTGTTCAATAGCTCCAACAACTCCTTATGGTGGCCAATCTTGAGCCGGGTTCCCGACTGTGCTCTTTTTCTATAGTCCTCGAGTGATACAAATTTGTAAGCTTTTAACTCTTTCTCATCTAACACCCTAGTTGGCAAATTCTTGTACTTTCTGACCAAAGCATTCAACTGGTTCATGTTATCTTCATGAACCGGGTTTCCACCGTAGAACGTGGCCAACTTGGGCACAATTCTCAATCTTTCAAGCTCCCAGTTGCTCATCACGTCTGGATTCAAATTGCTCATGGCGAAACGGACTGGCCTAGGATCACTAGGTTTGGGTTTTGGGACTAGCGGTCTCCCACTAGAAACATCTGTGGCCAAATCATGCCCAGGTTCTGCTGGAGGAATCGCTGACTGAAGTCTAGGCAAACCATTTGAAAGTAGCCTCAGAAATGTACGGGCATATCCAATTTTGGCCAACGACATTGCTTTCCACGTATAAATAAGGTCAGACCGAGCGTAAAGTTCAAAAAGATTTTTCGGTAGTACGTGTGTGACACAGGTTATCTGTGCGAATCTCCCATGGATGTGGATTCGGTCAGAGGAATCACGCACTTAAATTTGATCCAATTTTATTACGTCTCAAGTAACAGTTTGTATCCTCCATTAAATTTATCTATATAATACACTGCCGGCCCAAATATGGGCAGCTGGATTCTTTCGTAATTGCGTTACTATGGTACATTAGGGAAGCTCTAGTCTTGAAGAAGGGATTTGATGCTGTTTCTCCGATCTGCAACACGCTCATCCTTTGGTGCTGTCGGTGATGAGTGTGCGTTCAATAACGCAGAGAGATTATTTGCCCTCAGTGGAATAAACTGTGTGCCCCGAACTTGTAGGTTTCACTGGAGTCGTATCGTTGTTAAGTAAACTCATAATCGATGGCTTTTTGACCCTCGCCGGCTCGCGAACTGATATTCTGGTGAAGCTCCAGAGCTTCATTCTTTGTGGTCACATTCCGGTCCAGGATTTTGGCTGCGGTGTTTTCAATCCCAGAAGTTGATAATCCCAATTGCATAGGATGCTGAAATGTACCCATCTGAACTGTTGAGTCTAGTTTTCCTCCTATACTCTGCTGCGTTTCAAGTCTCGTGTTGTACTCGGTTCCGTTCACAAAATTCTCACCACTAGTAGTTCTTTGAGGTTTGACAACGATAGTTGCATCCACGCTACTGATTTTTCTTCCGTCATCATGTAGGATTATGTCCAAGACGCATATCCGCTGCTGCAACTAGTTCATTCCAACCATTCTCTCTCTGCATTGCGCTGATAGTAATTCCGAACCATGGTAGCCGTTTTTGTTGCAAGTTTTTCAGCAATACTTGTCCACTTAGAGCCATACGTGTTGAGCAAATGAGGAAACTCGTTGACTTCGGTGATGCTCCAATAACTGGAATTGTGCTTCCTGCTATCGTTATCTGTAGAATCAGATGAAAACGTCAAGACTTCATGTCTAGTTGGAGTTTGCGTGTAGGCATTCGGATCACCTACTCCGCTTAGGTGAGTATCCTTATTGGTTTGTTCCTTCGAATGATCATGAGAAATTACCTCAGGTTGACTGATTTGCACAACTTTAGGGTAGTTATCGACAACAGGTCTTGCTAATTCAGGTGGTCCCGTTTCACTCACTTTTCCCTTGCGGCTTTTCTTTCTGGCGTGTTCTTCTACTACATCCGAAGAAATAGCTTCATCATGGACCACAGGAGAAGCTTGTCTTTTCTTTTGTTCTGTGTTCTCAATTTCTTTCAAGCTCCCTTCTGGTTCTTCATGTGCGGTCATAGACTTAGGATCGTGCATATTTCCCTCCATTTCGCTCAGTGGCGTGACCAGGGCTTTCGCCTTCGATGATTTTCTTCGTGATGTTTTGCGCGATGCTTTCTTTTTGAATTGAGAAACCAAAAACTTGTAGTTGACTGACTTTTTCGTCATGTAGTAATGAACAACACATTCTTCTGCTGAACGGAACCCGCCCATATATCTTGCAATTTCTCCAAATCGTTTGGGTGATCTGCAAAAAGCTTCACAAAATAATTCATGCTCCTTCTCTGAAAAATTATCCACAAAGTCGTACTTAATTCTCAAAGCCCACGCCTCTTTGTCATGTACGATATTGTTTGAATCCATGAATTTTGTATTTGAAGCCTCAATAGGATCCAAAATAAGGTCGGGGATTTTCGCCGATACACGCTTTGCTTTGGCCATTGGAGACTCGTCCTGCTCCTTCTCTAAGCTCTTCAAAATTTCTTGAAACTCGGCTTCAGTGGTGACTAAGTCTCCATGTCTTCGACCCCTCCTACTTGTATGAGGAGGTGTGTCGACAGACGGTAATTGGGATACCGGCTCTTGCTGTTTGACTCGAATATCAATTGCTGCAAGTTCGCGTTTGGACTCATCATCTGGTGGGTGTATGACTTTCAATTGCTCGTCGAGATCTTTTCTCTTTCTTTCATTATCTGTCCTCATTTTCTCATACTGTAACCATAACGACAAACGTTTCTTCTTGGTCTTTAGGTTCTCTATTTGAATATCATTAATGCGTTCCTTCATTGTGTTTGAGAACTCCCAGAGATTATCACGATAAGAAGAATATTCAGTAATGTCTTTGAATATTTTTTGGGGAGTCAGTGAAACTTGTGATTTTTCAGATTCTTCTCTTTGCTTGATATTATGGTACTCCTCTTTTAATTCAGCGTATTGAGCTTCGAGCTGAGTTAATGGATAAATGCATCCTTCAGGATAGTCGACGTAGTTACTCAAGTCAACAGGCACCAGAACTTCCACCCTCACAGTGGTAGGTGTATGGTATGAAAACTCCTCTTTTTCAGTGACATTCAGAGTGGCTTTGTCTTTAATATCACCATTTGTGGACTTTGATGGTTCTGTTTCTACATCCAGATTGTCATTAGTTGCAAGTTGGTCATCTTCTTCTTCTTCATCTTGATTCTCATCATGATTGCTTTCTTCGTAATCAATTGGATTAAAATCATCACCATATGTTTCGTCGTCTCTAGAATGATCCATTGATCGATCAGAATCAGCATTAATTGATTCACGCGGTCTGCGCAGCTCATTATCTGTTGATTTGTCTATGCCTTCAGATGGACTTCTAGAATATCTGTCCACATATCGACCCCCATTGTAATGCTTCAGGTAAAATGAGTCATTCCTGGAAGAAGTTCCAATGCTGTTCGTCAAAGCAGAACTACGACCACGGTCTTTTGACATGAATCGATTGCTTCCGGAGCTGAAAGCAGGGGAATAATTTTGCTTTTCGGGTCTTGATGATGGGTATGACAGTTTCCAACGGCTGGAATAACTCTCATCGTATGTGTCATATCGATCTTTTGTGTCTTCTTTGGTGGCTGTATCCATGAGACCATTCAGAGTACTTCTAGCATTAACCGGAATGCTGTTGGGATTGAAACGTGATGGGGAACTAAAGGACTTGGAGGAGCCACTTGAACTTAACTTGGGTCGTTCTCCACGCCAAGAATCTCGAACAAAAAGTCCATCCGATCTTTGGGAGGAACTGTTTACAATGTCACGCGATGTTGATTCGCGGGAGGGGCCACTGTACCCAATATAGTTATCGGTTTCTCTCTTGCTGCTAAAGGAACCATAAGAGGCACTTCTATCAATGTAGTGCCCTTGTTGGAAGGAAGAGTAATGCTTGGGATAGCTTCCATTGTTTCCATACCTAGACTCTTTGCTGTAGCTATTTGCCCTAGAAGACGCCAGGTTAGGGGAATTTCCAGACACATCTCTATATCGTGGCCGAGTCGATGCATCATATGACTGTGACTTGTCTCCTCGCAGTAACGATTTTGAATGTGACGAAGAGTAGGAATTTGAGCTTGCACTTTGGTTGTTTGTGGTCGAAGGTGCAGCTGAACTTTTAAAATCCCTTCGAGTGGAGGATGCATAAAAGTTTTTCCTTCGTTTCCCATAGTCGTTGTCACTCCCATATCTGCCCAAAGGAGGACCTCCGCGGGAGCCTGACGACATTATAAGAGGTATTCAGAAGGGCCAGTAAGGAGATTGAATGAAACTTGTAATTTAGCCGGTATGTCTATGTGGCAAAGAAAGTAAAACTCTGAAGCACAGTAAATGGGAAAATGCCTGTTGATGTGATCAAAAACTAGGCGAAGACGTAGGAACTGTAATTTATAGGCCAATTAGATACGGTGCATTAGAATTTATGGGAAGCGTGTAAAATAAGGGTGTTGTGAAGAATTTTTGTGCATAAGCACATCCGTACATCCGTTTCACTATGAGACAGAAACACAAAAGAATCACGTGGCTAGCTTGATAATAAGGTACTTGGCTGGTGTTTATTCTTTAATGTATTGAATGTGATATATGCAATTAATAATATGATCTCCTCACTTGAGCGAGAGAAGAATTTTTTTCAACACCCCAATGTCCTCTACTGACTTCAACATGTCATCGTACAGAACATCTGGTTTGACACTCTTGTTCCCGTTGTCTATATGCATGGTGAAGGAACGACTTGTTGAAGAAAGAATTATGGTTGAAGACGCCTCCAATGCGCTTATGATTTCTAAAAACTCGCCCTTTTTGAGACGACCTAAAAGGTTGTCAATAATCTGCTCTGTGTGGGCACAGTAATAGTCGTAAAGCTCATTAACTGTGAATGATTTTGCTTCTGGGTGGTTTTTGTCCATATTGAAAAGCGAACACAAGACAGCCTTCTGGAGAAGATTCAAGTTTTTGATTTTGGCGAGAGAATCATAGCCAAAAGTAGAGGAGCAGACTTTGGCAACATGGCTGATTAATACTTTTGGAGCAGTTTCCAACGTCAACTGGCTCATGTCATGTGTCTCTCTTACACTTTGCTCGACGTATTCAATGCTCTTGAAGCAAATGTCAAAGGCTTTCCTAAGGTCACCAGTGACGGCAGCACATTTCTTACAGCACAATTGAATTGCTGCTGGATGCATAATTGGTAGCTGGTTGGAGGAAGAATTTTCCTTTTCTGAATCCAACAAGCTGTTCAATTTGTGCATTACAACCTGTTTGATTTGTTCGCCAGTGTAAGGCATAAACTGTAAGGACTCCGGATTGAAACCGTTACTTCTGAGGCGGGGTAAGAACTTGTCTGTGAGATCTAGAGCATTAGAGATGCCCACAAGGACTAATTTCGTACTAAGCACAGAGCTTTTAAGATGAGATGCACAATGGAACAATTGAAACAAAACCTGTTGATCTTTTGTAATAAGGCAATCCATTTCGTCCAACACCACTACCACTGAGTCAACATCAGGATTCTTTCGTGTGAGGTGGGTGTATAAATCGTCGAAGGACTTTCTGCGTCCGCTAGAGGTTCCTGTGATGTAGTTGTATATCTCGTTGAAGATATTTTCTGGCTTGGCAATAGTCATACAGTTGACCCGCATCACCTGGACGCGAGCACCAAAGATGGTGTGAACTTTTTTGTTCGACTGGAAATTGCACAAAACATCGAGAGATAAGTTGATCTGAGCTGTTTTCCCCGTACCTGGAGCACCAGATATGTAAAGACTGCTGCATTTTCTTTGCTGGATGCTGTGGCGAAGAAACGACGAGAACTTTTCTGCCTCAGGTTTTCTGCCCACAAGATGCTCGTGGCTCGAGTCCTTGTTTCCTCTTTGGAAGAGAGCCTTGGCGCGTGAGTATACTGAATCTTCGACTAAGGTGAGCTTCTTGCTGTGACCTTTGAGCGTGGCCGAAATATCGACAATGCTTTTCTTGTTAGGTGACGTTGGAGGCGTGGCTAGTTGGGTGCATACTGGCTGGAGTGCTTTTCTCTTTGGGTTTTGGAGGGCAGTGTCGGAGAGCCTTTTGGACATGTCGATGCAAATAAGATGTAAAACTTTGGGTGAAGTGAAAGATGTGACAAGCCGAGGAAAGAAAGACAATCGCACGGAAGAATTTCTTGGAGAATGAAGCTAAGAAAAAAAAAAGAAGGTGAAGAGAGAATAGGCGATGCAAAGGATCAATTCATAGCAAAGAGAAGTAAAACACGCAGCTGGTAATCTGACGCCGCGTTGTACAATTTTGTCCCTTTTGGGAAGTGTCATTACGCGCGTCGTGGTTGCCCCGCAACAGGGCCAAACGGGCGTTTCACAAGGAGAAAAGAAGAGCTTTTGAGATCAATGTATGGAGCAGGAAACGAACTTGTCTTAACTCTACTCTTCGTTGCACTTTTCTACCTTTTGTCCGTAGTTTTCAGCCTTGTGTTCGGTTATAGTGGTCTCCTTCAGAATGCATAGAGCGCGCGCCGCGTTTCCATGTCGCGATGCCTTTTGGCTTCAAGAAATCTAGGTTGCGTGTCGTACACTCTTACCATGGCAGAAGATAGTGCTACTCGGCTCAAAGCATCCATCTATTTGAGCGTAGCCAAGGCGGTTGAGGAAAAGACGGCCGAGCTCAAAGTGGCAGCGAGCCCTTCTTTCGTCGCGTCTTTGGTCGAGCTTGTGTTCAACCAACTTGTTAGCGTTGGTGAGGACTTGGAGCTCTTTGCTGACCATGCTGGGCGCTCGGTGGTTAATTCTTCTGACGTTTACATGGTGACACGGCGAAACGAGATTTTGACTGCTGCGCTCAAAGAGTACGAAAAGACGTTGCCCAAGTAAGGCGCAAAGTCTCGCCACTCAAAGAATAAGAAAGAGGTGGCGTGCAACATCGCCGGAATCGAACGTGTGTGAATGTGTGTGGTGTTTGTGGAATCCTTGTCTTCTGCTGTGCACTGCCCACCTCACTTGGTTTTCCACTCTGGTTCCATGATCTGCACATACCAGTAGTCTAGCATCATCGTTTCTTGGAGCGTATTGTGCCCATATATTCTTACGTGTGCAGTGGGTTTGCCACTGTGAGGTGTTCTGATGCCCAGTTGAATGACTAGTGTATCTGGCTATCCGGTCGCATGCCTCATTTCGCGACGTCCGCCCTACAAGGACGCTCTTTGCGCCACCCCTATTTTGCGTGGCCCATATCACATAGGACTTGTCGCGCCATTCAGAAATAAGGCCCGCGCTCGCGCCGGCACCGGTCGTATATACGCAATTTTACGCTTTTCTAGTGCCCCGCCCTCGTGTGTCGTGCGAGGGGAGATACTCCGCACCCAAGGTTGGTCAAGCCTGTACATACGTCTGACTTCATTATCGATAGCGCCCACCTCTTCTCCTGCTTTGCCCAATAACAATGGCTCCGGTAAAAAAAGGCTTGTCATATGTCTTGGGCTACGGGTCGCCCCGGGAAAACCACATTTTGCCGATAAACGCTATACAATACAGCAGTGTACGTGGCCAGCTAGTTACTGGGGGAAGAGACGGTTTGGTCAAAGTATGGAACACTCCGAAACTGGATCAAACATCTTCCGACCTATGGTTCTCCTCGGAGGATGAGGAGCCCGAAGACTTGGATGAAAGACTCTTGAAACTTGAAACGGCAATTTCCTCGAACCCGCTTCGGTACCTGGATCTGGTGGCTATGCTAGAAGAAAATTCAACGAAAAGTTACAATATACATTTTGACTGGATTAACGATTTGAAGCTTGTCAATAACGACCGCCATGCAGTTACGGCTCTGGCTGACTTGTCATTGAAGTTGATTGACTTGGATGGAGGCGAGGGTGATGTGCTTAAATTCGAAAATTTCCACACAGACTACGTTAAGAAACTCTCAGCTATTGCTCCCCAAGACTTAGTCATTAGTGGCGGCTTGGACGGAAATGTCGCCATATGGGATTTACGCACGTTGAGACCCATCCAATCTTTTACAAACATTTCGGCAAATTCAAATTTGCCAACGTCTATTTACTCCTTGTCCAACGACCATGCCAACCTCATATCTACAGGTGGACCTAGTAATACCATCAACATATACGACAGGCGTATCTCCTCTCAGGGAAATGAAAATTTGATCAGAAAATTGGTCGGCCACCAGGATAATGTTCGGTGTCTCTTGATGAACTCAAATTTTATCTTAAGTGGCTCCACAGACACTACTGTCAAACTCTGGGACTTGCGCAACTTCAAAGTCTATAAAAATTTCGATTTCCATGAAGATGCAGTTTGGAGTCTTTGTACTGCAAGCTCTTCGTCTCCGTCGGAATCTTTGATGGCATCAGGCGACCTCAATGTATTTTACTCCGGCGATAAATCAGGAAACATCATCAAGACGGATTTGTCGAGGCTTTCCGATAACCACTTACATGATTCCAAAAGCGCCCAATTTTCAGAAAGCTCGTACACGGACGAGAGAATTGGCGTGTCCACTTTAGTTGCAAAGACAGATTCTCCCATTGTTTCACTTGGCGTAGAATGCGATAAATCCGTCTTCGCGTCGACATACACTTCTTTGCAAAGGTATCATGTTCCCAAGACCGATCAGCTTACGGAATACCAATATCTCAGGACAAAGCTAGATTATTTGGCAAATATTGAAACGCAATTAGATGACGATATTTCTGGTGGCATGAAAGTTTCGCCCTCAGATAAAACTGATTTGGACTCAGATTTTTATGATATCGTCAGTCATTTGTCAATGGATTCAAATAACCTTGAGATTCAGTCGTCACTTTCTGTACCAAAGTATGGTAATCCTTTTGACGTCAAGTCAGAGGAAAGTACAGGTGAGTATTACTCAATGTTCTTTACAGACGACGAATTACCCTTCAATTTTGTCAATGTCTTTAAGGATGAAGAACCATCTACAGAAAAATTCGAAGAGAAGGCTGAAGCTGTCGTGGATACAATTCCGGTAGAGATTTCGTTGAATCCTATTCCGCCAGCCGACATTGTCACAATTCCATTCAATAAGTATCCTTTTCAAGAACTTAAGCTCAGTCCAAAGTCAATTATTGCAAAGAGAATACTCAATAACAAGCGGATGATATTCACATTGTGTCTTAATGGAGATATTACAATTTGGGATTTGTTAGTTTGCAAAGAGAGAAAAGTGTTTCCAAATGCCCAAAACAATCGCCCGTTGACGAAAGATGAACTAAAAGAACGGACCGAGAAGATGGAGTCTCTCTTCCAGGAGTATCAAACCATGGACACTCTTAACGATTGGTGTGAAGTCGAAATCAAATCAGGAAAATTGTTTGTTAGCTTAGTGAATCCTTTGGTGAATGATGTCGAAGTATATTACGATGAGCTTGTGAGGGACTACCCCTATCTTGCATATGAAAAGTCACAGAATGGAAAAGGATATGATTCTTCAATTAAGGTCACCATTGACGATCGCTTTCTGTTGTGCCGTATTTTTCTCAATTCATTATTACGCAACTACTCCCTCTATGAGTGGAAGGCGGACCAGCAATTGCGCACAGATTTAGTGAACTACAGAAGCAAATCAAGACCAGGAACTTCTCCTTTGGATGATGATTCACTCTCTGTTGCTAGTGGGGACGATACACCACGAAGACCAAAGTCCTTATTCAGAAAGTCGTCGCGGATTGTTCCTACGCAACATAGTGTCAAGCTGTCTATGAGTTCAATAACTTCAGTTACAAGCAACCTGAGTGATGTGACTTTGGATAATACTACCGATGGTGCAAGTATCTCTGATGATTCCATCTCCAAGTTATTATTGTTAAACAAGAAACTGTACATTGAGTTTTTCAACACCCATGGCTCCAAAAAAGCGTTGAAAACTTCTTTAAGGTTGTACACAAATGATCCTGAGTTGCAGGCAGCTAAGCCGGATGATGAAAAGTATAAACCATTGATTCCTTTGTCTGTTTACTCGAAAGAGTTGCTCATTATCATAGCCGAAAAGTCACAAGACCTTGGCAATTATAGAGACCTTTGCAGCTTTCATGTTGAAGATCTTGTTGGTCTAACATATCCTCCGGCAAATGAGCATAACAGGCTTTTGGTCAATCAATTAAGAAATGGTCTACCGAAATGGATTGGCCAGCCTATTTTGTACGACAGGTATGTACATAAAGAGGCTCCAAAGTTAACCTTCCATTTGATGGAAATGGATTACTCGCAGCTTCCACCCGATAAGAAGATTGGAGGTAAATCTCAGAAGAAAATTAAACGCTTGCCGTTGGTGGTCAATTCCACAAAGTTGGTCTCTCAAAACATGCTTCGAGTGAACAAAATTTTGTACTACGTTACTGAAAAATTTGATACGAGAACGTCGGAAATGAAGGAGAAGAGGAATCCACTGGAATGGCTAGCACTCGAGTGCCGTGGGCAAGAACTACAAGGTAATATGACGCTTCAGACAATCAGAACGAAAATATGGAAGTCTAGTGGCGACATCGAATTGCGTTTCCGTCGTAAGTTTGATGCATAGATAGGATATGCGATGGAAAATAGATTTGTGGATATTAGAGAATACTTTAGATAACTGTAGGGAGCTTACAAGATTTCTAGCGGTTGTATGTGATGGTTCGCATTTCTTCAAGATAAGTCGCAATGTGCGTGCGACGCTCAGTAAATTTTTGTGATGAGCGATAATCAGTGTAGTTTTCTAAACGTGAACATCTCTGCACAAACCTACCGCAAACATGGACGACGTTGAAAGAGCTACCTCCCGTTTGTGGAGAACATTCAGAACTGTTAAGGAGATGGTGAGGGACAAGGGCTATTACATTACGGATGAGGAAATCAACATGACCTTAGATGAATTCAAGGCGAAAATCTGTCCCATGGGAGAAGCACAAAGAAAATTGATGTGTTTCCAAGCTCAACCTACTCCTGAGGCCGCAGAAAAGTTTCCAGAAATGGGCTCTTTGTGGGTTGAATTCTGCGACGAAGCGTCTGTGGGAATCAAGACTATGAGAAACTTTTGTATTCACATCAGTGAGAAGAACTTTAGCACGGGTATTTTCATCTACCAAACATCCATCACCCCCAGTGCCAATAAGTTGATCCCAACCGTGTCGCCAGCCACTATTGAGGTGTTCCAGGAGAGCGACTTGGTGGTGAATATTACCCATCACGAATTGGTTCCAAAACACATCCGTTTGTCTAAGCCGGAGAAAAAAGAATTGTTAGACAGATATAGATTGAAGGAGTCACAGTTACCCAGAATCCAGAGGGAGGACCCTGTTGCCAGATATTTGGGTTTGAAGAGAGGTGATGTTGTGAAAATCATCAGAAGATCCGAAACCTCTGGTCGTTATGCATCCTACAGAATCTGCTTGTAAGGCCAGTCATAGTTATCTTATCAATGTAATATAGTATGAACAAAAGACACTCAGCTTGTTCCCTTCTGTAGTCTAGCTGCCATGACCACATCTTTAGTACCTGTCCACCATTTGACTTGTACCAACTCTGCTCCTCCCGAAGGACTAACTTCAACACCATCCTTGCCCAAAAATACAGGGCCCACAGTGACAATCACGCTATCCACTAAATCTGATTTTAGCAAACTGTTGATAACGTCTGCTCCTCCCTCAATCATAACCGAGGCAATGTCTTTTTGGTGCAAAACGTGCAATATGCGCTGCCAATTCAAAGAACGATCTAGCGAGAAGTCAATGGTTATGAATTGTCCGCCTTGGGCACTTAAATTTGTTTTGTTTTCCAGTGATGGTGACACTTGTGCCCCGACAAGTATGAATGGTGCTAGCCCTTTGCCTTCTGCACACACTTTATGTAGCGTGGACTTTGAGTAGTCCCACTTTCCATGCGGATCCACTACCACCGGTCGAATATGAGAGTTGCCGTAGCGACAATTGAGTTTTGGATCATCTGCTAGTACTGTTCCAATACCCACTAAGATAGAATCATGGTTTGCTCGAAGATAATGGGTCATAGTTTTCGTTTCGGCATGAGAGATCTTGGTCTGAAGACCTGGCGCCGCTGCTATACGAGAATCAAGCGATTGTGCCCATGTTAGAGTTACAAAAGGTCTGTCAGTACGTTGTGAGGGTAAATACTCCTTGAGAAATGGTACAAGGGACTCTGGAAGCGGTATTAGCGACATTTCAAAACAGACAGCCAAAAGAAGTGTAACCACGGTAGTTAAACCGTGTACAAGAAGAATATGCAGGTAAGTAGAGGGGTCCAGACCGGGGAAATAAAGGCAAAACTTTGCAGATCAGAAGAAGAGACGACTTTGAATAAAAGATTAATCAAAGATCCGTTCACACGGACTGCCGGTACTCATCAAAATACCTTAAGGTAGAAGTAATGATGAACAACCGGAGTTCTCAGAACGAACTTTTTCCGAGCGACATTGTGTGTACCACGTCAAGCGGGGAAAACACGCTCGTCCACGACATTTTTCAACCAGCGATACTTTTCATGCACTATGCGCACTCTATCCGGTGGGTTCCGCGCATCGAATGGTGGACTGAGACATCGCTTAAAAATGTTTGCAACTTGGAAACCCACCGACAAACAAGGATATCGCTCAAAGATGTGGGCCTGATCTTTTCGTCTCATCACTTGAACTCTTTGAACGTATCCTATTAGCCCGCGGTCCCTCTATTTTTCTGCATGTGATCTGTGTTGACGTACCCTACTTTGCTTATGCGCGCTGGACATATGTATATACAAACATCGACAATAAAAAAAAAATTTCAGACGAACCCTTACTCTTGGTCCAAGCATGTCTTCTGCAAGCTATTCGATCCACAAACCGTTTCTAATTGAGCTCTGGCCGTTATTTGACTCTGCTGTGGCCTCCGTCACAAACGGTCGCTTTGTGCCCTCTGAGTTCCAGTTTGTGCCAGGCGAAACCACCTTCAGCACGTTTCCTGCTGTTGCAACTGCTATTGCCGTGTATTATACTGTCATCTTTGGAGGTAACTATCTCTTTAAGAGGTTCGGCATTAAGCCGCTTGTTTTGAATGGTTTATTCCAGCTTCACAACTTGCTCCTCACATCAATTTCGTTGACTTTGTTGACGTTGATGATGGAACAGCTTATTCCTATGATTTATAAGCATGGCCTTTTCTATGCCATCTGTCACCCTGATGCATGGACACAGCCTTTGGTGACCTTGTACTACTTAAACTACTTGACAAAGTTCTGCGAGTTTCTTGACACTGTGTTTTTGGTGGTGAAGCAAAAGAAATTGACCTTCTTGCACACATATCATCATGGTGCCACGGCTTTGTTGTGCTACACTCAGTTGATTGGCTTGACTCCAATTTCATGGGTTCCAATCACCTTGAATTTGGGCGTTCATGTCGTTATGTACTGGTACTACTTCTTGGCTGCTAGAGGTATCCGTGTCTGGTGGAAGGAATGGGTCACACGTTTCCAGATCATTCAGTTTATCTTAGACTTGGGTTTCGTCTACTTTGCCACGTATCAAAAGATCATCTTTACCTATTTCCCTCATTACATTGGAACTTTGCCTGTCTGTGGCGACTGCGCGGGCACCATGTTGGCCGCCTACTCTGGTTGCGGTATTTTGTCGTCTTATCTCGTTTTGTTTATTGCCTTCTACATTGAGGTGTACAGGAGAAAGTCTACTAAAAAGTCGCAAAGGGTCAGGTCTGCCCTGGGTGGCGTTGCAGCTAAAGTCAATGAGTACGTGCATGCCTCTGGAAAGAACAACTCGCCAGTTCCTGGTATTCGCAAAAGAAAATGATTTTAGATAGACGCTCTTTCTTTGGGATATCATCCATCCTAATACATCTACTCCGTTCATTTGGTCATTACAGTTATACCTAATTTTAATTACTTGCTTCTTTTACCTCATCGTAAGAAGGAATCCCTTCTGCCGCTCCTTTCTTTTGGATTGCGAGGCCGCTGGCTGTTGTAGCGAACTCTATAGCCTTTTCCAAAGACTTCCCTTCACTAAGGTGCAGAACAACTGCTCCAAAAAATGTGTCACCAGCACCAGTTGTGTCAACGATATTTGTCACCTGTAGAGCGGGTTGAAACATGGCTGTGTCCTCGTGGCTTGTGTAAATTGCACCTTTGCTACCCATCGTAATTATCACTGTATTACAGTTGTCTTTCCCTATCATGGATTTTAGTTTCTCGGCTAATTGTGAGAAGCCTTTCACTGCATTAGACGCAATGGTGGACTTGAAATCAGTGATATCAGACTTGCTCAACACATTAGTGGCAACGCTAAGAGCTTCACCTTCATTAAGAATGATCAAATCAATTTTCGACATTAGCTCGGGTGTCATGAGTTCCTCGTAGAAAGGTGAGGGGTTGTATGCGATGTTGATTGATGGTTTATTCGCCTTCACCCATTCGATGGTTTGAAGTGTAAAGGGGAACTCATTTTGCAAGACAAGGAAATCCCCAGCAGCATGGCTGTCCTTGAAATAAGTACGGAAATCCTCTTCAGTAGGCTTCAATTCACCATTGGCTCCAGCAGTGATCAAAATGCGGTTCTCACCCGAACTCTCAACCAAGATCACCGCCACACCAGAAGATTGGTTATCCAATGTCTTCACAAACGTGGTGTCGACATTGGCCTGTTCGAGAGAGTGTCTTAACTCTTTCCCAAAAGTATCAGAACCTACATTGCCAATCATTTTCACAACGGTCTTGTCGGAACTGCGCAACTTGGCACAAGCCAAAGCTTCATTCAAGCCCTTCCCTCCATGGTGATTCTCGAAAGCATTCGCTTGGAATGTTTCTCCTGCCTCAGGAACTTTGTCTGTGTATGTGACCAAGTCGTAGTTAAGTGATCCGATAACGGTGATCATAGTTCTGTGTAATGTACCACTACTGACTGAAAAACGATCAAGCTACAATTGAATTTCCTGTATACAACTCTGTTACCTATTGACCAGAATGTAATTGCTAGTCTACTCTTTAAGAAGGCCAGCTCTCTTCAACTTCATCTTTTCGGCAAATGTCAAAGGTTTACCTTCTGCTGGTGGTGCTGCAGCTGGTGGTGCTGCGGCTGGTGGTGCTGCGGCCGGTGGTGCTGCAGCTGATGGAGATGGTCTGCTTCCAACACCGATTGGTGGTCTGTAAGCACCTCTAGTTGGAGGTCTGTAGGCACCAGATGTAGCTGGAGCACCCGCAGATTCCCTCTTGGCGGCAAGTTCAGCCTCCATCTCAGCTCTCTTTCTGGCAATCTCGGCGTCCTTCTCCTTCTGCAATCTTAATTCTTCCTTGAACTTGGCCATTTCTTGTTCTCTCGCCGCTTTGCGAGCAGCCTCCTCAGCAGCAATGCGTTCTCTCTCTCTTCTGTTCTTCAACTCCTCCAAGCGCTGGTGCTTGACTTGGGCAATACGCTCTTGTTTCGCCCTTTCAAAAGCAGCTTTAGCCTTAGCCTTCATTTCAGCGACCTTAGATGCATTTTGTTCGTCAATGACTGC